AGGTGTTGCCTCTGGCACAATTGTGCTTTCCGATGGAAGGATGAAGCCACGTTGAAGAAGTACAAGGCGGCCGCGTACAACAAGGCGCTCGCGGACACCAATGTGCACCAAGTTGCACGCGGCCACCAGTTAGGATTAGTATGCCATTCAAGCGGGCGGTTTTCTTGGACCGGGCAACCGGTACATGTTTTGTCCCCAGCCGAACGTGGCAGTAGTGTAGATTGAGCAGTTCGTTCTGTCCAGTTAGCAGCCATCGCAACCGTCACGACGCGCTCCACCGCAGGCCCGGCAGCATGCACTCACGACTCATCTCGACACCCACCACAACCACTCCCTAAAGGGGCTCGCCTTCACTAATCCAGAACGACTGCGTGCCCCCAACGTGCTTTAGTATGTTCAGTGGAATTATGTGTTTCCAAGCGCAGCAGGGAAAGTCCCAGTTTATTAAATAAGTGAAAGCATTCGATGATGTTCTAAGAGGGGCCCTGTGGGTGACCCCCGACTACCTCCATCACTACATCCCCTGGAAACCCCTAAGTCACCCCCCTAATGGAACTCCCGATAAACCTCGGCAACTGCATCCCCTCAAACCGCCGCAACCGACCAACTAGGAAAAGTCTAGGGTAACTCACCTAGACGTCAAAGTGCCAGCTTCTAGCAGGCTCCGACATAAGTGCCGAAATATACGCCACCAGATCAAGTACCTGGGACCTTCTCTCTCTTCGATGATGTTCTAATGCTGCCGTTTTCCTATTGCGGCGAACGAAGACTTGTCCCCACCCGAAGAATACATGTACATGATCTCCTCCTTCAGCAGCACGAAGCGAAGTGTCTTCGCTTCGGATGTACTACTACGGATTTTACTAGTTTATGAACCAGCGCGAGGAGTGGTAATTCTCGTCGAAGTGAAAGTTGATGCCATCCAATCGACAAAACCAATTGCACTGTAGCAATCATTTCTTTATCGAACGCACCATCTATTATCTTCACTCTACCAACACGCTACCACATAGTTCATCTACTTCAGCTTGGGCACAACCACACTCTAGCTCACAAGTGTAGGTCGTCGTCAACGAATTCAGTCTTCGTTGATGTGGACGTCGCTCGACGTGTACTTGCAGAGCTTGCCCGACGGGCCGTCGCCCAGGTTGGACGGCGTCTTGCTGCCCTGCGACCACTGGCACACCTTGACGTCGTTCCTGCCGTTGGTCGTCTTGACGCGGATGTTCTTGAACGAGGCCTGGTCGTTGTAGTTCTTGTTGACCGTGACGACGCTCACGAGCGGGTCGATGGCGAACACGTTCTCCACCGTGACGGTGCGCGGGATGTTGCCGCACGTGCCGCACGAGCGGTAGAGCTTGCCGAACTCCTGCGCGAAGAAGCCGTTGATCTTGACGGTGCCGTAGCCGTTGTGCTGCACCACCTTGTCCGAGGCGTAGCGCGCGCCGCAGTTGGTCACGGTGGTCACGCTCGAGGCCGAGCCGCCCTTGATGCTGAGCGCGTCCTCGCACACGTCGTCCCACCACACGTTCTCGATGGTGCAGTCGTGCTCGTCGCAGTGGACGCCCTCCTTCTGGTTCTTGCCGATGATGACGTTCTTGAGGGTGCCGCCGGCCTCCACGAGGAACACGGCCGTGTCCTTCTGGCCCTCGCCGCCCGAACACTTGATGTCCGACCGGTCGTACGTCTTCATCTGGCCGTCGAACACCTCACCGGCCTTGACCACGTACGGCTTCTCGAACCGGACTGTGCCCTTGCTGGCGGGCCACGTGCCGTCCGGGATCGACGAGGTCGAGTTGGTGGTGGGGGCGGTTTGTTGAGTGGGGTCGTCGACACTGGGGCCGGTCTGCTGCTGAGTGGGATCCTCGACGCTGGGGGTGTTGGTAGCGGGCTTCTTCGTCTTGGGGGCCTTGGTCACCTTGGGGGCCGTCGTCTTCTTCGACTTGGGGGCCGGGGTCTGGGCCGTGTAGTCGTCGTCGCCTTGGGTCGGGTCCTCAGCCGGAGCCGTCTTCGCCTTGGAGATGTCCTGGTTGATGTGGACGTCGCTGGTCGAGTACTTGCACAGCGTGCCGGACGGGCCGTGGCCCAGTATGCTGGGCTCGCCCTTGGCGTTGCCCTGCGACCACTGGCACACCTTGACAGTGGCCTTGCTCGACTTGACCCAGACGTTGCTGAGCGTGGCCTTGTCGCCCCAGTTCTTGTTGACCGTCACCACGGCGTTGCCCGGGTTCACGACGTACGTGTTGGACACGGACACCTCGCGCGCCTTGGGGCCGCAAGTGCCGCACGAACGGTAGAGCTTGCTGACGTCCTCGCCGTAGAAGCCGTCGATGATGACCTTGCCCAGGCCGTTGTGCTGGATGACCTTGTCGTCGGCGTAGCGGGCGCCACCGCCGATCACCTTCGTCACGCTCGAGGCCGAGCCGCCCTTGACGCTGAGCGCGTCCTCGCACACGTCGTCCCACCACACGTTCTCGATGGTGCAGTCTTGCTGGTCGCAGTGGACGCCCTCCATTTGGTTCTTGCCGATGATGACGTTCTTGAGGGTGCCGCCGGCCTCGACGTAAAACACGGCCGTCTTCCAGCCGCTCTCGGACTGGCCGCCGCACTTGACGTTGGAGCGCTCGAACGTCTGCATCTTGCCGTCGAACACCTCACCCGCCTTGATGGTGCGCACCTCCGAGAACTGCACGAGGCCCTTGCTGGAAGGCCACGAGCCGTTCGGCAGGGTCGCGGCGGAAGTGGCCGCAACCGCGAAGGCGGCAGCTGCAACGAACGGCGCGAAGGACTTGAACATCTTGAGCCTTGAGGGGATGCTCGCTTGGTCACTTGCTGCTCAGATGGAGAATGGATTAATGAGGTTGGAGATCGATTAAAAACGCATTAGCGTGGTGGTCCCTGATCGATCACCAAGGGCCTGTGACCGTTTGTTCGGCGCGGCGGCAGTTGCTTTTCAAGGTTTCGGCGTACCATGTAGATCTCGAGTAGCAGTTGTTTTCCTGCTGCCATGCTGCTAGGGGGTGCACGGCAACATTGATGGTCTTCCCACTTGTCAGTTCCCGCGTCAAATCCGTGACGATGAAGCACGCTTGTCAACCTGACATTCTGAAGTCCACGCTTCTTCGACACTGGCGACACAACACCGCGTTTTGTTTTTTGCTATTCGTAAATCAAAAGGTTGGGTCCCACCCAGAAGTGTTGGTAGGTGCACCCGCTCGCTTAGACTTGAGCAGAATATATTGTATAGGACCACCATCACCACCACTACCACCGCCATGGAGCACCTGGACTGGGGACCGGTGATTTCTACTGGATACTGTATTACCAGCTTGCTCTGCGCAGAGGCTTACAGGAGCAAGCTGTTCACCGACATTTGCGTGTGATGAACAGCAGCTGTAGACCAAATTTCACTTCCGGTTACTGATCGATGAGTACTTGCAGTGCTCATTTCACTTCCGGTTACTGATCGATGAGTACTTGCAGTGCTCGATACGTCGTTCGAGTTGCAATCCACAGCGCCAACCAGCTCTACTGTACCATTGGTTTTACATGTATCAACGGTAGACTTAGATTAATTCGCCCAACACGAAATAAAAGCGGGGTTTGTTGCCGCTACGTCTCAAATCCATTTTCCTTGAATCCGAAGCAGCTGATTCCGTTAGTCGCGTTAATCAGCTTCTCGAACACCACAAGGATATGGTCGTCAGTGGTCGACCTTTAACGCCCTATCACGGCCTCTTTTCTTGTGTGATCGTGCGTCCAACTACCATGGTATAACCGTCCCGTTATTCACCTCTGTTGCCCGAACGTACTGCATCCGAAGTTTAATTAAATCATGTACACTAAGTACAAGAGAAAATATACACTCTCCTCATGCGCTTGTAGAGAAGTGCTTGATAGCAGCTGATAAATAATAACCTTGAGGTGTTGCCTCTGGCACAATTGTGCTTTCCGATGGAAGGATGAAGCCACGTTGAAGAAGTACAAGGCGGCCGCGTACAACAAGGCGCTCGCGGACACCAATGTGCACCAAGTTGCACGCGGCCACCAGTTAGGATTAGTATGCCATTCAAGCGGGCGGTTTTCTTGGACCGGGCAACCGGTACATGTTTTGTCCCCAGCCGAACGTGGCAGTAGTGTAGATTGAGCAGTTCGTTCTGTCCAGTTAGCAGCCATCGCAACCGTCACGACGCGCTCCACCGCAGGCCCGGCAGCATGCACTCACGACTCATCTCGACACCCACCACAACCACTCCCTAAAGGGGCTCGCCTTCACTAATCCAGAACGACTGCGTGCCCCCAACGTGCTTTAGTATGTTCAGTGGAATTATGTGTTTCCAAGCGCAGCAGGGAAAGTCCCAGTTTATTAAATAAGTGAAAGCATTCGATGATGTTCTAAGAGGGGCCCTGTGGGTGACCCCCGACTACCTCCATCACTACATCCCCTGGAAACCCCTAAGTCACCCCCCTAATGGAACTCCCGATAAACCTCGGCAACTGCATCCCCTCAAACCGCCGCAACCGACCAACTAGGAAAAGTCTAGGGTAACTCACCTAGACGTCAAAGTGCCAGCTTCTAGCAGGCTCCGACATAAGTGCCGAAATATACGCCACCAGATCAAGTACCTGGGACCTTCTCTCTCTTCGATGATGTTCTAATGCTGCCGTTTTCCTATTGCGGCGAACGAAGACTTGTCCCCACCCGAAGAATACATGTACATGATCTCCTCCTTCAGCAGCACGAAGCGAAGTGTCTTCGCTTCGGATGTACTACTACGGATTTTACTAGTTTATGAACCAGCGCGAGGAGTGGTAATTCTCGTCGAAGTGAAAGTTGATGCCATCCAATCGACAAAACCAATTGCACTGTAGCAATCATTTCTTTATCGAACGCACCATCTATTATCTTCACTCTACCAACACGCTACCACATAGTTCATCTACTTCAGCTTGGGCACAACCACACTCTAGCTCACAAGTGTAGGTCGTCGTCAACGAATTCAGTCTTCGTTGATGTGGACGTCGCTCGACGTGTACTTGCAGAGCTTGCCCGACGGGCCGTCGCCCAGGTTGGACGGCGTCTTGCTGCCCTGCGACCACTGGCACACCTTGACGTCGTTCCTGCCGTTGGTCGTCTTGACGCGGATGTTCTTGAACGAGGCCTGGTCGTTGTAGTTCTTGTTGACCGTGACGACGCTCACGAGCGGGTCGATGGCGAACACGTTCTCCACCGTGACGGTGCGCGGGATGTTGCCGCACGTGCCGCACGAGCGGTAGAGCTTGCCGAACTCCTGCGCGAAGAAGCCGTTGATCTTGACGGTGCCGTAGCCGTTGTGCTGCACCACCTTGTCCGAGGCGTAGCGCGCGCCGCAGTTGGTCACGGTGGTCACGCTCGAGGCCGAGCCGCCCTTGATGCTGAGCGCGTCCTCGCACACGTCGTCCCACCACACGTTCTCGATGGTGCAGTCGTGCTCGTCGCAGTGGACGCCCTCCTTCTGGTTCTTGCCGATGATGACGTTCTTGAGGGTGCCGCCGGCCTCCACGAGGAACACGGCCGTGTCCTTCTGGCCCTCGCCGCCCGAACACTTGATGTCCGACCGGTCGTACGTCTTCATCTGGCCGTCGAACACCTCACCGGCCTTGACCACGTACGGCTTCTCGAACCGGACTGTGCCCTTGCTGGCGGGCCACGTGCCGTCCGGGATCGACGAGGTCGAGTTGGTGGTGGGGGCGGTTTGTTGAGTGGGGTCGTCGACACTGGGGCCGGTCTGCTGCTGAGTGGGATCCTCGACGCTGGGGGTGTTGGTAGCGGGCTTCTTCGTCTTGGGGGCCTTGGTCACCTTGGGGGCCGTCGTCTTCTTCGACTTGGGGGCCGGGGTCTGGGCCGTGTAGTCGTCGTCGCCTTGGGTCGGGTCCTCAGCCGGAGCCGTCTTCGCCTTGGAGATGTCCTGGTTGATGTGGACGTCGCTGGTCGAGTACTTGCACAGCGTGCCGGACGGGCCGTGGCCCAGTATGCTGGGCTCGCCCTTGGCGTTGCCCTGCGACCACTGGCACACCTTGACAGTGGCCTTGCTCGACTTGACCCAGACGTTGCTGAGCGTGGCCTTGTCGCCCCAGTTCTTGTTGACCGTCACCACGGCGTTGCCCGGGTTCACGACGTACGTGTTGGACACGGACACCTCGCGCGCCTTGGGGCCGCAAGTGCCGCACGAACGGTACGTCCTCGCCGTAGAAGCCGTCGATGATGACCTTGCCCAGGCCGTTGTGCTGGATGACCTTGTCGTCGGCGTAGCGGGCGCCACCGCCGATCACCTTCGTCACGCTCGAGGCCGAGCCGCCCTTGACGCTGAGCGCGTCCTCGCACACGTCGTCCCACCACACGTTCTCGATGGTGCAGTCTTGCTGGTCGCAGTGGACGCCCTCCATTTGGTTCTTGCCGATGATGACGTTCTTGAGGGTGCCGCCGGCCTCGACGTAAAACACGGCCGTCTTCCAGCCGCTCTCGGACTGGCCGCCGCACTTGACGTTGGAGCGCTCGAACGTCTGCATCTTGCCGTCGAACACCTCACCCGCCTTGATGGTGCGCACCTCCGAGAACTGCACGAGGCCCTTGCTGGAAGGCCACGAGCCGTTCGGCAGGGTCGCGGCGGAAGTGGCCGCAACCGCGAAGGCGGCAGCTGCAACGAACGGCGCGAAGGACTTGAACATCTTGAGCCTTGAGGGGATGCTCGCTTGGTCACTTGCAGCTCAGATGGAGAATGGATTAATGAGGTTGGAGATCGATTAAAAACGCATTAGCGTGGTGGTCCCTGATCGATCACCAAGGGCCTGTGACCGTTTGTTCGGCGCGGCGGCAGTTGCTTTTCAAGGTTTCGGCGTACCATGTAGATCTCGAGTAGCAGTTGTTTTCCTGCTGCCATGCTGCTAGGGGGTGCACGGCAACATTGAAGGTCTTCCCACTTGTCAGTTCCCGCGTCAAATCCGTGACGATGAAGCACGCTTGCCAACCTGACAGTCTGACTGTCCGAGTGTCAGGTTGGCAAGCATTGTCAATGTCAGACTGACAGTCTGCGAGTCCACGCTTCTTCGACACTGTGTTTTGGCGATACAACACCGCGCTACGTTTTGCTTTTGAAAGGTAAGCCGTAAAATACGGTAGCAGTGCTCCCCTCTGGGAGGGAGTGGAACTGTTCCAAAATTTACACAATTCTTCATGACACAATTTGTGCAGACGATATTTGCGTCTTCGCATATTGTACTGGGTATGCAGCCGTATTTTTGTGCTCATGACACATTTTATTTTTGTGTTGTTTTTGGAAGAGTTCCAGTGCCCCATTTCGCGCGCGTCTATTGGGCACACAAAAGCTCAAACACTACTATCACCCCTACTGAAAACGCCGGTTTCTACTGGATGCACTAAACCAGCTTGTTTGCTCTAGCAGAAGCTTACAGGAGCAAGCTGTTCACCGACATTGCGTGTGGCGAATACAAGCAGCAGCTGTAAAACAAACTGCGATTACGGTACATTTCGGACCAGCTTTTCCAAAGTGATACAGGTAATAAGCACCGCTCCAGTTATTATAGTCTTTCAACACTACATGTATTATTGTTGGTCTCTCTTGCGTCCATTCAGCTGCTGGATCACACTGACGAAAGAGATCGACGTGCTTTTTATAGATGGCCATATCTGCATATTTTAATATAGCTTTAAAAAGAACCAACTACGAAACGTCTGGCTCACTCGCTACGACCGCTGGATCTGTCTGCAGCTCGCTACAGCTTTTCAGGGAAACTCTGACAGGGCTGAACTGTGCAGAAGCAAAAAAAACACTTAAGTTTATTTGCATCAAAACATGTTTTGTACCAAACGACGAGACCCCACGATAAAAAGTTGTGGTTTTGTTGCCGCTATGTCACGCGTTTTTCCTTGAAGGTCTGGAGCAAAGGTAGCATTAATCTGCTTCTCGAACACCACAAGATCATACCCTAGTCATGTTGCGGCCAACAGTAGAGTGTACACGCAGCTCACGGTGTGAGCTTAAAACACTGTGGATCGTAGTTGTGCACAATGTACTGCAGTTACGAACATGTAGTGACAGACAGTACGACGACCTAAACTAACATGTAAGTCACATGAAAAAAAATCTGAGCGTAGTGCTTGATAGAAGATCGATGGACGTTGCAGGAGTGAGCGATTTTATGAGCGCACTGCCGTTAAGATGCAATCAACTAGATACATACCATGGTATGCCGGACTTCAGTTATAGGAAAGCCCTGACGAACTATTCTACCGCTTCACACGCTTTTCAATGCGTACTCTCAAAGTAAAATATTTGGTCTTGTGACATCGTCAAATAAAAACGAGTATGGAGCAACGGCTTGAGGATTCCTGCTTCGCAGTAATTGACAATAGGGGAGCAGAACCATTTGAACATTATCGAATGCTTAATAAACTGGGGCTTGTGCCAGAGGCAACACCTCAAGGTTATTATTTATCAGCTGCTATCAAGCACTTCTCTACAAGCGCATGAGGAGAGTGTATATTTTCTCTTGTACTTAGTGTACATGATTTAATTAAACTTCGGATGCAGTACGTTCGGGCAACAGAGGTGAATAACGGGACGGTTATACCATGGTAGTTGGACGCACGATCACACAAGAAAAGAGGCCGTGATAGGGCGTTAAAGGTCGACCACTGACGACCATATCCTTGTGGTGTTCGAGAAGCTGATTAACGCGACTAACGGAATCAGCTGCTTCGGATTCAAGGAAAATGGATATGAGACGTAGCGGCAACAAACCCCGCTTTTATTTCGTGTTGGGCGAATTAATCTAAGTCTACCGTTGATACATGTAAAACCAATGGTACAGTAGAGCTGGTTGGCGCTGTGGATTGCAACTCGAACGACGTATCGAGCACTGCAAGTACTCATCGATCAGTAACCGGAAGTGAAATGAGCACTGCAAGTACTCATCGATCAGTAACCGGAAGTGAAATTTGGTCTACAGCTGCTGTTCATCACACGCAAATGTCGGTGAACAGCTTGCTCCTGTAAGCCTCTGCGCAGAGCAAGCTGGTAATACAGTATCCAGTAGAAATCACCGGTCCCCAGTCCAGGTGCTCCATGGCGGTGGTAGTGGTGGTGGTGGTGGTCCTATACAATATATTCTGCTCAAGTCTAAGCGAGCGGGTGCACCTACCAACACTTCTGGGTGGGACCCAACCTTTTGATTTACGAATAGCAAAAAAACAAAACGCGGTGTTGTGTCGCCAGTGTCGAAGAAGCGTGGACTCGCAGACTGTCAGTCTGACATTGACAATGCTTGCCAACCTGACACTCGGACAGTCAGACTGTCAGGTTGGCAAGCGTGCTTCATCGTCACGGATTTGACGCGGGAACTGACAAGTGGGAAGACCATCAATGTTGCCGTGCACCCCCTAGCAGCATGGCAGCAGGAAAACAACTGCTACTCGAGATCTACATGGTACGCCGAAACCTTGAAAAGCAACTGCCGCCGCGCCGAACAAACGGTCACAGGCCCTTGGTGATCGATCAGGGACCACCACGCTAATGCGTTTTTAATCGATCTCCAACCTCATTAATCCATTCTCCATCTGAGCAGCAAGTGACCAAGCGAGCATCCCCTCAAGGCTCAAGATGTTCAAGTCCTTCGCGCCGTTCGTTGCAGCTGCCGCCTTCGCGGTTGCGGCCACTTCCGCCGCGACCCTGCCGAACGGCTCGTGGCCTTCCAGCAAGGGCCTCGTGCAGTTCTCGGAGGTGCGCACCATCAAGGCGGGTGAGGTGTTCGACGGCAAGATGCAGACGTTCGAGCGCTCCAACGTCAAGTGCGGCGGCCAGTCCGAGAGCGGCTGGAAGACGGCCGTGTTTTACGTCGAGGCCGGCGGCACCCTCAAGAACGTCATCATCGGCAAGAACCAAATGGAGGGCGTCCACTGCGACCAGCAAGACTGCACCATCGAGAACGTGTGGTGGGACGACGTGTGCGAGGACGCGCTCAGCGTCAAGGGCGGCTCGGCCTCGAGCGTGACGAAGGTGATCGGCGGTGGCGCCCGCTACGCCGACGACAAGGTCATCCAGCACAACGGCCTGGGCAAGGTCATCATCGACGGCTTCTACGGCGAGGACGTCAGCAAGCTCTACCGTTCGTGCGGCACTTGCGGCCCCAAGGCGCGCGAGGTGTCCGTGTCCAACACGTACGTCGTGAACCCGGGCAACGCCGTGGTGACGGTCAACAAGAACTGGGGCGACAAGGCCACGCTCAGCAACGTCTGGGTCAAGTCGAGCAAGGCCACTGTCAAGGTGTGCCAGTGGTCGCAGGGCAACGCCAAGGGCGAGCCCAGCATACTGGGCCACGGCCCGTCCGGCACGCTGTGCAAGTACTCGACCAGCGACGTCCACATCAACCAGGACATCTCCAAGGCGAAGACGGCTCCGGCTGAGGACCCGACCCAAGGCGACGACGACTACACGGCCCAGACCCCGGCCCCCAAGTCGAAGAAGACGACGGCCCCCAAGGTGACCAAGGCCCCCAAGACGAAGAAGCCCGCTACCAACACCCCCAGCGTCGAGGATCCCACTCAGCAGCAGACCGGCCCCAGTGTCGACGACCCCACTCAACAAACCGCCCCCACCACCAACTCGACCTCGTCGATCCCGGACGGCACGTGGCCCGCCAGCAAGGGCACAGTCCGGTTCGAGAAGCCGTACGTGGTCAAGGCCGGTGAGGTGTTCGACGGCCAGATGAAGACGTACGACCGGTCGGACATCAAGTGTTCGGGCGGCGAGGGCCAGAAGGACACGGCCGTGTTCCTCGTGGAGGCCGGCGGCACCCTCAAGAACGTCATCATCGGCAAGAACCAGAAGGAGGGCGTCCACTGCGACGAGCACGACTGCACCATCGAGAACGTGTGGTGGGACGACGTGTGCGAGGACGCGCTCAGCATCAAGGGCGGCTCGGCCTCGAGCGTGACCACCGTGACCAACTGCGGCGCGCGCTACGCCTCGGACAAGGTGGTGCAGCACAACGGCTACGGCACCGTCAAGATCAACGGCTTCTTCGCGCAGGAGTTCGGCAAGCTCTACCGCTCGTGCGGCACGTGCGGCAACATCCCGCGCACCGTCACGGTGGAGAACGTGTTCGCCATCGACCCGCTCGTGAGCGTCGTCACGGTCAACAAGAACTACAACGACCAGGCCTCGTTCAAGAACATCCGCGTCAAGACGACCAACGGCAGGAACGACGTCAAGGTGTGCCAGTGGTCGCAGGGCAGCAAGACGCCGTCCAACCTGGGCGACGGCCCGTCGGGCAAGCTCTGCAAGTACACGTCGAGCGACGTCCACATCAACGAAGACTGAACACTTGTGAGCTAGAGTGTGGTTGTGCCCAAGCTGAAGTAGATGAACTATGTGGTAGCGCGTTGGTAGAGTGAAGATAATAGATGGTGCGTTCGTTCGATAGGGAAATCATGCCTGTGCAATTGGTTGGGTCAGTTATATTTCGGGAAAATTCCGGAATGTGATACAAAATGAAAATTTGTTCTTCTTCTCAGTTTCAGCGGCATTTGCTAGAACATTGGGCCGCGATATTGTTACCTCCAGCGGCGACATGAGGAGCAAGGGCCTTACTGTAAGGCATCCATGCAGTCGCCTTCATGCAGCGCGGGCAGTGTCGCTCAAGCGACGCAGAAGGCCACCACACTCAGGCAGTACAACTGGGCAATGCCTACACCGGCCCCGCCTTTACCACGTTTACCTAGTGCTACACTGACACAATTGATGCATCAGCACCGTGCATCGTATTAACGGACTGCCTGCTATCGATGGCCAAATGCAGTTGGGAGCCCTCTCCTCCGAGGAAGCCGCGCCGCGCTACGTGTCGGCGCGCGCCCCGCCGGCACCGGGAGCGCCTCCTAACTGCTGCACGCGCGCCGCTATGGCCGCCCGCGCTGTTGCTTGCTGCGGCCCCGCGCGCCCTGCCGGACTACGCCCGAGGCTGGAGTATGTCTGGCGGCGGCGCTGAGGAACCTGGTGGAGCCATCGGATCTGGCTGCGCCTGGCGCCACTGGCGGCGCTGCGTCGTAGTGCCAGACGTCATGTTCCGCGGGCAATGACGGCGACGGTGGCCTCGATGGGCCTCGACGATCCGGGCCCCCCGCCCGTGTCTGCCCGGCGCTCCTCGGATGCGTCCGCCCCGGTCGACAGCAAGACGCCCCCGGAGGCAAGGAGAAGACGACGACGACAAAGAAGAAGAAGCGCGAGGGCCAGGCGGAAGGCGTACATCGCCAGCTCCTTCTTGCCCAGCGCTTCCTCCTCCTCCGACGATGAAAAGCCAACCGCAACCGTTCCAGCGCATCGCATCGCACCATCGTCACCCCCGCGCCCGTCCTCGGAGGTCAAGCCATCGTTCTCGGCGTCGCGCAGGAACAGGCGCAACACTGTTTGGGCCCGATCCCGATCCTCCGACTCGAGCGTCAGCTACGACGCGGAGGAGAAGGCAGAAGCGGTCGTCGAGGCGCCGCCTGACAGGGAGACGATGGACGTGCCGCTGTGGTCCTGTACACCGCTCTCGAACGACATCGACGCCTCGGACCCAACTCGACCGAGACGACGCTGGGACTGACGCAAGGGAGAAGAGAATCGACGCTTTTGGAAAGCTCGGCCAGACGCTAAGTGGGGCCCCCAGAAAACGCTTCGCTACCTGGTGGCCTTTTCACTTTTGTCGCTGCAGATCTACCAGTTGTCAGTCTTCGTGGGCATGGACGAGTTCCCCAGGGTCATCCCGGGCGGCAAAATGAAGCTACTTCGGCTATGTCGTCACGAGTGCCTCGTGAAGTAGAGACACGAAAACGCAATCCACTATGTGAAGGACAGCGAGTTCAAGATCAACCAAGGGGCGAGGTGCTGGGTACGCCTCGTGTACGTGTTCGAGGACGCTGCGCTGCGCGACTACATCAGGAGCAAGCGTGGAGCATACGCTGATGCGCTCTTGGAGTCAAACTCGCCTAATCGGAAACCGCGATTTCCTATCGGATAACGAGATCCAAGATTCGTCTATGATGCACCTGCGCCGAAGGACATCTCCGGACTCTACAATCTCCTGGGCAACTCGGAGGAGAGGGCGACGGACGAATGGTCGGAGAACAACTGCATAATGAAGGTTGGCAACTCCAGGACCAGTGTGCGAGATCGCGCCGCGGCACAGATGACGGGGGCGGCTACTTCCATGCCGGCTAGAGGAGAGTCGTCGCTCTCTTTCTATGGCGCGCTCGACCGCGACGACAGCGTGAGGGCGGAGAAGCTGGCCCACGCCAAACTCCGCTCTCTCGGATTCGGCCACGGGCCGAGCAGCGGCAAAGAGCAGTTCGTGGTTTGCCAACACAGCTATGTGCTGTTCCACGAAGTCATTGTGGAGGTGTTCAAGATCTTCCCCGTCCCGGACCAGCCAACACAAGCTTCTGGCCTGGTCAAGGCAGGCCCCGCGTCGCTGAGCGCCGTCGGCCAGGAGACAGCCCACGCAGCAGCAAATAAGGCAAAAAAGCGTCGCCGGAGTTGACGCCGTCCGGCAGACGGAGGTATTCAGGGCTCACAGGGGCCACTCGTGCATACCTAAGCAAATATCAGCTTCACACTTCACTTGCCACAAGCTTACGAGGAACGTAAGGCCGTTTACCTTACGGCGGGCTGCACCACGAAGGAAGAAACATCTAGCACTACTCCATTTTTACCTTTGGTAGGTTTTGTATCGAGTTGGCGTGGACTAGCACAAGTTGAGATGTCGAACATCCGGGTGACACCCACCCACACTCAGTGTGAGCGTTCAAGTCGCAATGGCGGCAATCGACTGTTCGTGGTCTTGGCCAAGTGGGCTTCACGTCATGCCACCAGGAGCACTGTAAATTCTCGTAAACTACCTCCGTCTGTACTCATCGAACAGACTCACAGCCGGCAACTTGCTGCCCGTACAACAGAATTCAAGCGAAATCTGCCGTTCTCCTGGCTCCGCACCGTGCTCGGATTAATATCTCTCGCCTTGGTTTTATCAGATGTGCCTCGTTCAGGCACGGGTGTTTCTAGTCTGGGAGAGATAACTCCCTTACTCCAGCCCGATGAAATGATGGTACAGCGTGGAATTATTCCGTGTTTGCAGCAACTAAAGCGGACGCTTTTAGTGGTAAAAGAACAGCGTGTGTCTGGAGCTACAAGTTCGACTCGACTTCCGTTGTGTGGCGTGCATTCGGAAAGTTCTTGTCTGTGGATCAGTTCCCTGAATGTTTTTACTACTTAAGTCAATGCGCCAACAAGACGTTCGGCAGCGATGTGGCTTTTAAGATGATCGACTCTCTCGTTGATGCTGTGACCAACACGAGGAGATCGTACGGAGCTGCTGCGTCGGGACCCGTAGGACTGACAATACGCACGGAGAGTGAGTTCATTGATCGGCTTCACCAATATATATTACCAAGAATATTTACCACGATGAACTGGCGCACGAACCAGGCTCTGTACTATTCCCCAGAGGTGCTAGCAGGAATGGATGCAAGCAGCATTTGCTTCCCTGTAAATGGGAAAAGTGTACGAACTCCACGGTTTTGCCAAGAGTTGTGGATCAACTTTAGACGGACATGCGCATCGACCGATTTTAAAGGTAGGAGTGTCGGACTGCTGTATGTTCATACAATGCAACGCCTTCGAGATGCACAAGCGCGTTTTCCCAGCTTGCTGGTGGACTTGACGTTTCTAGAAAGTCTGGAAGACTTGCAGACATGCCGAGGTGGGCTCAGCTCAGTTGGATATCGAAGGTCGGATGTGAGCACGATTATCCGTGCTCGGAATTGCAGTGGCAAGGAAGATCACAGCGCGTGTGAAACCTTGTACGTGGAGGATTATCGATACGAGGCGGGGTTCCTCTTGTCCGATGTGGTTGAGTGGTATCGCTTAATCGTAGAGCTTCGAGTAGTTGGTCAGACTTACTTCTGGCTTCGCGGGATTGGATTAATTCTGAGCTGCTATTTTGTGTTTGGATTTTCCAAAGTCGGTAAACAAGAGCGGATATTGTCTCGGGCCAATCACGCGTGTCGGTTATTCGTGAAAGTACCTGAGCAATGCGTTGTGTATGGGAGTCCGTTCCCTGTGATATGCTACGCACTTGCTCACCTGTTGGACGCTTCGCTCATGTATGAGGTCTTCAAAAGTCGCTATTCCACTCAAGCAGGCATTCTGCAAGTCGATCTCCGCTCTTTCGTTTCATACGCAGTGGTGCAGATGCGGAACGTGTGGGTTTACGCCTTGATATGGCACATGATTGTCACTATGACGACGTCACGTTGGCAGACTCGAAGCAACCGAATGCAAAATGGAGTTATCGGTGTGCCGGCATTTTTCCTCAGTGCAGTGTCAAGTACGACGTTGTTTGCACGTACCGATCAACATCCTTCCGCTCTTCAAAGATCCTACAAATACTGCGTTTGTCTAGCAATGTTGGGCGTGGCTGGGTCACTAACAATTACCAGTATAGCTCTGCGCACCGGGGACAAGGCTCGATACTGTTGGGTGGTGTAGCTATCGATCTCAAGTTTCTCGCTTGTTGTATCTTAGTCCTTGCAGCCGCGTGGATATTTCGTCTGGTGTGGCTTCGTATCCAACAGAAGAAGCTTCAAGACTCGTATCGGTATTTCCTAGCACCGACACCTGTACCGTACTCGGCCGAAGTGTTGTGGCTTACTGCAAGCATCTGCGTACGCTGCGTGAGCAGCTTGTACTGTATTCTGGACGAGCGCAGACGAATCCAACAAAAACTCCGTAAAGAGGTTGTTTATGAACATTTCTCGCGGAGCTTCCGGCTGCTGGGATGGAGCAAATTCAATGGAGTAGTCGTTTCGTCTGCTCCTCAACCTCCTTCTGACCGAAAAAGGGCAAATTTACTATAAATCCTTAACTCGGGCTTCACAGCCAGCCAGGAATATCTACCGCACCATTCAGCATCGACTGAGCTGTCTTCATTGGCGATCGGATAAAATAGAGACAAGCGTGGCATTTATGAATGCCGTGATCATGAGCGATCCGCTCGTATACTTACACATGAGGCTTGGTGTGAGCCCTTCGACCCAGCTTGCGTACTACCAATCGATCTGGCCTCCACACCGAGTTGTACTTCTGCCGGAAGTTGTGGTTGGTAGTCACAACGAGTATTCCGCTGGACTCGTGATGCTCCGCCGAGTCAACGCATCCGAATTGACATGGCCGGAACTCGTACAGTGTGGGTAACGAGGCTGCAATATCCGTGCTACACCATGCTTCCTCAAACGCTTACTAAAAACGAACCCAGCACTACCAGCGCGCATCTCGGATAATAGTAAATGTAAATATTTTTCATGTTCCTCTCAACCGCATTGCACAAGTTCTGGCCATGAAAGTTCTGTTGCTCTAACCCGGCGGAGCATCCGAAGCCCAGCAGTGTACTCATTGTGCTCACCGACTACCACGACAGGTAAGAGAACAACCCGATTGGGCCGCAAGAGTGACTGATAGTGGGCCAAATCTGTCGAGGCACCATTCCCAAATATCATGCGCAAGTACACGAGCGGATCGCTCATGACCGCGGCGTTAACGAACGCCACGTTGGCCTCGACCTCGTCCGAACGTCCACGAAGACACTTCATCTGATGCTGAATGTACCGAAATGAAGTCGCTTTACTACCACCATAAGAAGCCCGATCCGGCGTAGTCGATTGATTTTGCAAGTAAGCGGTGAAGACTAATGGAGCAATTCCTCCGTCGACACTACTCCATCGTAGGAACCGCGACGTTTGTGAAAGAAGGCGGTATAACTTATGTTTGAGTTGAAAATACTGCTGATCTCGGATGCAGAAGAAGTTTACGGTCCATTGTACGCTCATACTGGTGGAGGGCCACAAGATCCCAGCCGAGTATGGTACAGGAGTTGGTGCGAGTACACACCAATCGGAAAGGTGACGCTTCTGCATACCCTTTTTCCTGTACAAGGCGAGCGACCATAATGTAAGCGCCATCCCGACGGCTACCAGAGCGAGCAAAATGAAAATGAGAAACTTGAAATCGATTATTACTCCACCAAGGAGGACATTTCCTCGTCCTCGAGGAGCAAAATTGTACTGGTACTTGGCGGTCGTCCAAGCACGATTAGTGTTGCTTGGCAGCTGGATCATGCCCAGAACCTTAGACGATCGAAAAGATGTCTTGCGATATTGAGCAAATAATGTGATACTCGAAATCGCGCTTAGAAACAATGATGGTACCCCCATAATCCCATTATTTAGTCGGGTGCTTCGAGTTAGCCAGCGTGACGTCAGAACACCCATCGCTATATGCCACACCAGCGCGTAAACGCAAACATTCCGCATCTGTATCACGACATACGAGATGAATAGGCGGAACGGTAGGTAAAGCACCCCCGACTGAGTGAAGAACCGACCTTCGAGCACCTGGTACGTGAATGGAGCATCGAGCAAATGGGCGAGTACGTAACACAGCACCGGGAACGAACTGCCGTACACTACGCACTGCGTCGGCACCTTTATGGACAATCGCCGTGCTTTCTTCAGCCGCACCAAGATTGACATTTTCTTTTAAGACTTCGGGGTACCGTGAACGAAGTAGCAGCTCAGCATTAAGCCAATTCCTCGAAGCAAAAAGTAGCCTTGACCAACAATTCGGAGCGCCGCCAGTAGCCGATACCACTGGACAATGTCGGAGATTAACAGACCCGTTTCGTAGCGATAGTCTTCAAGATATACGGTCTCACAGGAGCTCGGAACGTCGATGTTGATGCATTTACGAGCCCGGATGACAGTGCTAACGTCCGATCGACGGAATCCTGTCCACGATAGTCCACCTCGAGACACTTGTAAATCCTCCTGGCTTTCCAGAAATGTCAAATCGACTGCCAAGTGTGGGAAGCGAGCTTCCACCTCTCGGAGACGTGCCATCGTGTGCACATACAGCAGCCCAACAGCTCTACCTTTGACGTCAGCTGGCGCGCACGATTTGTCGAAGTTGATCCAGAGCTCACTGCAGAAGGGAGGGATCTGGGTCCGGTTGCCGTTGGCAGGGAAGCAAATACTACGAGCGCTCATCGTTGCAAGTAGCGCGGGTGGGTAATAAAGCGCCTGGTTGGTTCGCCAGTTGATGTTGGTAAACCACGTAGGAAGCAAGAATTGGTGCAGACGATCGATGTACTCATTTTCGGAGCGTATTGATAGCCCAATTGGAGGAGACGCAGCTTGTACTGCATCTACAAGGGAATCGACCATCGCAAAGGCCAACTCACTGCTGAAGAATTCATCGGAGCACTTTTCGCTGTATGAAAAACGTCTGGAAATTCTTTCAAGTCCAAGAATCCTGCGAATACCCTCCAAACGATGGAAGTGGAGTCGAATTTGTAGCTCCACACGCGCGCCTTAACTGTGCCACTAGAAGCCTCAGCCTTAGTTGCCGAGAACACTGAATAATTCCAAGATGTGCCGAACCCCATCGTCTCATCGGGCTGGAGAGACGGGTAAATGTCCAAGACACTAGCCACGCCCAACCCAGAGCGAGGGACATCGGAAAATACCAACGCCAGCGAAATAATCCCGAGGACGAACTGGGGCCACGCAAGAGAGAGCTGTCGGTCGAACACTTCATCACGGGTAACAAGCTGGCGGGCGAGGGTGCCATCAATGAGGTTCGTAGAGGAATTCCGTTCTTGTGAAGCTAGTTGATACCTCTTGATGTAGCGGGAGAGCCACGTGGATAAAATGGCGGGCACTCGATCATCTTCATCTCGAGTGGGAGCAGGAGCGGGTGCTATCCGGTTTGACGACATTCTCATTCGTCTTGAGTCCAAAAGTGGCATATATAACAAGGATATCAATCCCCCATACAAATTTCGATCAGCACCACTTTACTGCCGTCTTCGAGCAAGGCTAAGTGCTTCAAAATGTTAAGAAATATTTAAGAAAAAAAATATTGTGGCGCTTCGTATTCATCCGCACTGCACAAGCTCCGGCCAAGTGAGCTCCGAGGCATTCACGCGTCGAAGCAGTTTCAGTCTGCCCGTGTACTCATTGTGCTCTCCAACCACCACCACCGGCAGGAGCACGACCTGGTGCGGCCGCAACAGAGACTGATAATAGGCCAACTCAGTTGATTTGTCTCTTCCGAGCAGCGTGCGCAAATACACGATGGGGTCACTCATGAGCACCGCGTTCATGAAGGCCACGTTAGCTTCCACGTCGTCCGAGCGCCCGTGCAGACACTTCATCTGGTGCTGGATATACCGGAACGTGTTGACGTTCATCAGCGCGGACGGAGTGCTGTACTTGTACCTGTGGATCTGTAGTCGCAGCTCGGCGACTGCTAGCTGCTTTGCATGGAAGCTGGCGGTCAACGGAACGACTAGGCCTTTGCCGATCCTTGACCTTTGCCCCCGCAATTTACTCGACTGACGTTGCTGCCACTGTAGCTGCTGCTGTTGCAGCAGTTTGCGCTGCTTCTGCTCGTCTCGGATGCAGAAGAAATCACTCGTCCAATGCACACACATGCTCACAGTGGGCCACAAGACTCCAGCCGAGTACGGCACCGGGGTGGGGGCGAGGATGAACCAGTGAGAGAAGCGGTACTTGTCCCCTCCAATGATGTAGTTGATCCAGATCACACGCGTGGCCCACGCGCCAGCGATGACGAACACCAGGCAGATGAGAAACTTGAGGTCGATTATAACCCCTCCGAGCAGCACACTGCCGCTGCCTCGGTGCGAGAAGCTGTACTGGTACTTGGTCGCTACCCACGTCTTCGCTAAGTTGTCGGGCATGACCACCATACTCAAAATCTTCGACGAGCGGAATGATGTCGACCGATACTGAGCGACCAGCGTGATGCTGGAGAAGGCACTCAGTAGGAACTCGGGGACGCCGATGATGCCGCTGGTTAGCTGGTTGTTGCGCGCTAGCCAACGAGAAGTCGTGACGCTCACGATCATATGCCACACCAGCGCGTAGATCCACACGTTCCTCATCTGCACGACTGCGTACGAAATGAACGCATCCAGTTGAATATCCAACACGCCCCCCTGCGAGAAAAAGTGGCTCTCCAGTACGTCGTACGTGAACGGAGCGTCCAGTAAGTGGGCGAACACGTAGCAACTCACGGGAAATGGACTCCCAAACACCACGCACTGGGTCGGCACTTTCATGAACAAATGCCGCGCCTTACCCACGCGCGTCCAGGTTGACATGGGCTTGTGAGATTTCGGCGTGCCGTGAACAAAGTAGCAGCTTAGCATCAATCCAATGCCCCGAAGGAGGAAGTACGCCTGGCCGATAATCCGCAGAGCTGCTACGACTCGATACCACTGGACGACGTCGGAGATTAACAGACCAGTTTCGTACCGATAGTCGTCCACGTACACAGTCTCGCAAGAGCTCGGGTCGCTGCAATTGCGGGCGCGGATCACTGCACTGACATCGGATCGTCTGAATCCGAGCGACGTGAGTCCTCCTCGACACGCTTGCATGTCTTCTTGGCTCTCAAGCAGTATCAGATCAACTACCGAGGTCGGAAACCGCGACTGGATAGCACGAAGACGCTCCATCGTGTGGACGTACAACAACCCCGCACTTCGGCCTTCGAGGTCGCTCGGCGCGCACGATCGATCAAAATTTGTCCACAACTCACCGCAAAACCGCGGTGTGCGGATTCTACTACCGATGGGAGGGAAGCAAAGCGTACGCGCGTTAGACGTTGCCAGAAGCTCCGGCGAATAGTACAGCGCCTGGTTCGTGCGCCAGTTGATGTTGATGAACCAGGATGGGAATATGAATTGGTGCAATCGATCGATGTACTCGCTCTCCGTGCGTAACGTGAGCCCTACAGGCCCGGATTGTGTCCTTTTATCATCGTTCACTTTTGCAATTGAGTTCACGAGCGAATCGATCATGGTGAATGCCACGTTGCCGCTGAAAGTTTCGTCGGGACATTTACTTTCATATAAAAAGCATCCGTGAAAATTGGGTACTTTCAAGAAACTCGCCATTGCCCGCCAGGTGACCGACGTCGAGTCGAATTTGTAGCTCCACACGCGCGCCGTCGTGCTCCCGTTCAACGCTTCGTCTTTAGTCGATGCAAACACGGAATAATGCCACGACGTGCCAAAACTTACCACTTCGTCGGGCTGCAGAGGCGGGTAAACTTCTTGGAGATTTGAGACGCCCACACCGGATCGGAGGACGTCGGAGAAAACTAATGCAAGCGACACGAGGCCAATGAAGAAGCGGAGCCATGAGAACGGGAGATGCCGCTCGAATACTTTCTCCCGGGCTACCAGTTGCCGTGTGTGTGTCTTCTCAATCAGAGCGGCTGGAGTAATTGTCTTCTTGGAGCTCAACTTATTTTTCTCGGCGTGACGCGAAGCCCAGCGGGATAACGCCACCAGCGCTCGAGTGCCGTCGCCTCGACTTGGCGTGACTCGAGTTGGGGACATGCTGGCGATGATTGCTGCTTGCCATACACACAAAACTGATAATAGCACAGCGTAAATTGCTTCGTTGCATCAGTCGGTCCTACTCGGGCACCTAAAAATATGGTGAATTGGCGTTCGTCCGTTTTGGTGTAATCCGGGGCATGAGGGCTTCCTTCCAGCAGCATCTAGCGCCGTGGTCCACCGCCCGCCCGCTTTATCTCTTAAGTGTACGCTGTTTCTCCGCGTGGACAACAATCTTCTCGTCCCGAGACAGGCCCTTCCGCTTGCGCACGGCCTCGATGTAGCGCCTCACGTAGTTGTGCTCGTACACGCGCTCGCCGTAGTCCTCGCGCTCCTCCTCCGTCTGTGGCTGGAAGAACGGGTCCATGTCGATGATGCTCCAGTGCGAGAAGATGAGCTGCGGGTTGCTCGCAGCGCCGGACGTCTGGATCAGGAGATCGGTGGCGAACCCGAAGCTCTCCACGACGGGCAGGTGGGCCTTCACGGTGAAGAGGGCGGTGCCGTCTGATAACTCTTCCGAGTAGATGTCGCCTCGTCGCTTGGAGATGACGCTGTAGAGCTTGCCGAGCTGCTCGGCTTGACACTGCACCGTGCACTCGTACACGGCCTCCACCAGACGAACGGGCTGCTTGACAAACGCCATGAGGCACGTGGTGCGCATGATGGAGATCACCTGTCCACTCAGCGGTCCGTACTTGCTGGCCTCGGCCTGTTCCTCCTCGGACTTGTCCTCGTCGCTCTTCTTGTCGTGGAACACCACGTCTTCGATGACGAAAGCCACGCCCCACACAGGCTCGTCGCACAAGGGTCCAGCGGATGAAGCCATTTGGAATCCGGTCACGATACTGTTCTCCAGCTTCCTGATCTGCTCAGCCTTATCCGAGTCTTGCTCCTGCACTTCCGTCGCCGACTTAGATGGGAACAGGCACCCACGCGCGTGGAAGCCCTGGATGTTGTTGATCAGCATGTTGGGGCCAACTCGTCGAGGACCGCAGCTCCAGATCTGTTTAAGTGGGAGGGACTTGAGAAAGTTATTGTCACTTGACTGGAGCGACTTCTCCAGCTTCTTCTTGAACGCTGAGACGTCCTCAGCAGCAGCTTCCACCTCGACAGACGCCTCCGTGCCGTTCGTCTCTTCGGCCGCCTTCCTACTCTGAGTCACCCGCTTCAAAAGAGCAGCGCTTTCTTCCAAGAGCTTTGCGGTCTCAAGAGGCAGAGGAAGCGCTCGTAGTTTCAACGTTAAGGTGCCGTCTGGAGTAGTTCCCAGTGCCACCTTCGGGTCGACATCTTCAATAGCTTCCACGGCGTCCTTGTCCGTTTGGTCGTCCTTAGACCCCTCCGGATTGAGAAGGTCTTTGAACACGATGTTCTCCTGGAACGAGGAGATAGTGCCATCCACAACGCTCTCTCGGAATCCGACCAATGGCTCGGAAACTTGCACCGCCACCTTAGCAAACCGCTCCTTGAGGTCCTTGATGCATCGCTCCAAGTGCAGCTCACCGAGTGCCACGATAACGTGCTCTCCAGTCTCCTGCACATGCACTTCAACAGTCGGGTCGGACCGATACAGACGCTGCAGACCGGCCTCCAAGGCGCCAAAGTTGCGCGGGTCTTCCGGCTCCACCGCGACGCGGACAATCGGCTTCGCTTGGTAGGGCATCTTGGTCAGTGACGGACACGCCAGTGTCGACGACAGCGTCGCCGTCTTTAGCACATGCTCCTGCAGCCCCACCATGCCCACAATGTTTCCGGCCGGCACACGGTCCAGCTTGTGCAGGTCACGCCCCATCATCATGTACGTCTTGATCAAGCCGCTGTCAATGCGCGCGACGTGCTTGACGGTCGTGGGGTCGATGGTTTCAACGTCAATGTCCCCCGGAACACCCTGAAACTTGGGATCCATGACGTATATAGGTTGGCCCTCACGCAGCACTCCAGAATAGACGCGCCCAACGCCAACGTAAACTTCGTCAGTGGCAGCAAGGCCCGACTGGTGGTAGTCGGACAGCACGTTGGCCTCCACTGAGATCACCTTGCAAATATAAATGACCAGCGGCGCCTCGTCCGACGTCTGGCAGGACTGCAGCGAGTTGAAAACCTTGGCGTGCTGCGGGGACTTCTCCAGCTGCTCCGAGGAGATCGTGCACAGCTTCTCCGCGCGCTTCATCTGGGCCGTCACGGGGCTCGGCAGCACGCGCGTGACCATCTTGAGGACCGTGGTGGACAGCGGCAGCCACCTGCGCATCACAGCCTGAGTCGCGTTCTTGCGGTCCGTTTGCTTGAGGTCCCTGTCTGTGACCAGCTTGGCGACTCGCAGTTGACGCGTCAGCTTGCGCAGCGCCTCCAGGTCCACGTCCGACTCGACCGGCTTGATCATACTCGAGTACGTCATCCAGATGAGCTCGAGGATGAAGGAGCAGAACATGGTCTGGCTGTTAGAGGTCGGGGGCTTGGTCACGATCTTCTTGGTCTTGCCGTTGTAGTAGTACTCGCCCCACAGCGCCTGACGCATGACCCGAACGGGTAGATCCAGCTTCTTGGCGTAGAACGCCGCAAAGTACCCGATACCGAAGGCCCAGCCATCCGTCGCACTGGCGAAGATGACGTTGCCGTTGGCCGGCGAGAAGAGCATCTCGTTCTCGAGCTGCTCCGTCTCCTTCGAAATGGCTTCATCATCCAGCGTGAACTCAATCTTGTCCGCACTGATGGCTTCATTTTCTTCACTGTAGCCATCTTTCTCCTTGTCCTCAGATGGGCCTTCCTGGTCGTATTTCTCCAGTACATCGATCCTGATCATGGAGCTCAGCACAGCGTTGGCCTGTTCCAAGATGCGGTTGAGTCTCTGATACGCTTCCATGGGCGAGAACTGCAGCTCGAAGATGAGACGGTCCATCTTGTTGATCACGAGGCAGGGACGGATGCCCTCCTTCCAGGCCTGGCGGATCACGGCGTGGGTCTGGGCACAGACTCCTTCCACTGCGTCAATGAGTACCAGTGCCCCGTCACAGAGCCGGACTGCAGTGGATACATCGAACGAAAAGTCCACGTGGCCAGGTGAGTCCACGAGGTTGATGAGGTACGGAGCTTCCGGTGCCTTGTCGGCCACGGGCTCGGGCTGGTACACGAGCGAGATGGCGCTGGACTTCATAGTGATGCCGCGCACCTGCTCCTCCTCCGTGTTGTCGAGGTACCGCACCTGCAAGCAAGATGGATACAGTGTTTTCGTGAGTAAGAAGGCTACATGTTTGTGAGCAAAAAAAATGGCTACATATGGACTGCGTTGCATACCTTGCCGGCGAGCCGCTCCGAGATGATGCCGTTGGCCGACACGAGGCTGTCGCTGAGCGTCGTCTTGCCGTGGTCCACATGCGCCAGGATGCAGATGTTGCGGATGCGCTCGGGCGCGTGCTGCAGTGCACCCAGCAGCTCCGGCGTCGCCCGCGTCGTCATGGCTGCGCTCGCGGATGGCAGGTACTGGTGGCTTTGAACTAGCTCCCTCTCTACAGGGGACTTTTAGAGTCCGTATAAAGGGATGGGTACAGAGATTTGACATGGATACACTTTCAGGCCAAGGTTTTCAACTTTACGTAGACGGAAGTTAGCCTGTTAGGGAGGCGAACAAGCACATGCATGTGCTCGTGCCTGTTTTACCAAAGGGTTTTGGCCAGTTTAGTAGAATTGACCAGTTTAGTAGAATTGACCAGTTTAGTAGAACCAGTAATGTTGCAGAAATAATGAAATACGTGCTTTGATTGGCTATAAAACTCTTACCACGCGTTTCCATATGGTAGTTTGATACAAAGACCAGTATTATTCCGCTCTACTAAACTGATCGCAGCATACTGTAGGTATGTTTTCTTTGGCGCGCTACAATAGCACTTTCATTACTGCTAACTGTGTCTGGATTGGTGCACATGTTAGAGCAAATCTAGGGCTTTCATTGTGTACACATTTTATCTCCAAAAGATTAGTAGTTTTCAAGAAAATACTTTTCAAAGTCAAAACTTCAGCTTGCTCTACTAAACTGGCCAATCAGTAACTTGGATGTTGTCAGGACTTGCGATGCAAATTGGATCCACTGAGTGGACAGTTTCCTGCTATGCAGTTCGCTTTCGCACGGCGCCCACCGATCGCACGCCACATCAACAGAGTTTTCACCCGCCTCCGTAAACTTGACACAGGACCCACCATGGTTGATCCACTTGACGTCGTGCGCGTGTTCGGCAGCGCGATACCGATCGTTCATCTCTGAACTGGCAATGGCAATACTGAACGTGACGGAGCGCTTGCCGTTCGCTTCAGTGGCTGAGTGTCGTTGAGTAAGCTGGATGTACCGGGTGTGCACCCGACCTGGAATGTTCACCACCATTACGCAGCAATCGTCGTCGAGCTCCTGAAGCACTTGAGATCTCACCACAGGGCGTTGGCTCTGTGTCCAGTTCGGCGGAGTGACGATGACCGGTCAAGTGTTAACGTCCGAATTAGACACCATCGTGTCCGCAGCGAGAAGCGAAAACTGCATCTGAGTCCTGAGGCTGACACACGCAAAATCCTTCGTGGGAGGAGCTGCACGATGAACTGTCCAGCCGAAAATGTGCCCAACAACAGGGGTATCTTCGACAGGGAAGTTCCGCGCGCGATCCACCACGACGTCGAACTCAGCGCGTGTGAAAGGGTGGGAGTAGAAGGGAGGATCACCGTTCCGAAAGTAGACGCGACAGCCAGAGCCGCTCAGTTTGGTGTGAAGAGCAACCCGAGACGTCTTGCTGGTTTCGTACACGCTTTGTGGGGTTGTCTTGACGGCAGGTAGCAACACGTCATCTTCCACTGCCTCGCTTACACCCCGCAAAACGTACTCGAACCGATGGAGTTTCAGCTGGAGATCGGCCCAACTGGTCGCCGCACCGTGCGCGATCGACGAGGTTGCTCTGGTTCATAGCAGGGATCGGACAATATCCATTGTTTATGGATTGTTGTTGAGGCGGCCGCCTCAATCAATATTGTAACAATCTCAATATACTCCTCAATACATTGCAATATGCGTATCTAATTGTGTATCTTCAAGTTGAAGTCGTCTTCACAGTCTTGGCAGAGGCATAAATAGTTTTCGGGTAGGCCGCACAAGACGGGAGAGCACGGTAGACAGCGGAGTCGTTTGAGCGTTCACTTTCGAATTGACCCCCTCCAAGTAACCGTCTCCCCCGACCTCACCGCGACTGCACCACGCTCCCTTAAGACACCACTGCCTGTAAACGCCCGCAAACGAATCGAACGCACACCATCGCGCTCCTCAAACAAGGTTTCGTCGCTCGACTCGCACGCGCAAGTCACGAACCCCCAAGACCAACGCATCTCGAAGGCCGTCCCGACCGATCCAACCCGTCCTGTCGGTGGCTCACGTACAACAAGACCAGCAGCACTTGCTCTCACCCCTACTTCAACATGGCCACCAACTCAGCATTCACCCTTCTCGGCCCAAAACTCGACTCCAAGACTGTTGTTGCCATGTTGTTTCGAGAACCAAGCACCCTGGGTCGGACGTGCAACGCGTGCAACAACTTCGTCAAGCAGACCAAGTGGGCCGGAAACACCAACCTGCTCAACCACCTCGTGTCCAAGCATCCTAGCTACGAGGGCATCGCCCGGAAGTGTTTGCGCGAAAAGCGCGTCGTCACCATGGACATGTTCGTCGACCGGCACACGCAAGAGACGTACCAGTGGATGAATCTCGTCGTCCACAAAAACTTCACGTTTGCTGGCGTGGATGACGAGACGGTGCGTGCCGCCGTTAAGTTCAACTCTATGAGCTCGAAGACCCTGAAAGCCCGTATGGTGCCAAATGTTGAGCCGCCGCGGTGAGTGCAGCAAATTTGCCTTTAGCTCTTCCTCCAAAAGCTGTCGTTCCTGAGCCAAGTCCGCCGCAGTTGCTTTCTTCTTGCGCCGGTAGTTCACCGTCCGCACACGCTGGCGCTCTCGCCGCACCTGCTCGAGCTTGACGGCCCCCCGCAGAGCGTGTTCCGTGTCTTTGAAGTCATAATCGACGTCGACGTTATCCGCAGCGAGTTGAATGTAGATGCTCTTGGCTGTCAGCGAGGCCATGGCGTTTGGTCGAAATGACTTGGAGTGACGTGACCGCTTTTGGGCAAAATGGATTCTGCAGAGCTGCAGGTTGAACCACTGTGGTTTTAGCAGATCTAACGTCATACAAGATGATGACATACGGAGTCGACGTACAGATGATACTCTAGTAGCCTCAGAGTCAGACAGCACACAGATGACTGTACAAGACAGGACCGGACTCCCGTACAACATGACAGGAGAGCCGACACACAGCCACTCTTATTTCGTCCACAGTGGAATGTGGAACTACTGGCTTGACCTCGGACACAACGCTCCTGATGTAATTGGGTCTACCTCCTGCTGAGCCTCTCTCGAATTACCCGCCGACGCCGCAGCCCAGTTTGCAGCAGAACACGCATCCTTGCCACTTACATCCGAGGGTGTTGCGTTGGACACAACTATTTCAGTTGTTGAATTAAAAAAAAAGTAGTAAGCGCATATAGATGTATGATGGAGAGGCTCGACTCGGATTCTAGTCAGGTCCAGCTCGTGGGGCTTCATCACACCAGCTTAGAAGGCGATCACATATGGTCAGGCCTCCTTAAACATGGGATTTTCACGGATTTTCCCAGATTTCCCATTTTTAAATCTCAAATACTCCCGTGAAAAACAGAAGATTTTATGCTACGGAATTGTATATGATTAGCTCTTGGCGTCGCAGCGCAACGAAGAGAACGCTTTCTAAATGCTGAAAGCGCTCGAATAATGGTCCAACACGGCTATGGGACGATAGGAACCGTCTACTGGGTTCATTTACCTTATGTTGTGTCAGGTATCTTTGTAAGCTTGAGCTGCCAGGACAGGGTGGGGAAATCAAGGGTGGGGGTGGACTTTTGAGGTTGCAAATTCACTAATAGAATGCTTGCTACGGCCCATTGTTGCTTGGATCAGGAGACCTATGCTACGGGTTACGTAAGTATTGTTGTTAGATCACGGCAATCTTTGCGTATCAGGTCTCTTTTTTAGTAGATGTAAGGAAAACATATTCAATCAGCGGAACTGTCAACGGTAATTAAACGTGGGCGCTTTTCAATATTGAGGTTGTTCCGCATAGACAACGAACATCACGACAGCACTGACTGTGATGCACGTTAATGTTACTACTTGGGGTTCTTATGATGACATCTAATGGCTCTGAGGGCCATTCCTAACGAGATCACCGGGGTATGATCTCGGCTGTGGTTTGGGGTGGAAGGAAGCATGATCTCAAAGCCGTTCCTAACGAGATCGTGATCCATGTCCAAATAGATAACGAAAGGCTCGAGTTCGCGTTGAGGGCGGCCGCCATTATGAGCTTCACGAGATGTGTTCGTTTGCATTTGCGATCGAACGCTGCTTTGCACTTCGACAATGCATTTGATGCAAGCTGCTTCAATGGCTACAGTAGAGAATGACTGCGCAAAACTGCAGTAGTGCTTTGAGTACAGCCTTCTAGGTTCCACAATAGCTTTAACGAACTCCTTGCACTCATAGAGTTTACACTCGGGCGAACATTAGTCAAAACCGTGGCTACGAAGGCTGCTGGAGTCTAAATCCTTTGACGGCATTTGGCAGTGATCCGTGATCCGAGATTGGGGCATGAGCCATTGCTTGGATCATGGGATGTATCTATTTTAGCCAATCACGTAGCATAATTACGGGTCATGATCCTCACATGATCCCGTTAGGAACGGCCAGTATCAACATCGGAAATAAGTGGGTGGATCATTTGACTTGAGTAAAGTATGCGTCCCGTAACTCCCATATTCAAATCCAGAATTCTCCCTTGATAAGCGACTTTACGGGAAAACTGGGAACTCCCATCTTTAAGGAGGGCTGCATATGGTGGTGACTGAATGGAGACTATTGTGGTAAGAGATAATACATGTATCACTGTCCATGAAGACTCAGAAATTCTGCCAGCTATGCATGTACATGTATTAGCAAATACAGATGCAAAAGGCTCACGACAAAGCAAGGCGCGTGCGGAAGTTTAAAGTTGGAGCATCTTGGGCTTTTTGAATCAAGGAGAGAGATTAAACTCACTGCTTGGCACTCCTGCCAAAACTACAATACAAGCACGATGCAGACTACTGCTTAACTTCACTAATTAGGAAATTAAAGCCATGCCAGTAGTGAAGCACTCCTTGATATTTCTCGATTTGGTCTGCCACCAACAGTGCAATTAATCTTAGGAGCTTCCACAGTTTTCAGCCATGAAATGCCTTCAGGCTTTCGAAGTTGGCCATTTCGCTCGAAGTCGCTTTATATTCAATAGAAACAAATGTGGTAAGGCGAACTACTCGAGGAAATCAAGCTATTCACGCAAATATATGAAGGTTCACGAAAGGGGAGGATACGCCTACCGACAACGTCCTCGGGCCTCGACGACGGCAATTTTCCGTCTAACGTTAGGCGCAGCGCATGTCCGTTCCCAGTGGCTGGCAAGTCTGCCCGGTGGGGCAGTACGGGTAGTCCCATTCGTTCGTGCCGTCATGTTGGCCGCACAGTTCCCCGTTGCCCAGAGTGCCAGGTTTGCACTGCCAGTAGCTGCTCGAGTGCTGCACGCACCAATTGCCGTCGGCACAGACGGCGTCAGAAGCGCTACAGTCGTCCCAAAGGGCGACGTACGTCTTCGTCGGCGCCTCCTTCGTCTTGTCTTCACCTTCCTTGGCATACTCGTCGTAGTACCAGTCAATGGCTTGGCAGCGCTTGACGTTCTGGCCGTCGTCCGACCAGCGGCACTCGTAGTTGGGATCAGCACAGCAAGTGCTGCCGGTCCAGTTCTGACCGTCACACTGTGACTCGTTCGTGATGGTGCACGAACCCCAGTTCCTCTGCGAAATTGTCTTCCGGCGCTGCTTCTTGTTGGTGCAGCGGAAGTCTGTGCCCGTGGCGGTACACTTCTGGCTGCTCGGGCACTTGTCGTACTTCCAGTCGTTGGCCGCGTCTTTTTGGCCGCAGAGCTCCCCGGCCGGTAGTGTGGCCGGCTTGCACTGCGAGTAGTAGTTGGAGTACTTGACGCAGACACTGCTAGGATTGGAGCACTTCTGACCACCAGTGCAGGCCCCCCAGTCGCCAACGCCACCGCCCTTCTCGTTGATGCGGAGGTGGATTGATACTTGTTCAGTGGCTTCTACAGCGGAGAGGGCAGCGACGACTGCGACGGAGAACGTGGAGATCTTCATGGGAACTGGAGATTGGAGAGAGGCTTGGCTTGAGGTCGACGGCGCAAATTGCAGACTGAGGCGCGTTGAGCAAGTGGCCTCGCCAGCCACTCGTGGCTAGTGATATCACGTGCCTGGATTCGAGGAGTCCCCACAGGAATAAGATCGCTTCGGGGACTTTGTTGGAGCCACACCCGCGTGGGGTATCATTTTGGAGACGCTCGATTGGCCGATGTAAGGTTTCCGATGGGTATGGCTCACTGCAAACCGGCGGATGTGTTCTCTTTTTGAACAAAAGGTCTTTAGCATCGTGCTGGTCCTTCCTTCGTCACTGCCATCCTACATGTTACCCGCTCGCGTGAAGCTTGGAAAATGAAAACTTGTATAAGCAAAGATCGACTGTCACTGCGATACTCTTCAGATTAATTATTCCGGTGATTGAGCGAGGAATGCGGCTACATCGCAAAGTTGCTCTGGTGCAGACTCGCACGAGCTTCCGCACGAAGATCGCAGCTTGCTCAAGCTAAACCGGGAGGCACTCAACCTGAGACCTTCGAGATCGGAGCTCTTCGGGTGGGCGAGAATGTAACGCCAGCGTCCCTTTGGACATCCTTTTGTTAAGACGGGCGAGGATGAGTGGACACCACTTCGATATTCGCACCTTCGCCACCAAGCCCGCTCCACGCTCTGATCGTGCTTCGGAGCTAGCATGAGGATATTCGCCCTCGCCGTCTCAGTAGCCGCAGCTCTCTCCACAGTGGAGGCAGCCAGGCACGCATCCGTCCACCTCCGCGTTCACCAGAAGGAATCCTCCTGCACTATCCCGAACGAGTCCCAGTGCGACGGCCAGAACTGGACGGGCAGCACTTGCTGCGCCGACCCCAACTACGAGTGCCGCTGGTCGGACGACGGGCAGAGCGTCAAGCGCTGCCAGGCCATCTACGCTCACAACAGCATCATCAAGAATGACTATATCGACGGGGAGCACGCGTACATCGACGACTGGGGCAACTGCACAGCTACTGACGCCGTTTGCTCCGAGCCAGCGAGTGTGTGCCTCCAGCAGTCGGACACCTTTTGACAGTGCTTGCCCGAGACGCTGCCAGCGGGCGGCGCAATATGCGGCATGAAGTACGACGAGTACGATTGGTTCTACCCGCACTGCCCCGGAGGAGAATACTGCAAGAACTTCACAACGCTCTCGTTCTGCACCGAGGAGACTCAGCACGCTGGATCAGAGTAAGCAGTACGTAGTAGTAGTATACAGGAAGACAGGCGTGAGTTGAATGCAACATTGATTGTGTTCATAGTGACGCATTGGTCATAGAGCTATCGACGGTCGCGGGGGCTGCGAACAAGCTGCCTACCCGCCCATTGCCAGCTACCCACGCTTACGCGCGGCGGTGCTGGCGGTGGTGGTGGTGGTGGCGCTTCTTCGCCTTGGTGCAGCGGAAGTCTGAGCCGTTGGCCACACAGCTCTCTCCGTCGGTGCAGAAGGGGTACCACCACTCGTTCGTGCCGTCGCTCTGGCCGCAGAGCTCGCCCGCCGGCAGCGGGTAAGGCTTGCACTGCGCGTAGCTCGTCGAGTGGTAGACGCAGATGCTGCTCTCGTTGGAGCAGCCCACGTCGGCCTTGGTGCAGTCAGCCCAGTCGTCCACGTAGCTCGTGTACTCGATGTCGTCGCCGTAGTCCTCGCTCCAGTCGTCCTCCGAGTCCCCCGAGTCATACGAGTCCGAAGCGTCCGTGGTAGGAGCATCCGAGATCTTCTGGCAGCGCTTGACGTTCTGGCCGTCGTCCGACCAGCGGCACTCGTAGCTCGGGTCGGCGCAGCACGTGCTGCCGGTCCAGTTCTGGCCGTCGCACTGCGACTCGTTGGTGATGGTGCAGGACCCGTCCTTCTGCGCGCTCTTCTTGTGGTGCTTCTTGTTGGTGCAGCGGAAGTCCTTGCCCATAGCCGAGCACTTTTGGTTGCTCGGGCACTTGTCGTACTTCCAGACGTTGGTGCCGTCGTTCTGGCCGCAGAGCTCTCCGGCGGGCAGCGTGGCGGGCTTGCACTGCGAGTAGTAGTTGGAGTACTTGACGCAGACGCTCGACGCCGTCTTGCACTTCTTGCCGCCGGAGCAGTCGCCCCAGTCGGCCACGGTGCCGCCTCCGCCCGTGGTGCCGGTGCCACCAGTGGTGCCCGTGCCGCCGGTGGTGCCCGAGCCCTTCTTCTTCTGGCAGCGCTGCACGTTCTGGCCGTCGTCCGACCAGCGGCACTCGTAGTTGGGGTCGGCGCAGCACGTGCTGCCCGTCCAGTTCTGCCCGTTGCACTGGGACTCGTTGGTGATGGTGCACGAGCCGCCCTTGTCGTGGATGCGGAGGTGGATGGACGCCTGCTGGGAGGCCTCCACGGCGGAGAGGGCGGCGACGGCCGCGGCGGCGAGGGCGAAGATCTTCATCTTATTGGCGCGCTGGAGCTTGGAGCTTGGAGCCTTGGGGGGAGATTGACTTGAGGTCGACGGCGGGGATTGCAGAGTGAGCGGGTGAGGCGGCGGAAGATCGCAATGGCGCAGCAGCTCGCTGTCCGAAGGGGTGCAAATCATGTTTCTAGTTTGGGGATTAAATCGGGTCAAGTTGAAGCTGGTTGGATCGCGCCGTACACTAATTTATGCATGTGTTTCATTATATTGGCTGAGTAAACGATAGAATGGTCTAATGTGGATCACGGTACTCTCAGGAGAGGGCTCCCTTGTTTTGGGCTCCTATTTTGGGTTCTCGGTGGAAATTCGATGGGTTCACGTGATTTCCGTGCAACTGCGTTGAACTCAGTTGCACCTGTTTGAGTCCAATGGTTCCGGTTTGGCTTGTCAGGGCGTAGGTTCTGTGCAGGTGTGACGAGCGAATGACCTAGGAGGTGCATCCAGTATGCGTGGAAAGCAAACACCGTCGATGTTGGTTGTCATTAGGTAAACTGGGAATATGCAGCGGTCGGCAGGCTAATACATGCATGGATTGCAACGACTGGAACTCAGGGGCGAAGTTACGCCTTGCAGCGGTAGTCCGAGCCCTCGGCCGTGCACGTCTCGCCGCTGGGGCAGTGGTCGTACTTCCACACATTCGTGCCGTCGTCCTGGCCGCACAGCTCGCCGGAAGGCAGCGTCTCGGGCTTGCACTGTGCGTAGTAGTCCGAGTACTGCACGCAGACGCTAGTCGGGTTCGAGCAGCCAACATCGTCCTCAGTGCAGTTGCCCCAATCGTCAACGTACGTGGAGTAGTCCTCGCTGCCGGAATCAACGCTGTCCTCGCTGTCGCTGTAGTCGCTGTCGTCGTCGACGATCCCCACATCCTCGCTGTCACTATCATCGTCGGCAATCTTCTGGCAGCGCTTGACGTTTTGTCCATCGTCGGACCAGCGGCACTCGTAGCTTGGGTCAGCGCAGCAACTGCTTCCCGTCCAATTTTGACCGTCACACTGCGACTCGTTCGTAATAGTGCACGAAGCGTCCTTCTTGTGGCGGCGGCTCTTGTTGCTGCAGCGGAAGTCGGTGCCCACAGCCTTGCACTGCTGGTTGCTCGGACAGCGGTCGTACTTCCACACATTGGTGTCGTCGTTCTGGCCGCACAGTTCGCCCTGGGGCAGAGTCTTGGGCTTGCACTGCGCGTAGTACTGGGAGTACTTGACGCAGACGCTTGTCGGGTTCGAGCACTTAAGGTTGCCCGTGCAGGCTCCCCAGTTGGACACGCCGCTGTTGTAGACGCGAAGGTGGAGCGTCGACATGTCCTTGGCCTGGACGATTGCCAACGCCAGCAGGCCCATGGCGGCTAGCGAGAAGAGCTGCATCTTGTCTGGAGTTTGGTTCGTGCGATGTAGAGCAAATTGCAAAGTGAGCAATGGAAAGCTAAGCCTTCAACGCGGCTCTAGTACTATGTGCTCGGCGGATATTCGAAGACATGGCGCGCTTCTGGCAATGGCAGTGCCCAACTTGATACCGTTTGGGCAGATGCAAATTCCAAATTTGGGCTGACCTTGTGCGAGTAGCGAAAACGCATGGCTATGCACTCTGAGTTGTCTTACAACAAACAAGTGTAAGGCAATGTTGCGTGTTTCACACAACTCAGATCTTGAAGTGGGGGCCCAAAATAAGGACTATGCACGTCATGTGGCTGATATTGGGTGATCGGGGTGACCTCGGCCGCGTTAAAGCTATTATGTACAGTACAGTACTAATGGATTCACCGGGCAATGACAAACACGGCGCTGGCTGCGACTAAAAGGGTGGCAGGGCCGTGGCTGGCGAGGTAGTTCGGGCTGCGGGTTAATTCCTACTAGCGAGATGGCTAGCAGCGCTCAATGCAAAACGGGGAATGTGGCCAATCAATCAACACCTTCAGTGCTCTCAAACTTGGCTCTCGTCCGCGCTCTCTTTGCGACGGTGATCACTGAATAGGCGCGGGATAATATATCAGCAGAGGAAGAGGAGGCGAGACTGTGCTTGCCTGCCACAGTCATCAAGTCGAGTGGCTCTGCAATACGTATAGTATCTGTGGCAGTCGGCTTCGCTTGCATATCAAGAGACTTTGCATCTTGGTAACTACACCTATAAGCAAGCCCATTTGCCGCGGGCACCGCCGTTCGCGCTCAGACGCTCTTAACCTGGGATCGTGTTACTGTATTGGTGTGTGGTAAGTCCCCGCTAGATTCTTCTAGCTCACGATGGATTTCCTACTGGGCTCTCTGCAAACGCCCACTGGGGGGGGGGGGCGTTGTAGGTTTCGCTGAGCTGAATTCTAGCTGACAATGACGTTAGAGGCACTGCACATGCAAGCAACCTGTGAACCCAAGCAACGGTGCTTCATCGCAGGGGGGAAACGCACGTTAAAAATTGACTTGGAGGAAGCCTCACATGCAGCTAAGACCAGGTAGAGAATTTCAAGCAGCACAATCCCAATCGTCGGCATGTATCAACACTTGTCTGTTGAACTTGTAACGAACTTCAGTTTGTCCGTTATTGCGCTCGATGCTCCATCACCGCACAATCCCCGGTCCGTTTTGCGATACGGTCAAAGCGCTGAGAGCTTGGGCGCTGGCTTGCTTCCCCACTTTTCAATTTGCTTCACAGCTTCGACAGCAACCCACCAACTGTCACCGTTTCCAGCGCTCAACAGTCCACCTTTTCAACACTCTCCACCAGCAATGCAGATCTACGTGCTCGCCTCCATTGCTCTCGCTGCTGTCTCCGCCGTTCAAGCAAAGGATGTGAACGGGTCATCGGTCAACAGCACTTCGTCGGGCTCCGGCGCGTACGAGAATGCCGAAGCTGGTGTTGGCTCGGTCGTCACGTACACCACGCTCGTGGGCGACTGGGAAGCCTGCACTGAAGATGTGGGCTGCGAGTCGTCGACCAGCGTCTGCGTTCGCCACTCGGAGTACTACTCGCAGTGCAAGCCTGCTGTGCTGCCCTCGGGCGACCTGTGCGGCCAGTCGGACGGCACCAATGACTGGCTGTACGACCACTGCCCCGCGGACGAGAAGTGCGACACGAAGGGCACGGACTTCCGTTGCGTGAAGCCGGGAACGCGTCGCCACCACCACCACAGACGCTCTGGCCGAAAGGACAGGTCTTCTCCCTCGACGGTGACAGTGCAGGTCGCTGACTGGGAAGACTGCTCCAAGGACGGCTCGGTGTGTAAGGTGTCGACCAGTAAGTGCGTGAAGCACTCCGACTACTACTCGCAGTGCATGCCTGCAGTGCTCCCTACTGGTGCTCTTTGCGGTCAGAACGACGGCACGAGCGTGTGGAAGTACGATAACCACTGCTCGCCGGGCGAGACGTGCCAGGCAACTACCAGCATCAACTTCCACTGCAGATCTACGGCGACAGCTGCTCCTACGACGGCTCCCCCCACATCAACGGTGTTGCTCGTAAATGACTGGGAGGACTGCAGCAAGGCCAACGCTAAATGCAGGGTCTCGACCAGCACCTGCGTCAAGCACTCCGACTACTTCTCGCAGTGCATGCCCGCGACGCTCCCCACTGGCGGTTTGTGCGGCCAGGTGGACGGCACGAACAACTGGAAGTACTACCACTGCATTACTGGCGAGACGTGCAAGGCCAACGGCAAGGATTCCCACTGCACCAAGTAAGTCCAAGTAAACCTTCGACGTCGAGTCCCTTGCTTCTCTACTTAGAGGCAACAACATCCCTTCAACACGCTGCATCTAACGTTCGGAGTACGACCTCAGAATCGGTAAAGCGTTTACACGCTTTTACGTTAAAAAAAACGAAAGCATTTCACTTGATTGACTGTCTTACACGTATTACCCGATGAACTTGAAGAATATCAAGCATGCGGCCATTAAGAAGGTCCCGAAGAGTGCCCCCGCTGACACGAGATGCATCCGTCCATTGGCGTACAAGAACGCGGTAGGAATGAGCTCTTTGACGGCGATGCCGACAATCATCCCCGACGACAATCCGTACAGAACTGCTTGAGTCAGATCATCCGCGTCCCATGCCCATGCTCGCGTACGCGATGACCCCACCGATCACCTGCGCGATACCCGACCAGAAGCACCACAGCAGCGCCTTACAACGACTCCCCGTAGCGAAGTAGATCGGGGCCGCGACCGCTACCCCTTCCGCGATGTTGTGCATGCCGACACCAATTGCCAACGACACACTGATGTAGAGTTGCTCGGACGAAGCAACGAATGTAGCCATGCCCTCCGGGATATTGTGGATGCCCACCGCGATGGCACTTAGAATCCCCATCGCCTGATGCTTTTGCTTGGCCGACTCGTCCATGCGAACGAAGATATCCAGCCCCGGATCCTCGATAAACTCTAACGGGGGTCTCATATCCACCTTGCTGCTTGATGACTCCATGGAGTCACGTGTCACTTCTTGGGCGCGAGTAGTTCCGTTGGGGTTCTGGCCAGGGGTAAGTTGGTGCACGATGAAGTCAATGAGGTAGCTGATGATAATCCCTCCACTGAAGGAGCCCGTAGCCGCCAACCAGGCGTCGCCCTCGATCGTGTCGCTGTCGTCGGATCCAGATCCAGACTTTTCGCTATTGGACGTGAAGGCGTCCTCAAATTTCGAGAATGAATTGGAGAACAGCGGCACCAGCGCGATGAAGAGCGTGACCCCTCCCGATGTGCCGAGCGCCAATGCCAGAACCAGCGAATTGGCCGCGCGCAGCAATTTGCTGCTGAAAACCACCATCCCGCCCACCAACATCATCAACGCGGCAGCTCCATTCACCCCGAATGCTATCACCAGGTCCAGACGACCGTCCTTCTCGAAGGCCATCGTTGTTTGTTCTCGCTACTCGACCTTGGCAAGTTGTAGAATGGCGACTATCGAATGCTGGGCTTGGCCACTTGTCAGGTCGGTGGTCAGTTCGCCATCAACGAATCGAGGAAGTAATTCTTAGGCGGCGTAGGCTCGGAAAGCGGCAAACCAGATCCATTACACAGTACCGAAGGACTCTGCAGCGCTCATTAGGCATGGGGAGCGCATGGCGGGCGACGCGTTGACACGCGCGGGCTGAACACCACAAAAAGTAGCCAGCATTATTTTGGGTCATGATCACTTCAACTAGCCCATTTTAGCATGTTTTGGGCACTGTCACGTTAGGTTTGGGCTGTCGTTGCACCTGATTCAGGTGTACTGGACAAGAGCTGCTCTTGCTGTGCTGCTGGGAAACTAACGACTTTATTCACTACGAGCTCGCGTACAGATAACTAACGGGGTTTACTAAAACTGCTGCGCGTGCGCGCTCGTCCCTATTGCGCTTGGAGGCTTACACGCCAATGTACTTGAAGAAGATGAGACCGACGGCCATGAGGAACATGCCGCCCAGCGTGCCGGCCGACACGAGGTGCATCCGGCCGTTGGCGTACATGTAGGCGGTCGGGATGATCTCCTTCATGCCGATGCCCGCCAGCATACCAGCACACAACCCGTACAGAATGCCCTGGGTCTCGTTGTCGGCGTCCATTCCGAGTGACGCGAACGCAATGAGGCCGCCAATGTGCTGAGCAACAGCAGACAGGAAGCACCACAGCAGGCCACGGCACGTGCTGCCCGTCGCGAAGTAGATCGGCGCCGCGACGGCGATGCCCTCTGCCACGTTGTGCAGCGCAACACCGATAGCGAGGGACAGACCGATCCACGCGTGCTCGGAGGACGCCACGAATGTGGCCATGCCCTCTGGAATGTTGTGGATGCCCACGGCGATGGCGCTGAGCACGCCCATGCGCTGGAGCTTCTCCTTGGCCGCCTCGTCCATCTTGATGAACACGTCGCTGCCTTGGTTCGGGACGAGTTCGACGGGCGGCTTGACCTCGATGGGGCCGTCCTCGAACGACAGGCGTTCGGGCTGCATCCGAGCCGTGCCGTTCATGTTCTGGCCGGGCGTGAGCTTGTGGACGATGAAGTCGACCAAGTAGCTGATTAGGATCCCCCCGCCGAAGCACCCTGTGGCTGCCAGCCACGCCGCACCCTTGTCGTCGTCGTCGGAGCTGGAGCCGCTCTCACTGTCGTCGAGGCTGAAGGCGTCGTCGAACTCGTTGAACGAGTTGGCGAACAGCACCACGAGCGCCTGGAAGAGCGTGATGCCGCCCGAGATGCTGAGCAGCACCGCCATGAACATGGGGCTCGCGAGCTGCAGCAGCTTGTTGCTGAAGATCACGCAGCCGCCGAGCACCGTGGCCAGCGCCGCCAGCGCATTGAGCCCGAACGTCGGGGTGAGGTCGAGTTGGCTCTCCTCCTCGATGGCCATGTCTGCTGCCGAACTTGATGCAAATTGGATAGTGGTCGGCGGACAACAAGGTCGCCTGGCTACCCATGCCCGCAGTTCAGATGGCGGCGATTCTTGGGGACAGCCCAACGCGCGCCACAGGTGCACCCCGACCAAGCGCGAAGTCTGACATAACGGAGGCTTGTAGCCAGGATCGCGCTCAAAACCCAGCGCAACTAGCGCTACTGCTAGGCGCTACTTGCCTCATATCTCGCGCATTAGGCGCCACGAAGACAGCCTCAACGACCTCACTTGAATGTTCGCAACTATCGATTTCGAGTTCGGTGAAAGTCTAAGCGCGACGTGGCGCGCTGCGGCTGCAACCTGGCAACGGGAGCTCGGCAGTTAGCTTGATCGTCACTGCGCCCGTCAAGCGCGCGCTCTCTGCTGACCGTGTCCACCGCGCTCGGTCTCCGCTGCGTAGCGTGGTGCTGGTCCTGCTTCTCGCTAAAGGTGATCACGGCGATCACTTGTATCCACGAGCAGCTTCTACGCAGCCCACCCGAACAATAGGAGCTCGGTCGTCGCGATGGCAGCTATTCTCAATCGACTGTCTCTGCCTTGATGGCGACACAAGGAGCTTCGGCGGCACGCAGTGGGAGCTGGGGACAGCGGACGAAAGTCTCCCGTGGTGGACCGTCCACTGGACGCTCGCCACGATTTTGCTGTTGTTGCTCTGGACACTCAAAAATGATTCTTAGACGGAACTCGTTAGACAAATGTCAGACAGCAGAATATATATTATGTTTGATAGGTAGTGTTGAGCAAAGGCGTTTTGGCAGGCTCTGTTGGTCGCATCAGCGAACGTTCGGCGCAAGACACAGAGCTCTTCGGTGCTTCCCCTACTGATTGCAAGTGCCGACATGTGCTAGGCCCCGGCGACGTGCAAGACGCTGCTGGTGGCGACCGCGCCGCGCCCGCGCAGTTACTTCAGCAACGTTTGCCAGGTAAGCTCTCAATGACCTTTAATCTCAGGGAAGTCGGCGAGCTCATCAGGGTCGGCGGCACCATGGGCAAGGTCGTGAACCGCAAGCACTTGATGGTCAACGAGCTCATGAACTTGCAGGACGACTAGGCCAGCACCATCATCATCGATAGCCCAAACACACGCGCCACTTCGCGCCCATCAAGACCACGGCTCGCTCAGGAGAACAGGACAAGGACGGCTAGCGCAGCCACAAGAATGTGCACATCGAGGACCTCAAACTGCGCGCGAAGGTGACCGAGAAGCTGCGCGTGGCACAAGAGCTGCTCGTGTTCACGATCACCTCCGAAGAGCACCACACGCACGGACATCGTGGGGCTCAAGGGCGCGCTGGTCAAGACCGAGCTATCATTGCTCCCCATGCCCCTATTCAGCAATCAACGAGGCTATACACGAGCTGAGCAGCAATGAGCAGTTGGTAATATCAAATGCAAATAACGTGGTTCTCATAAGCGCGTCATGATTGTTCTCATTGCTATGGATCATCATTAGTTGACTGTTCTTTTTGCTTTTTTTCCGCAGTAGCTTTCCTACTGTCGCCCAGCTGAGTTGCCCACGACGGCGTTTTCGTGAGTGTTCCGTAATATCGTCCACGGTGACGCTATCTGCACAGGCTAAGAAGACTTGAGTCGCTGCGTCGATGGACTGGCCAAGTTGAAGCAGATTTTTAGATGCGCATGAGAAAGCGGAGCTGGCTTAGGCGCTTTTGTAGCATTCGACTAGGCATATCGCAGCCGTCGAGAAGGCGGAGAGGTGGAACTTGCTTGGCCTTATTTCCACACATCCAAAGCACCCATGCATGACGAACAGAGCAGTCAGGGATCCCAAAATCAGCAGGCACGCGACGGAATTTGCCACCCCAGAAGTGGCACATCTGGCGCTCGGCCTCTGCACCACTAGCCTCGACGACCGGCTCCTGCGCACTTGCTAGCTTCTCAACAAGGCCAGCAACACCGGTATCACGAAGGCATGCCCTAATAGCGTCATTCAGCCCGTCGTAAGTAACTGCCCCTGCTCCGATAGCCCTCTTCTCCAGCTCTGATATGATGTCCTGGACAGTATCAAGCCGCGTAGCTTCGCTACTGCCGCAAAGTCCAGAGGGACAATACGGCGATCCTGGGTGACGAGGGCCTTGATCGTAGTGCGCAGCTGCTGCAGGCTTCCGTCAGCCGTATTACCGAGGGCTTCGAGAAATGGCTGGGGTGCGAGGTGCGGCTTGTTGCGGACAAGCCAAGCGAGGAAACGGCAGTACGAGTTCTGGTACGTGGCGCGTGAGCGTGCGGTGACGGTATTGTCGCGAATCTCGCGCACGGTGCGTTCTAACTTCTCCCAATCATGGCCTTCCATTCTGGTTCTTCTGTGCGAATTGCTGTTTGCTCCCTGGTCACACACTCAAACAGGGAGACGAATTGAGACCACGGAAAATGTCTGACCTTGTGTCTAACCAAAGTATCAATGTGGACCACATTGTCGTACTAATTTTGGGGAATGTGGGCAGCTTCGGCAAAGCTATCACAAAGTCTATTAGATAGGAGCGGCTACACGCCCATGTACTTGAACAAAATGAGGCTGGCGGCCATGAAGAGCATCCCGAAGAGGCCTCTGGCGGACACGAGATGCACGCGTCCGTTGGCGTACATGCTTGCAGTGGGGAAAATCCCCTTCATGCTGATGCACGCGAGCATGCCCGACACGAGGTCGTAGAGGATTCCCTGCGAGAAGCTGTCGACGTCCTTGCCTAAAATTCCAAAGGCGATGAAGCCTCCAAGATGCTGCGCGATAGACGCCACCAGACACCACAGAAGCCCCTTCCACTTGCTACCCGTAGCGAAGTACATGGGCGTCGCCACGGAGATCCCCTCTGCAACGTTGTGCAGCCCAACACCAATCGCAAGCGCGAGTGTGCTCGGACTAGGCTACCATGGTGGCTACCCCTCCTGGGATGTTATGGATGGAGATCGCGATGACATTTAGAATCCCGAGACGCTGCAGCTTCTCCTTCGTGGCTTCATCGACCCGCAGGAAGTGGCGACTCTGCATGATGTCTACCGGGGGCTTGAGCTCCGGAATCCCATCTTCAAGAGAGAGGTGGAAGGTGTCGCCTGCGTGCATCCGCGCGAAGAGGCTCTGGCGCTGACCCGGGGTCAACTGCTTCACGAGCAGATTCAGGCAGTAGTTGAGCACGATGCCGACTCCGAAACAGCCAGTCGTGGTGAGCCACGCCTGCCCCATGACCGTGTCGTCCTCGCTGCCTCTGGATTCATCGCTGCTGAACGCGTCCGTGAACTCGAACAACGAGTTCGGGAACAGCACCACGAGCGACTGGAAGAGCGTGAGGCCACCGGCGAAGCTCATCCACACGGCCATCGCGCGCGGGTTGACGACGCGGAGTAAGAACTGGCTGAAGACAATGAGTCCGCCTAGTAAAGTCCCCAACGAAGCCCCCAAGTTGATCCGGAACGCTGCCGCGACGTCCATCGTCTTTTTTTTTAATAACGTTGAGGTGTATTGAGTTACTGGCCTTGTGGCCGAACTTCTAATCCCCCTTCCATCCTCAAGAGCAAGAGGAGTGGGTTTGATATGTAAGATGTGCATGTCCCTATAAGCTAAGCCGTGGCTTTGCTTAGAGAGAAGAGGGCATGAGGATTTCTTGTCCTGTGTTCGTGTCTGCCCATTTCCTGTAGTCATTCATCAAGAAGCTGAGAACGCCCGGGTATCGTCGTTCCACCAGGTCCCTATTCATGGGTTCATCCTGCTGACTTCGTCTGGAATCCATAGCGAGGTTCGCAAGACAATCTGCCATCTTGTTGTGGCAACGGTAGTGGTGTCTCCATGAAGCTACGCGCACCGAGTCTGCTAGGCGCCGTGCTCTGTCATAAATAGGCTGTAGCACCCGAGCTTTTGGCCGCCTGCGCTCCCGTATCATCCGTAAGCCGAGTTGACTATCTCCTACTATGTGCACCTGTTTGAGTTTGCGCTTGTCCACGTGGTGTAGCAATCGGAGCAATCCGTTGAATTCTGCGAAATTGTTTGTACACGTAGGACGTAGCAGCGAGATGCTGCTCAACCAGACGATTCGTGGTACCCCGCACTCGTCGACCTGGATGAGTACACTTCCACTTCTGGCTGGTCCAGGATTTCCACGCGATCCTCCATCGAAGGAGCCAACATAGTGCTCGGGCTGCGATGGACTCTCTCCCGGAGCTACGATGTCGTCTGAGTTTTGTTGGCGCAGACGCTTCCTCGTGTCCATGGCGCTGGCCCAGTCGCCCGCATTTTTCCTATGTAGTTGGAATGTTGAAGCCACAATATCAAAACCGGTCTGTAGCCGAGCGTGAAAAGAGGCGTCCCGTTCATTTGTTGCTCTTCCTGCCGCAGTCGTGTTGTAAATCATATCCACGCGGGCTCGCCAAATCGACGCTAGCGTTTCTACCACGGCAAAGCTCCAATATTTGTTGACGACAGCATGAACTGCGTCCGTAGTCTGTAACTTGTGCAAACGGGAGTTCTGTTTTGCCCACTCCATTCCGTAACGCACGCATTTCCCAGGAGGATAAGTCAGTCTACATGAGAAGATTTCGGTAATGCTCGGTGCATTGGACTCAGTATCAAGCTGCGCAAAAATGCTTCGAGTAGTCTTCCACCTCCTTTGCGCGTACGGGCATTCCCAAAAGACATGAGAAAGCGCGATGTTGACGTGATGTGTGCATTCCGCGTGAGGGCATGCTTGGTGCTTGAGCGGTGGGACCCACAGCGACAAAACACGGAGTTTGAGTCTATACAGGAGTGAGTGCTGGTATGAGGAGGTGCCTGGGATTCTCGAAATGCTCATCCATTGGACTTGGTCCAAAGCCGAGCTAATAACACCGCTTTCTCGGGCCTACGCAATTGCTGCGTTTTCGATTCGTTGTTTCCCCTTCAACATCCTTTTCTCTCCAGCTTGACGCTTGTATTTCGCTCGAGTTTGCGGCCACCTTGCCGTTCCGGCCCATGTGACTGCCAAGCGAGTCATCAGTTGGTGGGGAACTGTCCACACCGTGGCGACGGGCACCCCGAGAAAAGTGGCTATGGCTTGATCTAACAGTGGTGGAGTGGTATGCTCCAGAACACTAGGCTCCATAGAGCCCCATGTGTGAGTTACAACATGCGCCGGTCCGTCACTAACCAGGAATTCATGGTGTGGGTCTGGTAATTTGTGGCTGACAATAATGTCATTACTCCTGAGCTTCGTCAGAGCCACCCCAGGAAAAATTGCCAGTATCACTAACGAGAGATCACGGACTTGATGCGCAAGTTGGGACGCCATCGGATATGCAAAATTGCTGCATTTCCACTTGACAACGCCCGGTTTCACCAATTCTCAATTAAAAACATCAATTACTCTGGATGAAGCCGGTGCCAGTAGAGAAAAGCGTTTGCACATTTTTTCAAGCTGCCCCGTAGTCGTAAAGAGTGGCAGATCGTGTTGTTTCAGCTGCTTTACGCCGTCTCCGACAAAGCGACCGAATCGTTCTTCTAGGAAGCGTGCGTAAGTCTGAACTCCGACGAGTATTGAACGGAGATCACACACTAACTCGCCATTTATCCATCGTGTTGTGACACCGTGTCGCTTTCGAAACTTAGCCAGCAATGCGGTATGTCCGCTGATACTATTTTCCGGGAAGGCTGGTGCTAGCGAGCGCGCCACCCAGACGCTACCATTTGTCCACATCGAATTTCGGAGATTTTTGGGGGTCTTCCCGCGCCACACTGGAGTGATCATCGTCTCTGTTATACCGTCCCGCGAGCGCAAAATATCCCCAACCACTCTGATAATTCCCGAGCTCTCGAGAGCTCAGTCGCCTACGGTTTGCGCGAGCGACGTCCATAGTCTCCTCGATCGCCATCTCGATCGTCCCGCTGCAAATTCAGGTCTGGTTGCGCTTCAAGCACGACATCCCGTTGTTGTCCTAGAGCCGCCTGACGGTCGACTACAAGCAGGCCAGTACGATTTCCATCTTGCATCGTCGACCACGAGGCATTGCATTACTCGCCAGTCTCGCGAGTGGTTCAGGAAACGAAAAACTAGACGCACACTGGACTCAAGTATCGCTTGTCAGCAGAATGGTGAGTCAGTTTGTACTGATAGACAACATCTTCAAGATCAACAAACTGCTTGGCGCCAAAACATGGTTTCGTGTTATCGTTGCGACCGCAGTCGAGCTCTAGAATACTGCAGACTGGACGTGTTTGCCCTTCTTCGGGAGGCTGGCTCCGGGAACAGCGTCGTACGGAGAGAAGTACTGCTGTGCGCCACTGCTGTTCCGTGTTTGAGCCTCCTGAGCCTCTTTTGTGAATTTGAACGCCGTTTTGGTCGGAGGTGGCGACGGCGGGCGGAACACCTTTGACTGCTGGTGGTCTTGATTCGAGTTGCCGGCTCCAATAGGTGTAGTTGGTCTACTAAGTGTTGGCAACGAGGTTTGCCGGCCCACCACACTGGAGCTTGACTTCGGACGCTCCTTACCGATGGACTTGGTGGGGGAGTGCGAAGGAGAGCGAGAGCCTATGGAGCGATTAGTGGAGCCGCCATTCAGCACCTTTTCGATAGTCTTGGAGGCTTGATGCCACTTCTTCGTGATCTTGACGTTCTCCATGGTGCGCATGATCAGATCGCGCTGAATCTTGGTCTTGATAGCTAGCTGCTTGCGGCGATTCACGAGTGACTCCTTTTCGTTCAGCATGTGCTGAGTACGGGCCTCGGTGTCTTGCAATTTGCGTAGCATCTCCAACCGCTGATACTCTTGAATCCGCTTCATCCTCTCCACCTTGTCGAGCTTCAACTGTGCCTGCAGCTTCCGATACTCACTGCGTAAAGCACGTTGATGCTGCTGGGTTTTCTGCACCTGCTGTACATTCTGGTCGGTCTCTCGTTGTCTTTGAAGCAGCTCCTCCTTCTTCCGAGCTTCTTCTCGTCGGGCCTCCTCTAGCACCAATTGACGCTTCCGCTCAAGTGCCAACTGCTGCTGCGCCTGTAACTCCCTCGACCGGCGCTCTTCCTCTTCATGAGCCCGTCGCAGTGCTTCGCTAGCGGCTTGCTTTCGTTGGATGTCACGCTTGCGTTGCGCCTCCAGCTTCTTCGAAGCTCGAAGGTTTTTCCGGATCCGCAGTGTCACCTCGCGACGCCGAGCATCCATCGCTATAGCGCGCTCCGCTCGCTGTTGCTCGACCATTTCCTCGCGCGCCTTCTCTGCCAGGTCTAGCTCACGAAGCCGAGCTTGAATCTCCATCTGCTGGGCCTGAAGCAGAGCTTCTGTTTGCGCTCGGTGCTCTTCCGCCTTAATTTTGCGTTCTTCCTCCCGTTCGCGCGCTTCGATCCGCCGTAGTTTGTCCTGCCGAGCCTTTTCCTCAGCTAACGCACGATCCCGAGCAGCCAAATGCGCTGCCAACTCCTTTCGTCGCTCTTCTTCAGCGTCAAGTTGAGCCTTCTTCTTGATTTCCCGAGCTCGCTTTTCAGCCGCAAGCTCTTGGGCGAAGCGCATCCGGGAGCGCTCCATTGCCTCATGCTGCCTCTTTTCGCGCTCCATCTTCTCGGCAGCCTCCTGCTGCAGGCGGTTCATCTTCATCTCAAACTCCAGCATTTGCTCCAGCTCGCGCTCTTGGCGCTGTCGAACCTTTTCCAGTCGTTGTCGCTCGATTTCCAACAATGCGGACGACCCCTTCTTACCTGGGGAACTAGATGCCCCCGACGACATCGAAGGGGGTCCGTCAGCGTCTTGAGTAGTGCGCGTTGGCGCTGCTCTGACAGATTTCTTTGATCCAGCGACAGCAACCAGTCGAGCTGGCATTGCATTTCCAGCCCCGCGGTCCTCCGCCTCAATCAAGTTCCGCTTCTCAGTTCTCAACGCCAGCATCTCCTCATGTCGCCGTAGCGAGTACGCCTCGTGACGCATGCGCTGGACGGCAGCAGTGTCGTCCGGGTCGTAAAACGAGTCCAAGTCTCGAATCTTCAGCGTTTCAGGATTTACACCACAGCGCAGACACGCTTCAGCTGAGCGTGGCGTGAGCACAATTCGCTCGGGTGGTGGATTCAACCCCGAAGACCGGACATTGCTGAGCGTCGCGAACATCTCCTCGATCGTTTGAGCCCGAGGTCCGCGTCGCTTGCGGATTTTGGTCTTCTTCTTGGGCTCTTCTTCCTCCTGTTGCTGCGTCTTGGGTCGGTCTGTGCCAGTGATATGATCCAGGTCTAAGTGCATCCCGCTCGCTGAAGCCTCGGGGCGTTTGGAGTCATGGTCATCTTCAGGGTTCCCCTCGACTTCATTCGGGGAAGCCATAGGGAATCCCCAGCGATATCACTCAGCAACTACCTGCCCGACGTTTTCACGCTGCCCTTCCCCACTGCGCGCTAAAACGTTCTCGAAGCCTCGAGCAGGTCAGAGCGTGTGATGTCTTGGCCACTCGCTCCGCTTTTTTTAGGCCTGGTGGGCAGGCAACCATGAAGGGTGCCAAATGCTGGCGGAGCGTGGATGAACACGTACTCACTCACAGAAATAGCTATCTTCCCTGCAAATGCATATTGGTCCGCAAATTTCGGATGGGTTTCGGGATCAGACTGTGGCCTTATTGGTATCTGCTCCTGGATTTGGTCGGTATCAGCGTCAGCAGGACGGGACGCGGGTTGCTCGCTGTTCCTTTTGGAAATACGGTAGGGCTCGCACTACCCGCCCGACGGCTTGGGTGCTGCCTTCGCGGAGGACAAGCGGCAAGTCTGGGCGGATGTACTCTGGCCAGTACATGAACTCAAAGCGGCACATGGTCGTGGTAGGCGGAAGTGTCGACGGCGACGTGGTTGATACGCTTGGGGTTGAGCCACTGGGGTCTCCCAATCGCACGATCTTCGCCATCTGCCGAACTTGACCCGCGTGGATGACCGCCTGGAAGTTCTCGCGGAACGTGTGAGCGTCAGGCAAGAAGTGCAGCTCTGCGTCGAACTGACGTGTAGCCATTGGTCGAACGCTTGGGTGAACGAGCATGGTGCCTTTCCGGATGCGGTGAGCAGGCTGAGCAGCAGACCAGAAGCGGATTAGCACAGCGCCAGTCTCGCCGGCGCTTAAGCTCTGCGCTGCCTTGTGCTGCACCTCGATGCTCTCCACTGCAACATCGCAAAACGTGCCATGGGCGTCAGGTCCGAGCAGCATTCGCTCGCCCACGCAGAACGTCCCAGCCTGCACAAGCCCTGTTACAATCGTGCCTTCGTTCTCGATATCGTACGCTTGGCTGACTTGGAATTCCGCCGGTGTCTTTGCCTTGGTAGCCCACACGCGCTTGGGCTCGAGAACAGCCAAGTATCCTTGCAGCACGTCCAAACCTCTACCGTCCACGCTCGAGACCCGGAACACTGGTATTGTGCTCGCCGTGGTGAGTTTCTGCAGCTCCTCCTTCTCGCCCACGCTTGTATCGGTGCTTTCCGGAGCCAGAACAATTGTCTGGCCAGGGCAAACAGCATTTAACAGATCGGCAACCTCAACCAGCGACTGCTGTATTCGCTCTTCGGTCGCGCGATCCGTTTTGGTTATTACCACAAAAATGGCGACCTCCAGAGCAGTAGCGATCTTCACGTGCTCCCGTGTCATGTCCCGAACACCTCGGACTGCATCCACCGCGAGCATGGCGTAGTCCGGGAACTGGCCAGCCAGCCCAGACGCCGTGCTCTTGAGGTATTTCTTGTGCCCCGCCAGATCGCTGAGCGTGATGAAGCTCTCCTGCCTCCTCGACTCCTGCAGCTCCTCGGCCTCTTCATCACTGTCGCCAAAGTCGCACGTGGCCAGTTCGTCCGTGCAGCGGAAGTGGCCGTCGGGGGCCACTGCGATCGTGTGCTCGCTGACACTCGACGTGCAGCCGTTCTCCAGCTCGTGGCGGTGGCGACACACCTGCATCCTGGCGAGACCGGCACCGTCGTCTAGGCAGCCGCGCGTCAACACCCCCACCAGCGTCGACTTGCCGCTCTCAAAGTCTCCAATCACCGACACTAGTAGTAGCCAACCACCACACAAACTATCAGTAGCCATATCAATAACAACGTTAACAGTAAGAACAGTAACCCACCACGAAGCCGCTTGGCCGCGTTGTGCTTGAGCACCCGCGTGACTTGGATCCTCGCAGCGCGGTGGTCTGCATCGTGTCCAGCTCTAAACTCGGACAGCGTCATCTCGGCGTGCACCACACGGCACATCCTGTATCCATCCACCACTCCAGTAAGATGGCTACACTCCACTTCAACTTCAAATAGTACTATGCAAACCAGTAGTAGTCCCATAGTACTCTAATTGAAAAAATACTATGCAGCGCCGTACCGAGCGAGCGTGCCCAGCGAGCGCAGCAACGCGTCCTCCGAGAGCCCCAGCAGCTCCCCGTTGTCTCGCACGCCGAGCTCGTAGAAGGCGGTGCCGCCCCCTTCGTTCAGGCGCCAGTGCATCTGCGTCGTCAACTGCCGCAACCGCTCGGGCGCCGGCTCCAGCAGCTGCAGCTTGTACTCGACGTTGCCCTCCTCCACCTCCTCGGGCAGGCGCTCCACAGCCAGAGCGGGGGCGCTCAGCGGCTGCGCGAACTCGCCGCGCACTTGGCGCCGCAGCGCCGCCAGCCCAACGTCGTCCGCAGGTGAAGCCATTTTGGCGACTGAGCAAAAGCCGCAGTGAATCTTCTGAACTGAAAAGACCAACACTCAGACGCAAGATGGGTACACAAGGAAACTTCAGCCCGCAGAGTAACCGCAGGAGGGCGCCACAAGAAGTTTCGCCTGCAACACAAGCTTTTGCTGCGAACGGCACGGTAAAATAGTAGCAGCGCCCCAACTTGAATACAAGCCAAGCCAAATGAACCAAATTATGACGACAAAAAGCCAAGAGGAAGAGACGACGCTGTCAAGGATCTACTGATCGATTATTTCCCACCGCAAGTGTCGAAAGCTGAACGTTTAGCGGGTGTAGGCTGCCTTTAGAGACAGGCTTGCGCTAGAGATTTCGGGGAGTCATGCATGCTCGCTCAGTGCGTGATATTCATCCAGTGTTTTAAGAAGTTATCGCTTCGGGTGTTGGTACAGCTCCTCCATTATTACAGCTCGAGCGTCGACTTACCTTGTCTATTATCCTAACAATGTGCCTTGACTTCCGTAATGGTGTGAGCTTACTTAGACCAAGTATTTGGTTTATTGTTGACGGGGCGGGTGGGCCGCAGTTGGCGAGCTGAGCCTCCTCGGTTCTTCCGGATGTAATGCAAGCTTACACGTTCTAGCACAATCAGCAATCTTGCCGGTCTCAGTACTCACATGTCAATCTGCCCCCATAGTTACCGACGCCAACAGCTTGTATCATGGGCTTTTTCTTCTTTCAGCGTGTGCCAGTCGCCACTTTCCTTGCGAGCTGTGATGCTACCTCGACTGCCGAACACACTACGATGTCAAATCCGGCGAATCGGACACACAACACCCACCAACGACACCTGAGAAGCTATAGCATGAACGTTATGGAGATCGAGGACGACAAGCGAATCCAGACCAAACTCAATAAGGTTGACCTCGAGAAGATCGCTCAAGGTTTCCGAGCTCAAGGAGTGCAAGGTGAATCCCCGACAATCAACGTCGACGCGATTTTGCGGGCAGCACCCGCCAGAGATCAAGAGCTCCATCAAATCGCCGCGTACTTTGCGAGTCGCAACGGGATGCTCGGTAACTGGCTTCCCAAATGAGCACGCTCGACAGTCTGCGCGGTGCGAGTGTGCCCCAATTGAAAACAGTGTTCACACAGTGGAAGGCGCAAGGAGTGACCTTGGAAAATCTCACGCGACTGCTGAATGCCAAACCGGCCGTTTAGAAAAAGTATCGTGTTGGGTCGACGTTGTACCGAGGGTTCCTACAGATGAGTAAAAGAAGCACATAGCTCAGTTCTGCTCAAATTTAGTGATGCGATAGAAGCTAACAACTTAGTTTACCACACACTAACTGTTACTATTTCTTTCTATGCTTTCTAAACCAATTACGAAGTTAAAATTACTCTAGCAGTAATAACTCCAGCTGTAATTCACGATACAAGTTCCACACAGTCGAATTTGTCCTAAATTTAAGGATAATACACACAGCATTCTTTTAGATAGCCCCGAAATTTAACCGCGTTGTATAGCTGCGCGAGACCGATATATCGTCCAAACGCGCTCAGGATTAAACTTTTCCCGAAAATTTGGTCAAAATTGGCACTATCTAGCCGGTAATGTGAACAATCGTGCAACCATTGAACCCAGACTTACCGACTGGCAAACTACGTGTAGTTAGGTGAGCTGATAGCTTCGAAACAAGATAGCAGACCATACCATGAGCTGCTGTTTTCATTGGCGTAAACTACCACGCTAATGAAGCTGTAATGATCTGCACGTGCAAGAGCAGAACACAACCACATCATCAGTTGAGTCCGCACACAGAGAGCCCAAGTCGTCGTCTGCATACTCACCGGTTGCACAAGCTCCTGCTCCGGCACGCCTCAGCCAACCACTTCATGTTTAGGACCGAGCGCCATGAGGGCGCCCTCGCGTAGATGGATAGCAGCAAAGAGACAAAGACATCAATTCAGTTTCCATTTTACTCGCAACACAACAGGCACAACCAGAACCTTACACTTCGTAGCACTTGAGCCTCCAGCGCGCGCTTCCGTCCAGTTCCAGTTCCAGTCTCCGTTCGAGTTCCAGTTCCAGATCCAGTCCAGTCCTGCCACGCGTCGCTAGTGCGCACGCCGTGCAGCCTAGTCCATCCCGCATTGCCGTTGCGCACGCCGTCTTCCTCGCCTACGTTCTTCGGTGCGCCGCACCTGTACCTCTCGCCGTTCAGCTTCTCCGGGTGCGCCGCGTGCGTTGCCTCGTCCGTAGCTTCGTTCCGCTCGTCGGCGACGGGACCTCCATTTTCGCCGGGCTCGCTCCTTTTCCTTCTGGGGGAGGAGTGGCGATGCGCATTGTCACACGTCATTTCGTGTCGACATCTCATTGGTGCATTTAGCCCAATCACTCCCGCGTGTCCATACGCGGCACCCACCTCGACCTTCCGCTTGTCGCCTCGGCTGTCACTTGCCAACAGTGCGCAGCCGAGTGTAACATCCGCGTCGGAGGCCGTTACGAGTCTAGTAGTTGGAGTCTTTGTGCTCCGAGGCGGGCTCGAGCTAGCGCCGGACGGAATTGCACCAGTTGCTTCCTTCGGAACGCTGGAGCAAGTGGTTGGTACCTGTCGGAAACAGAGCTCCAGGACGAGCTTCTGTGACTTCGTTGGGGCTTACAGACATTGTCGGAAGCAGCGCTCCTAGGAGTGCCTGCGACTTCAAACCTTGATTGATTTGGCTGAGGAGCTTGCGCGCCCCAGCCATCTATTGACGACGTGTCTAGCGTAGGCGCAAACATGGATGAAGCAGCGATGCAGCACGCGGACAGCGTGCAGCAGATGTTCGCCTCGCTCGCGGCGATTATGCGCGAGCAGCAGCAGTTCATGGCACAGACAGCCGAGCTGCAGCGCCAGATGGTGGCGACACTGCAACAGCAACAGCAGCAGCAATCCACCTCGCAGCAGCAGCAACCGTCGGTGGTCGACTCTTCGTCGCCAGACACGCGCGAGTACCGGGCCGAGGGCATCACCATGCCGAAGTTCTCCGGCACTAAGGACGACGACGTCGCGGACTACCTCTTCAGCGTCAAGCTCTACTTTGAGTCGAAGAACATCAAGTACGGCGCCGACTCGCCGCAGCAGCGCCCCTTGTCGCTCTTGGTGGCAAACTTGAAGGGACCAGCAGCGGCTTGGTACCGCGAGTACGTCTCCTACGACGGGAACTTCCTGCACTCGGTCACACAGTTCGAGGAGCTGCTGGCCAGCGCGTTCACGACACCCGATCGGCAAGAGCACCTGCGTGACCAGCTCCTACGCCTGCGCCAGAACAACTTCACCTGTCTTAAAGATTACGTGTCGGCCTTCCGGCACACCATCTGCAAGGTAGAGGAGATGGGCGACATCGACAAGGTCATGCATTTCCAGAAGGGGTTGGTCGTAGAGATCAAACAAGAGGTGAAGCTGCGCCAGTTCAGGAACACGACAGACGCAATTTTGTTTGCACTGATGTACGACCGCACGCACGCTGTAGAATCGCGTCGAACCAACGTGAACCGCGGAGGCCAAGGTCCACAAAGCCTTCAGCAGTCGTCACATCACGTCGAGGAGCCGACCCCCATGGAGATCGGGAGTTCGCGCTTCGTCTCTCGCGAAGAGTGTCTGCGAAGTAATCTTTACTTTTACTGCAAGGAGCCCGGACACCGCCTGGCTACGTGTCCTAAGCGGCCAGCGCGTAACAACCCCCGAGGCTCATCTCGTCCTCCACAAGGGCGCGGTTCTTTCCGCGCACACCAGGGCTCGTTTCGCCGCATTGTTGAAGACGACGACGCATCCGACGACGATGACGACGCCTACGCAGACAACCGCGACGACCACGTTGAGGTCATCGACAGTATGCAGCTGAACATGGTGTCTCTCGACGCGAAGTTGTCGCCCAATCATGAACTGTTGAGGTTCGAGGGAGCGATGAGCGGCCAGGCAGTGCGAGTCTTGATCGACAGTGGTGCAGAGCGCAACATTGTGCGTCCGGGCCTCGCGCAGCACTACGTTGAGGCCACCAAGGTCACGACCGAGCGCTTTGATGGCACGACAACCCCGGCGCGTACCGCACAGCAATGTTTGGAGACTGTCTGCTTTAATGCAGAGTCTTCAACGATGTTTCTCTCATTGAATGGGAGGTATCTCCAAACCAAGACGTGATTCTCGGTCACCCGTGGTTAGTGCAGTTCAACCCGATCACCAATTGGCAAACCGGAGTGATGCGCTTCCCCAACCAGCGTGTAGTCATGACTTCGGTTTCGTGAACAGCAGTCTTGAGGTGGCGGGACCGACGGTGGCTTCAGTGGAAGTGAAACCGGAATTTCTTCAGCACCCGCTTCCCCCGAACCTGCGGCAGCAGCTCGATGACCATGTGCAGGCAGGCTAGTTCAGTATGCCGTTGGGACCAAGCTCACTAGCAGCGCTGGGACGCCAGACCTTACCACGCATCTTTGACGACGGTGACGATAGTACAGGCGCGTCGCCGCTGTGTGTTCTCGCGGCTGCGGAGTTGGAGAAGAAGGTGAAGGCTGACGAGTACGTCGAACTGTGGTGAAGACGTCGCCCAAGGTGAAGTCCGTGCCATTGCAGCTTCAAGCGGTTCTTGAAGAGTTCGCAGATGTCTTTCCAGCAGAGCTGCCACCTGGATTACCACCAAGCCGCTCCATCGAGCACGAAGTGGTCTTGAAACCAGGGGCGACGCCAAGCAACCAAGCCCACTTCCGCCTCTCGAAGGTTGAGCAGGAAGTATTGGACATCTTTGTGGCAGAGCTGCTGAAGAAGAACTGGGTCGAAGTGTCGGACTCTCCCTGGGTATCGAACATCTTCGGCGTGCCGAAAAAGGATCCCGCGACGGACAAGTTCCCATGCCGCTTGGAGTGGTTGCACTCGAACAACCCGCTCATGCCGATTCGATGGGTCATCGACTATCGCTTAGTGAATGCCGCCTCGGATGTGGCTAAGATCCCGCTACCGCACATCGAACAACTCTTCGATCGCATGGTGGGCGCAGTTGTCTTCTCTATTCTCGACCTCGCGAGTGGATACCACCAAATGCGCATGTCTCCGACGTCAAAACAGTACACGTCATTCAGGACGAACCATGAGATATATCATTGGAACGTGGCGCCCATGGGTCTGGCCGGCATGCCAGGCACGTGGACACACCTGATGCGCAAGCTGCTGAGTCATCTACTGTTCGCGGTCGTTTATCTTGACGACACCTGCATCTTCTCGCGATCGATGGCTGACCACGTTGAGCACTTACGACAAGTCTGCGAAGTCCTGCGCGCTAACAAGCTTTACGCCCGTCCTGACAAGTGCGACTTCGGACAAGCCTCGGTGGACTTCCTTGGCCACACCATCTCTGCTGATGGGTTGCACGTGGGCGCTCGCAAGACTCGAGCCATCGCAGAGTGGACCGAGCCATGCAACATCAAGGACCTCCAACGCATCTTGGGCCTCGCCGGGTACTATCGTCGCTTCATCCACCAGTTTCCGACGTTGGTACTGCCCCTAAGCTCTCTGGTCAAGAAGGATGTCGTTTCGGTATAGAACGAACACCAGCGCCAAGCTTTCAATGCGATTAAGCTCGCGCTCCAGCACGCTCCGGTGCTTCGTCTGCTGGACTTTAAAAAACACTCATCATGACAACGGATGCCAGCCATGCGTGCATTGGTGGAGTGCTCTCTCAGATGCATGATGGCAACGATCTACCCGTGGCTTTCTTCAGCAAGAAGCTGGGACCTCACGAGCTGAACTGGCCTGTTCACGAGAAGGAGCTCTTTGCGATCAAGCAGGCGCTTACACGTTGGCGTCATTACCTCCATGGAGTCTCGTTTGAAGTGTACACGGACAATTCGGCGTGCAAGTGGTTTTTGCAGCATCCACGCCTGCCGGGTCGCCTGGCCCGCTGGCTCGACTTCTTTGCGTCCTTCCAGTTCACTCTGCATCATCGTCCAGGAGCTTTGAATGTCGTTGCGGACGCGTTGTCGCACCCCCCTGATGCTTCATCGAGTCCGGGGGAGGGTCAGGAGGATTGTGAGTTCAAGCCCGAGCCGGTTGTAGTGTGTACGGCGTGTTTGACGTCTACCACATGCACGAACATCGAGACGTGGTCTCACGACGTACCATGGCTACGGCGAAGCTCCAAAGCATACCGTCCCGGGATCAAGCTGTGATGCTGGCCGTCAAACCGCAAGCCACAAAGGCACTCGGAGTTGGGACAGCACAGTGGCGCATGAGGTTGAACGCAGCGTCAATGGAGGACAGCACGGTGATCAGCTCACTTCAGCTGGATAACCAAACGAAGCCGGCGTTTCAGAAGGCATACGGCAGAGATCCAGTCTTCAAGCCACTGTGGAAGTCCAGACGCTCGTCGGAAGAGTACGAAGTCATTCGCTGGTTGATCTATTTGAAGAGCAACGACAGCCTACGCCGCCTCTGTGTGCCAAACAACCGGAAACTTCGGCTCGATGGCATTAACAACGCGCATGATGCGGCGATCATGGCGCACCCAGGCATCCGTCGCACTCAGCTTGCTGCGGCACAGTGGTACTTCTGGCCAAGCATGGATCTGGACATCAAAGTCTACGTTCAGAGTTGTGAGTCATGCATGAGGTACAAGTCAAGCACCGGACGAAGAGCAGGAAAGCTTCAGTCGATCCCGTTGCCCGCTGCGTGTTGGGATGTTGTCTCGCCTGACTTCATCACGCATTTGCCTGTGTCCGATGGCTTTGATGCGATCATGGTCGTGGTGGACAAGTTGTCAAAGCGTCCAGTCTACATCCCGACGCACACCACGACGACTGCGGAAGACATTGCCAAGCTGTTCTTCAATAACGTCATCAGGTACTATGGTATCCCATCGACCATCATCTCCGACCGGGACCCGAAGTTCACGTCGAAGTTCTGGAAAGCACTGGTACAGCTGATGAAGATCAAGACAGCGATGACGACTGCCCACCCAGCGCAGATCGATGGCCAAACTGAGCGTCAGAATCGGACTCTCGAGGACTCATTGCGATGCTCTGTTTCGTACCATGGCAACGACTGGAATGAGCACCTGCCCATGATTGAGTATGCGCACGCAACACTGGTGTCCAGCTCGTCGAAGCTGTCGCCCTTCTTCGTCGACACCGGTCGTCACCCTAAGAACCGATTGGGTAGTGTGGAGAGCGATCAGCCGGTGGCGAGGTCTCGTGTGGAGTACGCGTCTCGATTTGTTCAGCATCGTCAAGAGGTGATCGAACGTGCTCGGAAGAATCTGTTGGATGCGCAAGAGGCTCAAAAGAAGTTCTACGACCGGCGTCGTGCAGCAAACCCATTCAAGGTCGGTCATCTAGCCTTGCTGTCGACGCAGGACCTGAACATCTCGCACGCCACCGCGGAAACGACGCTCCGCTCACAGAAGTTCATCCCGCGCTTCATCGGCCCGTACACCATCCTGGAACTTCACGGCAACGTCGGGCTGCTGGATCTACAGGCCAACTTGAAGCACATCAGCCCACGCTTCAACATCGACAAGCTCAAGGTATACAACAGCAACCCTGATCGCTTCGTCGGCCGTGTGATCCCGAAGTCGACTCCCGTGATTTTCGACGACGATGGCGAGCCACTACACGTTGTCAAAGCTCTGATCAAGAAGCGCATCTTCAACCGCCAACCTGAGTACTTGGTCAAGTGGCACGGGCTTCCTCACCATGAGAACACGTGGGAACGCGAGCGCGACATCAAACACGTCAGCCACTGGCAAGCGCTGCTAAAAGATCTTCGCCAACGCAATCGAGTGGCACGGGCCTAGTGGAATTCTCTTCAACAAAGTTTTCACGGTACGGACCCTTACATAGAGGGTCTACGGTACTACCTACTTCAGCTTCGGCGACTTCAACGTTCAAGGTGCCGGGACTCGCTCAAGTCGGGGGGGGGGGGGGGGTGTAATGATCTGCACGTGCAAGAGCAGAACACAACCACATCATCAGTTGAGTCCGCACTCAGAGAGCCCAAGTCGTCGTCTGCATACTTACCGGTTGCGCAAGCACCTGCTCCGGCACGCCTCAGCCAACCACTTCATGTTTAGGACCGAGCGCCATGAGGGCGCCCTCGGGTAGATGGATAGCAGCAAAGAGACAAAGACATCAATTCAGTTTCCATTTTACTCGCAACACAACAAGCACAACCAGAACATTACAGAAGCGGTACATTTTGATGTTCTTCCTAATCATCCCGAACACTTAGAATCGACGTTCTATTTTCACGTTCTACCGTACTTCACAACATAAATGCTTAAGAAAAATACTGCAGTTTGAAGCAGGAAGTATTTCAGGCAAAAGAGCTCGATTAATTCGCACCATTTGTAGGCAAACTAGAGTCCGAGCAGATTACTTAAATCCGGCATAGCGCCGGGTTAAGGTTTTTGAAGGTGCCGAATGTTAATGTTACAGTGCTCGTTGGATGGCCACTAAGTTGAAGTGCTAAACCTTCATTTTTATATGCGGTACCTCTACAACTTTATGTGCGTCCTATGCCGAAAAGGCACAAAACGGGTGTCTCGCTCCAGTTTAGAACTTACCGCCGCGGCAAGAAGCAGTAGCCCTGGAAGCTCGCATATGTAAGATGAAGTAAGGCGAAGTCAGTTCTTACCGGTACTTGTAATTGGTTCAAGTGACGTCTCTAACCGGTTCAACTCACGTTTGCTTACGCACTTTGCTTGTCAGTGTAAGCCGCTGCTGAACTTCATACCCCGCAGCTACTCCATCCATAAGCCACCCGTGATGGCGCCCACAGTACCACCACACTGTGCGCTTCGGTCATGCACGCTGCGTCGCCTGGAAGCCATCCGAGGTTGTCGAGCTCATCCGGTGGTCAATCAAATGTGCTGAGCGATTACGGCGAGGTCACAAGACAGCACGTGCGGCAACGAACACGACGAAGTGCAACTTGTCTACTTGCATTACAATCGGAGAATTCTTCTAGTGTTGCGACGGGATGGCTGCCGAGGTTATGTCTAAGAACGAGGTCCATCGCGTTCAAGGACGAGCTGTCAGCATCGGCCCCAAAAGGTGGCGAGTTTAGCAGAGATAAGTTTTAAATGTCTACGTCAACTTCACACTGCTGCCTATTATGCGTCGAGTTAAAGCTTCATAGAGAAAACCTTCGTTAGATAGCACTGTCGATAGAGTGGGGTTTTAAGGTAAGTGACAATCATTTATCTTAATGCAAAACAAAGCAAGCGAAAAGACACTGTGGTGAAGTTATCTGCCACGCACCAGGAGGCTAAAACACCACGGGAGTTCATCTTTAATCTAGCAAAATATGAACAGCTAATGCGTGGTCAAACAGCGATGTTTTCGTGTTCGTTGGCGTAAGTGGTCTTGTGGATGCACGTTATTCAAGCTAACAACTTCCTGCATGAACACGAATATCTCAACACCTTGCATCTAATGTATCTGTCTTCGTCTTCGGAACTGACCAGGGCATATGGGTAAGATACGCACGAATCTTCCCGAGGATCTGCATCGACTTGTGGAGGTGTTTAGAGTCCTGGATGTGTCCTGGTCACGTCTTGAAAGTGTCCATAATTTCAATCCTGGGTCGCAACACCAGCCTTGCTTCTTTTTCGTTGTCCTATTCTCCTACATGTAAGGTGCTAACCCGCATGTCTGTCGTGTGAGCCACCATAAAACCCAGCTTAAACATATTTACTGTGCCACTGGCGTGGGGAGTTCCCACTGGGGACCAGTCAGAATTGCTAAGCTTTTAAAACCTACGCGGAAAGCCTTTATGTATTCGTCCCGGAGGACGAGGAGAGGTTCCAAATGAATGGCATCAACAGGGTCGCTCGACGGACCCATGTTGAGACTCCAACCATTAACGTCAACGCGCGTATACGGACGTACACCAGAGAGCACGACCTCCAACGAATCACAGCGTTTTTTTAGACACACAACGGAGCCCTCGGCGGGTGGCTTTAAAGGAGCGTCCTCAATGGCCTGCGCGGTTCGGATTTGGGCCACAAAAGACAAGTATTCGCGCAATGGCAGTCGCAGGGCAAAACCGCGGAGAATGTCAAGGAATTGCTCAGTGCAAACGCCTTTGTTAAGAAGAAGTACGGGTTTCTGTCAGAGATGCACGCAGGCTTCCTCAGACTGAGTTAGGTGCGTTACCGTAGATTCATTCCAAAAAACAATTCTTCTCGGCGAATTATTGTTCTTGAAAAAAAAAGGCTGGGTTTGACAGGAAAAGGTGCACAAACTCCTTGTCGCCTCAGATAACACCAAAAAATAAAATAAAACAACACAAAGATGCACAGTCCTCGTCTCGCAGACAAGAAATGTGAATACTGCCAAATCGAATAATCCTACTCGCTTTGCCGACTGCCGGCGTGAAAGTGGAAATTGAGTTGAGCAAGACAGTCATGGGAAGTGCTTATGTGGCCCTATACACTGGAACGGTCTTACTCTTGAGGAGACGAGGGTGTGAGCCGTGATGAACGACCGCGATAACGGGGAAAGTGTCGTTTCGTGCGAAGCACGGACTGCGACGCTTGATCGGCGCATCTTAGACTGTTGTTGCTTATGCTGTGTAGCACGCACGACTTTGACGACGGTGCATCTGAATCAGATGGACGGAGCGCCTCCCGCAGCCGGAGAACTACTTCTCGCTTCGAACGTACTATCTGGACGACTCCATCACACGACGCAACGCTTGTACCCGTCAGGTTGTGCTCTTCCGAGCTGGACTCGACACCCGCGCCTACCGGTTGGAGGCTGTCAAGTATTCGAGGTGGACCAGAACTTCGCGCTCTTTGACACAAAGTGGCGGCGCTGGAAGAAATGGACGCCTCGCTGATACCTGAGCGCCACGAGATGGTCGTGGCTGATGTGAATGACTTCAACTGGGAGGAGAAGCTGCTGTCTGCGGGGTTCGACCCCAGCGCTCCGACGTTCTGGGCTCTGGAAGGACTGACGATGTACTTGGAGCGCGGCAGCAACATCGCACTGCTGAAAACTATCGACATCTTGTCAGCTCCTGGTAGCGAGATCTGGGGGGACGTCGGCGGTCGTGCGCCAGAGGAAGGCGCGGTCGCAGCTTTCAAGCAGGCGGACGAACTCAGTCAAGCGGAACTAGGCACGCACCTGTTCAGGCTCGGCGAAGATGACGCGATGCACGGCGTCTTCAGCGAACTCCCCTGGACATTGACACTTCAGGCGGATTTGGTGGCACCTGGAACGCATTTTGGGCGTGAACGGGAACCCATTCTATCAGCAAGCGAAAAGCGGCCGGTGCCGTTCTCCTTTGTCCATGGAGTGAAGCAAGTGGCGTGATACATGTAGCCATGAAGATGATGTAGTTACCAGAACGATCAGCATTTTTGTAATACTGGGACTTGTGCAGTTGATCAGATCATCTGATCAACTGCACAAATCCTCTGGCGCACGACCGCCGACGTCCCCCCAGATCTCGCTACCAGGAGCTGACAAGATGTCGATAGTTTTCAGCAGTGCGATGTTGCTGCCGCGCTCCAAGTACATCGTCAGTCCTTCCAGAGCCCAGAACGTCGGAGCGCTGGGGTCGAACCCCGCAGACAGCAGCTTCTCCTCCCAGTTGAAGTCATTCACATCAGCCACGACCATCTCGTGGCGCTCAGGTATCAGCGAGGCGTCCATTTCTTCCAGCGCCGCCACTTTGTGTCAAAGAGCGCGAAGTTCTGGTCCACCTCGAATACTTGACAGTCGTGCAGCGCCTCCAACCGGTAGGCGCGGGTGTCGAGTCCAGCTCGGAAGAGCACAACCTGACGGGTACAAGCGTTGCGTCGTGTGATGGAGTCGTCCAGATAGTACGTTCGAAGCGAGAAGTAGTTCTCCGGCTGCGGGAGGCTCTCCGTCCATTTCTTCATCCGAGGGCGAGCTGCGGGGCGATCTGACGAGTGAGTGGCTCTGCAAACGGATCTGTGACAATGTGGTCGTCACGGGCGTGCTCGATAGTACTCCCGCGAAGCTCATGAACTGCACGAAGTCCTCCGAGTGCATCTTGTCGCCCGCGGATCGCCAGCGATTTGTAGATTGAAGCCGCGCTTGTAAAATCCGACGAGGCTTTCGTGGCGTTGAGAGGGGGCGGAGCGGGATCTTGCGTTGCGCGTCGGTGCCCACCACTGTCCGGCCACACTTGGGGGTACGTGTCGAGGGAATCGGGGACTGTTGTACGTGTAGCGTGCTACAGGTACTAGCCTAGTACTGTACTGTTGGGCTGATGAAGCCATAGTGTTCCTATTATTAGCAACGTATATTTATCACAAATCTATCCGTATACTTTAACCAAGATAATGACTAGCCGAAGTCACTTTAGCTGGATTTCTGTCGGCTTATGCCGTGATAAGATCTACCTTAGTAGAATAGAAAGTCGGCATACAGAGCTCAGCCGTTTACATTGCAGCGGAAGTTGCACTAGCTTGTCAAAGTGATGCGTGGTGTTTATTTTTGGGATGCATGAGAAGTAGAGACAATGTGTATCATCAAAGTAGAGCGATTCTCATACCTGCTAAGGTATTAAACGACTAAAGGTCCTGGATGGTTCTACACAAACACCAAATGCTGAATTCACCAATGGAAACGAAAATTATACCCAACATCGGCCAACTTTGGCCAGATAGGATCTTTTGCGTATTGGTCGTTTTCAAAACTCAAATATGGTCAATATGGGAAAATGACCAAATACCCATGTTTGGGGAAGCATGTAAATTTAATTACCACGTTGGTTTTTGCTTTGGAAGAATTACATCCTAGGCCGATGCTCCAGGAAATGTTTGAAATGCGTGACCACAACTGTGTACTGCTTCATAACGGATTCGTCAGCTTTCAGCAAGTCGGTGAGATCTTTCAAGCTTTTCCCATTCTCGATCCATTCTGTGAACACTCTCTTCTTGTGAGCCATTGTTGAACCGGCCAGGCTGTCGAGCGTATGCTTATGAAGCCAGCCGCCGAGGACGCCCCCACGACTTGTAAAGTAGTCGGCGACACGTCGAACCTCTTGATCACGAGTGAGCGCATTCCGCAAGACCGCGTCGACATTCAACGTGTTGCGCAAGCGCTCGGCTTGAGCTCGCAATTGGTTTGCTTGCACACGCACAGTAAACTCCTTGATCTCGGACGCCTTGATTGGAATCTTGAACCGCGCTTCTTCGCCATCGACCCCGCTCTCCAAATCGTTCATGCTGTAGCTCTTTAAGTGCCTTCGGCGTGTGCTGTGCACCTCCTTCACGGCGTTGGTTGTCGAGCTTGACACTGTAGCGTAGCGAGCAGCCAAGGCAGCATCTTGGGTCGCAAGGAAAGTGGCAGTTGCCACAAGCAGCACGTAGCTCAAGCGCATGGCACCAGTCGGTTGGGGCCCAAAAGCTTCGCTGGGGGGACTCTTCTTGGTACTGTAGCAAACTGAGAAGTGAGTTCACTCCACATATTTTTCCCATCCCCACGTTCGGTCCAGCTGGTTATACTATACAGCCGGCTCCTACAGTAGCCGGCTTACACCCGGGCCACGCAAATGACCCGGTATATCAAAAGTCCTATAAAGAAGCATAGTTAGTAAGGTGGTCTACTGATGTCATATGTTGCCAATCCCGATGCGGGCCAGCGCCAAATGTTACAGTCAGTACATGCCATGTACATACATGTATACCACTCCGTTTCAAAATGAAAGCACGATCGGCGTCAAAATGCGCCCTCCAAATCAATTTTCAACGTTTTCGCGTAAACATTGCACCACTTGAACTGCTAAATTCTCCTCTTTTAATTGGCGTGCTAGTTTACTTGAACCGTTTAGAATTGACCTTTGTACACTTGAATATCGTATGGCTAGTAGGCTTTTCTCTTCGGAAATGCACAAGAAAGTACGTGATTTGAAGATGTCAGTAATCCCTCCCATACTCAAACCAAGTCTTTTTTCGTGCTATCGTCCTGAAACAACCTTCACGGTGAATCATGCATTCTTTTTGAAACGGAGTAGTAATACACTCAACGAATGGTGGTACTGTGTACCATGGATATACGGTTAATGGAGGCTTTGCTGTTCACGATCCTTATTACGGGTTCCGTACATGTATCAAGACATAAGCTTATCGCACATATTTGTATGTACTGTGATACGTCTACTATCCGGGTAAGCTCCAAGTCGATTCGCTGCCCAGCCATCCCAACGCCGCAATGTCCAGCACCGAAGTCCGCGGGACCTCAGTCGTAAATATGTACGAGCTAAAAACTGCCTGATACAAGACTGGAGTAGAAGAAAGTAACAATTTGGCAACAGCGTCGGGCCATGCTAATCTCAACTCGAATCATCCGGTTCCGTATGCAAGCTGCTCCTTCAAGGAGCCTCCTTGCATTGCAAGGAGCAGCTTTCGGGCTGGGCATGCGACGTGTAACCAACGTGGCTGGTTAGAGCACCGACGGAGAATCCAGGGCCTAAGGCCCTGGTTTCTCCGTCGGTGTCTGGGGAGAGTCATTAAAGCAACATTGAAAATCAGCCTCAATGTGTGGGATCAATAACATTGATGGGGTCCAATGTTGCGTGATCGCTAACATTGACGCAATGTAAATTTTCCAGACGTGAAATTTCACACACGGCAATTATGCATAAGAGGTTGGATGTGCTGGGGATCATGGATGGTGGTGTACTGGGCCAATGCATGGCTGCTGACAGGCTCTCCCAAGTCGATATATATGTATACAGGCGTCCCCGGCCTATTCGCCACAGTGGTAAGTATGATGTTTGCGATCCAACACGATTCACGCGGTCTGAACATTGATGAGTGTGTACTCACTTACTACAAGTTTAGCTCACGAATAGAGTGGAGGTATCCCGCAACGTGGCACTTGTCGCAGTAGGTCTCGCTGTACACTAATCCAAATCAATATGTTTGCAGAAGTTGCGCGCAAATCTTGACAACTGTTTGTACTTCCTGTGCGAGGTATATTAAAATATAGAGCCGGGACTATCCCGGGGACGCCTCTATATGAGGAAGTGGATTTATCCATAATTCTACCAGGCCGTGCATCTTTTTTCACACATAAATTATTGCAAAGCACAATAATACTAATCGTTTATTATTTACCAAACCTGCTTTCAAACACTTGCGGACGCTCCAGTACACTATGAGAGCGTCATGGCTTCGCTGAAGGCGTATCAATTTGCGCCATAATCGACCAAGCTTAGCTGAAGATGACCAACATGACTTGTCTAGGTGCAGGCTACATTTTTTTACATGTCAATTTGCTCAATACCCAATCTCTCTTAGCCGAAGATGCCCAACCTCGTGTCTGTCGCCAAACCGATCAGCTCAACTCGACAGTGACACGAGCATCGTTCGTTTGAATAAGACTTTTTTCCCTCCGTTGAAGCACACACTTCCAAGGAACTGGCCCATTAGCGTATATCTCATTCCGCAATTTATCCCCCAAGCCCTCAAGTTAAAAGTTTGTTTGATTGTTTTGTTTTTGAATTGAGGATCATTTTTGTCACTTAGCTAACATCCTCAAGTTAAATGGTCAAGATCAGCTCACCATGCGTCTCTCCTTCGTTACACTACTGCAGCTCTCTCGTCTGGTCGTTAGCACACAACATAGTACGAAAATGATCACAGTATACCTTACCTGCAAAATGAATGAAGTTGCTCTCTCGTTGCTGGCCTCATCAGACCAGGCAACCTCAATTATAAAGAAGAGCGGGGCTTGCTGGTTACCAGCCTCACAAAGGTTTGGCTGAAACATCATTTCCGTATCGATACACTTCGATGTGCGCAACTATTTGTTCAACTACGCATTCTCGGGCAGATGCTGCGGCTGTGAAGCAGGCGCAGTAGATGCCCACGTTAGATTCAACTATATAATAAAGAGTTGGGCTGGTAGTGCCTTTTTAAAGGATTAAAAACAATACAACTTTGGGATTGACTCAATTACTAATCGTTATCATCGACCATGAAACTATCCGTCGACCTGTGTACCCTCCCGGAGCAACGCTTCGGGTTGCCTATTCCCTGCGGTCACACTGTCGATCTTGTAGCTATATTTGTATTACTTCTCAGCTAAAACCCCTGTTGTCCTCATACCGCTAATGAAGAAGCGTACAGAGTGATGCACTGGCGTGTCCATGAATATAAACAGACACCCCGTGAAAAAGGATTAGGTCCATATATACATGGATGTATTTATATGAAGCTCCAACAAGGTTCTTTTTTTTGTCACCTCTTCTGTAAATATTTTTTTCGCATTATTTTGGGCAGATACTATGGCTGCAAAGCAGCCGCGGGAGATGCCACGAGCCTCCCATGGGAAATGATAAACAGCCTCCTATAAAACTAAAAACACAACGACAACAACAGATTTGGTCAAAACCCTCCCGTCGCAGCCTTTCCATGTTAGTTCAGGGGCCGTGGAGCAGTACTCCGGCAGTTGTTGTAGCTCGCGTGCAAGCTGAAGACAGACAGATGGGTAGGTACGTAGGATGGTTGCTAGATTTTGTGGTAGAAAGCGAAATGGCACAATAGCTGAAGTCCTGTTCAACGATTGGTGCGGTCCTACGAGTAGACAAACGTGAGTGACTCGGGCGACCATGCAGAAAGACAAATATCGGCGCGGCTTCAGTTTACGGGCCTCAGTTTTCTTGCCTCAGTTACCGAGGTCCGAATTAACCTGATTTGGGCACTGCTAACTCAGTAAAAATTATTGTTCTCCCACGCATTTTGCCTATCTCAGCTCTAAATCGACCGGTATTAGGAGATTTGCGCTCTATTTACCCCAACTCACGATTTGTTTATGTCAAGTCACTCCTTATTAGACCGAGCATGGAGACGACACTATCGCTCTCATATTAACCAGCTGGGGTATTTAGCTGGCCTCGTTCATGTGTATAGCTCGTTAAAGGTGTTGATTGGTCGCTTAGGTCGATATATGAATCGACCAGAAAGCCCACTTTTCCGTAGGCGACTGATTCGATTCAACAGGTCTCCTTCCGATTGGTCGAAACCGGTAGCCAATCACGAGCGAGGCGTCGTCGCCCCGCGGCCGAACGCCAATAAACCCCGCACAAAGCACTCCGGGGCCGAGAAAAACCTCTGGGAACCGCGCTGCCGTGACTGTGAAGGGCGTCGCCAATCACATCCGGGCGCACTTCAACTTGCCCTTGTCCATGAGCTCGACGCCGCCCACGCTGGGCAGCATGCTGCCACTGGGGCCGCCGGACGCGCCCGCCGCGCCGCCCGCCGCCGCGCCCGCGGCCAAGAAGAAGAAGCCCGGGCGCACGCCGAGCCTCATCTGGCAGCTGCTGACCGACGAGCCCGACCCGCAGCGGCGCAACGCGTCGTCCTGCAAGCACTGCAAGCAGCAAGTGCTGTACTACAAGAAGTCGGAGCAGGCCATCCGCCACCTCAAGAAGTGCCCGCAGTTCCAGGAGATGCAGCACCAGTACGCCTTCGTGCACCAGTTCTCGGACGTGCTGCCGCTCTACAACCAGAAGATCAACGCCAAGGGCCCCGCCAAGAAGCGCGCCAAGACGGACCAGGCGCAGGCGCAGGCCCAAGCCCAAGCTCAAGCTCAACGCGCGCAAGTACAAGCCCAGGCTCAGGCCCAATCACAGGCACAACAGGCTCAAGCTCAAGCTCAAGCTCAAGCTCAAGCCCAGGCTCAGGCCGAGGCCCAGCTGCAGGTTCAGGCGCTGCAAATGCAGCAGCTCCAGGCGCAGCAGGCCAACGGCGCGCTGGCGTCGGTGATGACTAGCAGCGCGCTCGACCAGGCCGCTGTCCATCACGCGCAGGTCATGAACCAGATGGCCATGCAGCAGACCATGCCCGAGAGCTTGATGGACGGCACGGCCATGACCATGCTGAAGGACGACGGCAAGGATAAACTCGGTGCAGGCGCGAAGGAGAAGAAGAAGAACGGGATGCTGTCCAAGACGCAGACCGAGCGGTTTGAAGAGGCCATCGCCATGCACGCGTACGTGACTGGCATGGCGTTCGACGCCGTGGAGGAGTCGCATTTGGGCAGGGCGATCGCCATCTTGAAGCCGAACGCCAAGCTCCCGGACAAGAAGACACTGGAGACGGATCTGCTGGCGCGCTGCTTTGACAAGATGCACAAGCAGGTGTGGGGCGGTCTCACGACAGGTCCTGGACGCGTGTGTCTGAAGCGCGACGCCTGGTCGAACCTGAACCTGTACGGCACGAGCAACCCGGAGGAGCTGTACGTGACGTACATTGCGGTGAACAACGAGAAGCGATTTTTCCTGGAGTCGGAGAAAGCGCCTGGCGATGAATCGCAGTACAACTCCATCATGATCGCACAAGACATTAAACGCATGATGCAGCCGATGGTCAACAACGTAAGCGGCGTGGTGACTGGCAGCACAGAGTATCACTCGCGCGCGTGGGATATGCTCAAGGCAGAATACCCGACCAAGTTCTTCTATGGCTGCATCTGCCACGCTCTGCACTTGGCCATCATGGACATCTTTGGCCCCGAGAAGTCGGTGGAGAATGACCCAAGGCGAATGACGCCGCAGGTTCCGATGGATTTCCCGTTCCAGGACCTCGTGGAGCTCACAAACAACTGCAACGAGCTCCTAGCGTTCTTCAGCAGCTACCAGTATACGCAGAAGTTCAAGATGTTCGACGCTCAGCTGCTCCACACGATGAAGGGGTTTGCCAACGCTACATCCACCATGTCGTGGGGCACACTGGCCGCTCGTTTCCGTGTATTAATTCAGTCGGAAGATGTGCTGCAGTCAATTGTGAGTGACCCGGAATTCATGGGGCCAAACTCTCCCGAGCACCAGCGCGCAACGCGACAGAGTATCAAGGAGTTCGTGCTTAACCTGAACTGGAAGTTGACGTTGGAGAAGGCGATCACCATCTTGACCCCAATCGAGCTCATCCTGTACAAATTCCAGGACGACCGGGCCCCGATTTCTGAAGTTTACTTCGAGTCCAAGCATCTGCTCACAGATTTTGATGCAGTATTCGGGCTTACGACAGTTGAACTCGAGTACATCAAGAAGGTGGTGACAGAGCGGTGGCAGTACGTACTCAGTGAGGCACACGGATTGGCATTCTTGCTGGACCCGCGATACATCGGCAAATCCATGACGCGGGACTATCGTGAGCAGATTGAGGAGCTGATTTTCAATTTCCCAGAAACGGACCAGGATGTGGGGGTCAGCGAGGACCGCAAGCGAGCCATGACAGCGGAATACATGGACTACGTTATCTATGCGAAGAACCAGCGCAACAACCGGACGTACAAGTGGGAAATGCTGGAGAAGGGCAACCGGTCACCGCTGCAGTTCTGGCAGCTGGATGCGGACGATTGGCCGCACCTCAAGTCGCTGGCTCTCACTCTCTTTTCCTTAGCCCCGAGCAGTATCGCGTCCGAGAAAGCGCTGTGCAAGACCACACTGACCCAGTCCAGCCGGCGGAACAAGCTATGCTTTGAAGATATGCGGCGACTGGCGTTCATTTGTATCAACGACTCGCAGTTCTCGGGCAATCGCGCGAGTGGTGAAGTGCAGAACAACACTGTGCCAGATTTTACTGTGGGGGACCCCATATACCCGGACGGAATGATGATGTGGATGATCTGAGCCGAGCTCGACAGCATGTACTACTGTAGTTCTCCGAACTTTATAAAAATTGTTTTGCTTTAAACAAAGACGCAGGATACTGATGAAGACCTGAATCAGCAATGGCTCGTCGAAAGCTTCAACGGGGAGCAACTGGAGCAGCATGTTTCGACACAATGCCGAAAGCACTTGCGCGTGGAAATTTAATTTGAAGTTATAACTTATTTTATGGTAAGCTGATAGTCAACATTTGTCAGCAAGTGACCAACAGTAAGAGCATAGTCGAAGATTGTCAGAAAATGGTGAGTACCAAAAACTGCACGAGCGAAACTCAGGAGAGCTTCGACTTGAGCAAGCTGCTGCTGCAATTCACCATCGACACGATCGGGCTTTGGTCACAAGCTGGAGACTTTGACCTCGGATGGGGTGCATCCGTTCGAGGCCGCGTTCGATGACGCAAACCGCATTTCAAGTCAGCGGAATACTGTGCCCCCTTGTGTCTGGAAGCTCCAGCGCTGTCTAAACGTCGGGAGTGAGCGGCGGCTTCGCGAGGCGATCGACGAGATGAATGGCTTGCTATTGGTACTCATCTCGAGTGCGTATGGAGCAGGCCACGAATCACAGCCACGGAAGTGCGCGATATTTCTCTGGCTGGCCTTGAGGTAGGACGAAACACGACTGCAGACGCGATGATGTGGTTCTTCCACGCGTTGAGTCAAAATCCTCAGGTGCAGAAGAAGCTTCACGCTGAAATCCTGGCCAAGCTGCCCAAGCTTGGTGAGTCAGAGAGCTACATTCCCTCGCACGAGGACATTCAGAAGATGCCGTACCTCGAAGCGACTATTCTTGAGCTCCTCCGTCTACATCCAGCCGTCCCAGGTATCCCCTATCACTGCAGTCGAGACAGTCTTCGCAGATAACACGTTTATCCCTGCCAGCACGGACATCATCCTGTCTCTCTACAGTGCAGGGAGGCTTACGAGCGTCTGGGCGATTGTCGGCCGCTTCAGACTGATCGAGGAGCCCCTTCTGTAAAACACTTTGCAGCCGCCGAACGTCCTCCCGAACAATCCGCGTCATGTACTCGCGCAGCGCTCGCGGGGTGAACAAACTGGCCAGGATCTTGCGATGGAACCGCCAGCGCTCGCCATGGATGATCAAAATGTCTTCGCTCAGGAAATCGTCGAAGATCTCTCGCAATGTCGCCCTTGCTGAAGTTGCTGCTCTGCGTCTTGACGACCTCTTCAAAGTGCTCGGGCCTCGAGAGGAACAGCGTGTCGTTCTTGCCCGGCAGCCGAAGCGCGAACGGTTTGCCATCGCGCTGCAGACTGTGCTCAGCCACCCACTCGTGGTGTCGATCGACGTTTCGCGCTAACTCGACGGTGTTCCCGAGCAGCGGAATCCATGACGGCAAGTACGGCACTCGACCGGCCTTACTCGACTCGCTCTTGGAGCTCCACGTACATGTGTAGCTAACAACGCCGGCCACCGCCAACCCGCACGCGAGCAACCCCAACGCAACGGTGCTTCCGCCGGACAGTTGAAGCGGGGACAACATAAGATATCAGCCGACCGAAACGCACTCCTCTCAGTGCCTCCTAGGCGGCGAATTGGAGTATGGAGGCACCGATCTAGTGGCGGGGGCTGCTCTTCCCGCGGCATGCTGGCCCGATCACCGGGCTCGGTTCCGCGGAATCGAGGGCGGTCCACTACGGACCACTCTCAAGTGGACTTGAGGTGCGACTAGCATTACCACTGTAGCCATCTCTGCCCAATCCGTCATGACGGAATGCTCACCCTGTGGAGGAGGCGCGGGAAGGGAAGAGATGGTGCGATCTCGGATATGATATCTGTAAGGTTACAGTACCTATCGACACCTGGTGGCTCCACGGCATGCATGCACCGCTGGCCACCGACTCGGCTCGGTCTCAGTTCGCAACTTGCCTTCAAGGAGACAGCCCAACCAGTCAACATGCTGACGCTTTCGTCGAGGTCGTCGGAGATCACTGCCCGCTACCAGTGCGACGGCAAGGAGGTGCCCAAGGTCTTGTGGCGGGTACGGTACACTGGTCAGTCGCTCAAGGCGCGGGCCAAGCCCTCGTTCAAGAGCAAGCAGCAGTTCAAGCGGGCGGTGGAGTTGCACCTGAACTGGTCCAACCGCATCCCGACGCCCTTCATCTCGTTGTTCGGCACGCAGGAGCACGCGGTCAAGTGGGCGCGACGCCACTTCGAGCTCGGGTACGACGACGTGTTCCTGCTCAAGGTCGACGCAGCCAAGGTGGGCCCCGTGTTCCAAGTCCGGTACTTGGTGCAGGACAGCGACATCCACACGCTGCTGCCCGAGAGCATGTACAACGACGAGTTCCTGGTGCTGCGCAAGATCAGCAGGCGGAGTATCATCCGAGAGACCTACTTGGCCTGCAGTGATGAGAGCTCCAGTGAGAGTAGCAGTGCGGGTCGGAGCAGTGAAGAGTCAAACGATGAGGACGGCGATGTCTTTGCTGGCTAGGCGTGGTGCTGGAGCGGTTAGTAAGTACCTATTTGACGTGAGTTTAAGTTTTAAAGTTAATCATACAACGTGGTATCGTCGCAGTTTTCGTTCAGATACAAACGCTTAGCCGTCGAGCCGCTCATTTCGAGCTTATGTTGCCATTGCCCAACTCGTGTCGCCTTCAGTGGATATATCCGTGATAGTTTATACGAATCGACAGTGGCGAAGACTCCAGCGGTGAATGGACTTGTGGACCTCGCGGCACCGACCTCGAAAGCAATTGATAGCAACCGTTGGCAGCAACGGATAGAGCTACGAGTATCGATGTCAGTGACTGCGGCATGCTGGCAGCGACTCGATCTCTGTGTAAGATGTTGGGGCCGCCTGAAGCGCTCGTAGGCATCCAGGTGCGCTCAGCCGTGACGCACAAGCTCTCGAAGGAAGGGAGAAACATTCTGAAAACACTCGAAGGCACTCAAAAGCCCGCTCTCGACTCAAGCAAAAGTTGGGAACTGCATTACCACAGTCCGGTATACTGAGAAGTAGTGGAGAACTTTTGAAGGATTTGGAACGGAAAATCTAAACATTCTGGATAAAATCCAGATAGATTACGGATAGATTACCCGGCAGATGTTCCAATACTCAAGTCCAGTGGAACAACCGACGGGTCGCGTTGATCCACTGGAACTTATTTTTGGATCAACCGGATTTCATACGTTTTTTTGTCAATTCGTGTTCCAAAACGTCGACTTCGTCCAGCTTCTAAAGTTCTCTAGTGGCCGATGTTGGAAGAGAAGTAATCAAGTCGTTGCAGTGGCTCAACGTCAAGAGATTGCGTCCGACAGAAGCATATCCATGGCCGAGCACTGCACCTTTGAAGAAATGGGCGCCCAGGCTTTCCGCACACGAAACTTCGTGATCGTCAGCGAAGCTCTCAAGGAGCTGTTCACGGCCAAGTGCCTCATCTTGACTGATTACCTCGAGGCTGTGTCCATGCTACTTTGTTTCTTGTGATGGCTCACCTTCCCGTCGAAACATTGTTTGTTGTTGTTTTTGGATCAAATGTAAGCCGCCAGCCGCGCATCTCCATCTAGTGTCTGGGAGAGGAGAAGCCATCTTGATGTGTCAAGCTTGATCGCGAGAGTAGATAACCCAACAGCCACCTCGCCTAATTTCATCGGACTGCAGGTGCCCTGAATACCAGTGGTCAGTCGATTAAATTTTCTCCCAAATCAACAAAAGTGCGGCGCTTGACGCTCAGAACTGGTTTGCGGGCTTTGGCCCGCGGTGTTCGCAGTTCGGTCTTTTTTTTTTACTGTATTCCAAAACCTGCACCGTAGAAAAACTTTATTTACTACTGGTAGTACTATGTAGTAGCGCAACGCTTGCCGTAGAAGAGCGCTGCATGAAGAAGTTCTTGAATTTTAGCACATGCTCTTATTTTTGTACTGTGAAGTATTGTGAATTCTGGCCAATATTGCCGATTCGGGTCGGTTTACCATATGGGTTGAAATCGCTGAATACAAATTTCAAGTCTTTTGGAATCGACCGAGACGGCCTGAGCGACTTCTTATTTCGTACTTTATTGCGTACATAGTAAACTCAAGTCAAATCAAAATCTCGGGCGGTTTGCTGGCGATTTGGCTCGGTCGATTCAATCAATCGACTTCGGAAAGTTCGACTAGAACGCGCAATATCATGCCTCCATTTGCTGGGTCGCTTACGCTGCTCGATCTACCGTGGTGGATCTGTACATGAACTCACACTACTGCTACATGTATTCATGCTGCATACTGCACAGCTTCAAGCTGCCAGACTGAACTTCGGTTCATGCTGAATGTATAATGTGTTTTTTTTCTGGAGTTATATGTCCAGTTATGACGCCTGCAACTTGATTTTGTAGAATTGCTACACTGACTTCCATGTCGTTTAGCTCTCCTCACTACGAAGTTGACTCGCAACAAACACTATGCGCCCACTACCATTAATCAATAGCGATAATTTTGTTTTAGTCAACGACGGTTTATTGTTGCTGCTGCTGACATGTACATATAGATATTGTATCTTAGAAATGACAGCCACATGTCTAAACTAACTTAGCCGATACGACGGCGACTCGGCTCGCTTGCTGCCCCGATACGGTCGATTCATCACAGATTACATGTATGACTGATCACCCCTCTTTATTATCGCTGCTGCCTGGTTAGCTTATCGCCAAAAACTTGCTCTGAGCTCTAATGAATCGTTTGCGCTGCTATGCTGTAGTATAACTGCTGTACAACTGTCATTGCTGTTGTTTCAAATGGCTCTTTAACCGATAATGCAACATAAAAACTTATGCTGCATTATCTCAAACATCCGCAGGGGCGCAAACGACAGTTCTTACGAACTCCGAATACAGTCAAACCTGTTTATATGATCCTCTCTATTTGAGCCATGCCGTTTATTTGATGCAGGCTTTGTCGCTACCAAATATTTCACTTAGTTTTTGTATGATCTCTGTTTATATGCATACAAGGTATATGAGTCACATTTTTGGGGACCAAATTAGCTCTCACCTGTTTATTTGATTCACACTGCTCACGCTTCAAAGCACCACTGCTCAACACTCAACGCCTACCGCAAGCCTTCTTCGCTCGCCATGTCTCCTCGCACCTGTCTGACGCTAGAACAAAAGCTCCAAGTGCACCTAAAGCTCAAGCAGAATCCTGGCATGAACAACCCCATGCCCGCCGAGTGGATCTACGCAACTTTCAAGGCCCGGGTCAGCCGTGCCACACTCGCCCGACTGCGCAACCTGCCTTCTTCCTACTTCAGCCACGTCGACCTGAGTGCGACCAAGCGGCGCCGAGTGAAATTCCCTCAGTTCGAGCGGGAACTGAGGGAATTTTTCTTTCAGAACGAAGCTAAAACGGCGATGGCGGACGACGTGCTCCTGCTGAAGGCGCATGAGCTGGCGGAGCGCTTAGGAGGAAGAGGAGGAACAGGAACCCGCAGTTCAACCTGCCATTGCTCTGAGACACTGCATGGAGCTGGCTGCATTTTTGCTGCAATGCGGAGAGCAGACTGACAGAGAACGAAGAGCTTTACAGACCGTGACCGCTTTGGTTCGAGAGACTACGGTGAAGGCAAAGCGGCAGCGAACTATGCACGATTTCTTTACGTGCACCACATAATTTTTTAACTGAGTCCATTTTATATGAGTCATTGTAGTTGATGGTCACCAACAGGGCCTCATATAAAGAGGTTTGACTGTATACTTAAGTACCTTATTTTTTGTTTTTGCTGTCATAAGCACATGTTGTCATACGCAAGCAAACCCGGCGAATCACAAAGGAGGCATGACGAAAATACGATGTATAATAACAGAGGACCCGCACAGACGTAGCTATTCGCCCGTCCTCAGGCAATAACTAAGTTTGGACGCAATGTGGCCCCAGACATGTCCTTCCTGCCAAGAACGCTCTTATCATCACTGACTAAACGAGCAGGTTGGTGAAACTTGTCTCGTTCCGTCGACGAGTTCAAACCGCTGACTGAATGGGCGACCAAGAGTTCATGGTCGTGTCCCCGTGGGCGTTTGCCCTGTGGTGGTTCCTCTTCCTCGCGCTGCACACGCTAACGCTTGGTTACAACGCGGCCTTCGCCTTCTTTTACTTCAATTTGCGCGGCACCATGCTCAACAACTACCTCGAGTTCTTTTGGATCGGGATGCCGTCGGCGTACCACCCCACCATTGCCACCGTCCATGCAGCCATGGCCACACTGCACGGGGTAAGCATGGCTTTGATGCTGGGAGGCACCATTTGGTGGAGGACACTGGCGTTTACACCTTGGGGAGGCCCCGCCACACGAACTTCAATCAACAACGGCAATTCCCCAGAGGGACCCACCCTTCGGACATCTAGCCGCCTGTACCGAACTGCCTCCAGTCTAACAAACCAGCTCACCGACCGGTACGGACTGCTCGGCGTCAACGGGAAGCACTTCCATACGCTCACAACGTGCCGCGAGATCGTCGAGACTACGCTACAGACGGTTCAAGGGTATCGAATGAGCTGGTTCCTGCCGAGCACGCTTCTGAACCAGTTCTTCGCCGTCACGCTGGCACTCAACTGCTGGTCGTCCGCTATTGTCTACGCGTTGCCTTTCCGTAACGACGAAGCTCGCCGACGCTTTGCGTTGATCGCCTGTGACTGTGTGCTGGACCTCATCTCCTGCGTGGGCGTGACGCTCATTGTTGTGTTGAGGCACGTGGGCCAGTACGACACAAGCATCACCGGGTTTGATCGGGTACACTGGTACAACGACGAGTGGACCTCAATGAGTTTCAGATGGTCCTTGTCGTATCGTGGTCAGACTTGGTCAGTCGGGCGATCTTCTCGCTGGGCTTGTTCATGACAACGGCCAGTATGAAGGAGCTACTGTACCGCCGGACACGAAGTGTAAGTCATGTCGGGGCCATAAAGGTGGCAGTGACAGTGAAAGCCCTTCAAGTGACAGCCAAGACAGCTGATACAGCCAAACAACCCGCACAGATTATGCCATTCTTGCCAACAACAACAACAGCAGCAGCATCATCAACAACAAGACGTTCACGACTGCATCAAGTAGTGAATCGTGGGGTACACGCGCTGTTTCTGCTATGGGGCTGTCTGGTTCTAGCTCTACATGTACAAGCTTCGTTGCTACCCACACTTCCGCAATGTTTGCTACAAGTGCGACCGTGGGCTGTCCCAGGCCCGTCGTGCTACCTCGTGAGGCTGGACTGCCACCACCTCAACATTTCCGGTGATCGGGGTGAGATAGATTCACTATGGCGTGCCTTCGACGGGTCTAGTGTTGTGATGATGCTGATACGCCACTGCCCCTCGCTCGACGTACCCGATGTGCTCAATGAGTTCCATGAAATCCGTGGCTTTAAAGTGTACAACTCGACAATTGTGCAATGGAGAGAATCGGCAGCTATCACCAACACAAACCACCCTAATTTGGCGTCGGTGTTGCTGCTTCGAGTCAATATGAGCGACGGGTTGCTGCCCGCGGGTTTCCAGTCGAGCGATTTCCCTCGTTTCGTGTACGACTTTGAGATGTGCGTCACCAATCTGCGCGAGGTACCCGACGATTTACACACCAAGTGGAACCCAGGTTCGCAAATTTTCATCGAGTACATTCAGCTTCGCAGCGTACCAACACCGCTACTGCATCTAGTAGCGGGGTACTTCTCTCTGACGGGTAACCCCATCAGTGAGCTGCCGCCGGAGCTCTTCGAGACGGAAGGAGTGACCCATCTAATGGTTGGCGACACCAGCATAAGCGAGCTTCCCCACAACGTCAACGTCACCAGACTCTCATCAACGCTCGTTTCGGTCGCAATTACGAACACGAACGTTTCCTACTTTTGGTCGTGGACCGACCAACTTTTGCGGCAGTCCAGCGTGATTCCATACCCTCCCCCAGTTCTGGCAGGCGGCTCGGCGTACTGTGGAGATTTGAAGCGGGTTTTAGATGGCAACGCAACCTCGTTCAGCGCATCTACTTCTGGTGCCTACTCCGCAGAGGTTATGGACCCCGCCAATTTGTTGAACGGTAGGCTCTTCTCGCTTGTGGATTGCTCGCCAGTTTTTGGTGGTCCGTTGTACCCACTAGCGATCGAGGACTTGAATAATGCCATCAGGAGCTAGGAGGGTAGATTTAAAGCACAAGGCAAGTAAGTACATTGTTATTAGCAAAAGCACGACTGCGCCACTAAGTTCGTTCATCAAATTGTTTACCCGACTCACTCGAACCGGAAGGAAAAATCTGCGCCTACATTAAAGAAGTAATAAGAAACCCAAACAACTTTAGTACAAGGCAGGCTCATCATGTATCTAGTGATCACTCTGACTTACCGCGTCGTCCACTTTGGTACGCAGATTGCTAAACACGCGTAGTTACTTGTGCTGCTGACATTGCTGTACATTCCAAAACGAAAGCCAGCTGATACAGCGCTCGGATCCCACAACTTCGCCACGTGATGAACGAAGAGGGGAAAACAGGTCAATCCTAACAGTTGGTCACGGTTATGATGGTCAAATAGGTCACACATCAGGACGCTTGGTCACGTGACCAAACTTAACAGATCACATCACACCCATTGATGTAGACGGTAAGATGCGCGCACGCCCGCATGAGAAAGAGAGCAAAATGCATATGCAGCTTCGAAGCGGACGAGAGCCCACTTCTCTTCAGCCTGAAGAATTCAGACATCATACAAGTTTTCTCAGTACACACGACACCTCCATCAATGCTTTCGTACTCTGTCAGCGCGGGTTCCTACAGGACACGACGTGCTGCTTGCTGCTGTGATACAGTATAAGCTGGCTAAGTGCTGCACTGTGGGCTGCCTATCATCTTGCACAGCGTGCTTGCTAGTAGTAAAACTACCATGTTGCGCTGCAAGTCCTTACCATGCTAAAATGTGTGCTTCCTACCATTTACACTGCAAGAGACCGCCTACCATGCATGTTGCACGGGCAGTAGTTACATTGCTAAACAGTGAGCTGCTACCACGCGTGTGTGACGCTCGTAGTATGAGCGCAGATCGCAATACCCTAGATAGAGGAGGTGGTGCTACCTACCATGTTGCAGTACGAGCACCGTACAAAGTCACCAACCCGTACTCACGGGACTCCGCTCGCATTCAGCGCTTGAGCTCATGGACTCAGCATCACGTAGCATTATCTCGAGCTAGCCTTCAGTCTTGCTCGACGTGTGGGGCACCGTAACCTCGCTCGAGGTCGAAGTCGAGTACCCTACCGCCCGCTGTTCCTGGGATCACAGCGTAGCCGAAGGCCATGGGCATGCTGCACAGATTTGGCCGCACACTCGACTCGCCGTCTCGTTTCGTTTCAAGGTGCGGCGCATTGCAGTCATTTAGCCTAACTAACGTCCTAGCAGATTCCCGATCCTCCAGCGCTTACAATTCACTCTGCCTACCTTGCAAGGTGACAGCCAATGCACACTTGCTACGGTGTGCCAGTGAGAGTGAAGGTCCGGTGGTCCATCCAGTGTCCAGCTTCGGCTTGGAGGGACGCAAGCACTGTTGTCCACGGCGACGGTAAGTGGGAGAGATCATAGCGACTCGGCCAGAGCTGTAAGTAGGTTTCGGAACACTATTATAAAGGACCAGGGAAGCTACCGTCTTCCCTCGTACTAGACGCCTAGGCGTTGTATTCGAGGTTGGTCAACAATCCCGAATCTGATCGCACCCTCGAAATGAAGCAATAGCAAAATAGAACGCCGACCCAAGCGTAACACAACTCTTATTAACCCCAACATTTTTTGTCCTTTATTTAAAACAAAATTCGCTTAAGTACGAGGTACTTTCCGGGTTTTTGTCCTTAAACCGCAAAAAAGGACAAAAAAAGACTTGGCGTTTGTATTGAGTGTAATCACGCCCGGGTAAGTACGTGGTCATTTGTAACAAGTACATATACTGTGCGAGAGGTGTAACGTCTGGATCCACATAATGAAATCAAGTCAATGTGCGATTTTTGTCCTAGAATCACGGACAAAAACCGAAATGTGATATATTATATATGACCCTTTTCAATCTGCATTTTTATCATGATGGACAACAGAGGACAGTGTGCAAGGCACCCCCCTTGTAGAACGAATCAAGGATTTTCTGGTCATAGCAGTAATACGGTGTATCTCGCAAAATCAATGCCAGCATAAGCCTCTAACTTTTGGTCCTTTTATTTGTCCTTAATCCGGGGCCTGTTGGGGTTAACGTTAGTAGTTGCCAACAATTCTGCTGCCATTTGGACGAGGTGGCACCTCTGTGCCGACCACCAGCCATACGAGCGGAAGTCGAGCTCTTGCTTTGTCATATCATTATACAATCGCCCTCCCGCGACACAAAAGCCCACGCCAAGAACTTCAGCCCAAGAAAAAGCGTGATAGCAACAGTATCGGATTCAAGCGCAGTGTTGCTGGAGAGTACAACAAGGGTGTCGACGGCTTTGGGTTTGCCGCCCTTGCCGCAAAACTCAAGATACCCTCGCTGTCGATAGTTCGGAAATGGGTTGAGCAGCTGGGCGCCTTACAGGCCACTACCAACCTTCAGGGATTTTAGATTTACTTGAATACAACGCCTACCTTTTGCATCCTTCAGAGTTTCGCAGTTTCACTTGAATATAACGCCTAGGCCTTTTATTCAAATATAACGCCCACTAGGCGTTCTAATTTTTTAGAACGCCTTGGCGTCTAGTACGAGGGAAGACGGTAGCGCTCCGAGCAGCTAAAGAGGTTGATTTCAAAGTAATCTGTGTATGTGTTTCAGCTGACTCCTGCTAACGCCTTCTGCCAGCGTCTTCTACGAAACCGACCCCTCTCTCTCTCTGTCGTTTGCATTGGTTTCGCTGTTCAGCGCGCGATGGTAGTACAAGTAGACTGTAGGGCTACACACCCTCCCATGAACAACTTGGTCGACACAGGGAACCCATTATGAAATTTCGACATCGTCTCCGGATTCTATTTCGTGCTTTGTAGCATTCACTTAGAAAATTTATACGAAGTAGCTAACCCATCGCACCACAGCTCAGCACTCGAGCTTGACACTTCAACATGAGACGGCCCCCATCGCGTAATGTAGTTCACGAAAAGGTATTTCTCACGAATATGCGTCACCGCGCGTTATCTATTCCAGGCTCGGTAGGCCTCCTCGGCGGAAACTCTCCAGCTGCCGAGTGCGCCTCAACTGCGTCAAGCCGCCGACATTGTGGGGTCAGAGAAGAGCAAAGACTTATGAGAGCAGCCTACCATCGCCACTGATGACCCTGGATCCTGCTCTAGTGCTGTGGGTTCAGAGGCCGATGATGCCGAGATGGATCATGAGACAGCAGACTATCGTCCAGACGACTCTTTTGACTACGGGCGGAAGTCGCTATCTGTCAGGAGCAGAATCGCTATAATGCATTTACTTAACAACCAAACCGTTTGCGAATTACATGTGACCTCATTCGCTTAGGTCACGTGACCAAAGTAAGGATTTGACCCGTGACCAAAATGTAGGATTGACCTAAAAATCCGGTTACCCGTGATGAAAACCAGCGCTACCATTGACACCAGTTCTACATGCAGAGCCGCGTAAATGAAAATATTCTGAACCACTTTGAAGACGTTGTCTGAGGTGATGCCTGTATGATACTGGGCGCTGGGTAGATTGGGTAAGGTTTTATACAGGTCTTATGCAGGTCAGGTCCTGTTTTGGTCCTACGGCATCTAAACGAGACCGAACAGAAAATCAGTATGATTTCGCTAGCGGTCCCGTTTGGATGGCGAGACCCAAATGATATCACTACGAAACAAGCCATTTTTAGACCCCCTTCACCATGATATAAAATATCGTGATAGATTATAGAGGGCAGCCGCTATTGAAGTAGAGCTGGAGATTATAATATGAAACCCAAAGGTCTGAATTTGCGAGCGAGCGTCTTGCTGGTGTCGATCCCTGGATCGTCGACGCTGCTCGGACTGACGCTATTGCTAGACTTTCTTAATGAGCTTTAACTAACTGGGTTGCTCAGACGTCCTCGTGCCTGAATCTACTCCATGTATTCTTGTATGCATGTACCGCTGATCCTTGGTACTTGGTACTTGAAGTACTTGCTTGTACTTTGCCTCTGCAGGAAGCTAGATAGTGATCCAGTGATCGACATCCAGCAGGGCGCTAGCTCGCAGCTCGCCCTCGACATCCCACGGGGCTAGTATCTCACAGTACTGCTTCGCACGAGTACTTCAAGCCTCGGCTCCTACGCAAAATAACTTCTCGATTGTCCCTAAGACCGCAATTTAAGGAAAACTACAATTGGTCTAGCCTTAGTGCATATAGCGGTAGCTGGTGGGCCGAAGATCGGCGTGGACTTCTTCTCATATGCTTTGGTGGCTCGCTGACGTTCGGCCTGATTAGACTAAATGATATCCTGTGAAGCTTGCTGGTCCGAGAGTTGGCACCGTTTGGACGATTTGCTCGCGTTGGGTGCGCTGGTTGGGCCCATGGTGGCGTTGCGACCTCGTGAGTCACCTGTATGACAGTGTTGGTACCATGGAGAGACTATTGGTGCTGACGGATCCACCGAGTGTGTACTCTATCGTTTGGCTGAGTTATTAACTCGCGGGGGCAGGGGTGTTCATCAAGTCGGACGGCCCGGGCAGCTAGAGTACAAGCCGGATTAGCATGACTGACAGTTAACCTGACAGCAGGGTTGAAGTTTTTGTCCAGTATGGTTTTTCATTTGCAATATCCCCTTTAATACAAAATGCATTTATTTTCCGTTTGAATATTTAATTGTAGAGTTTTGCTAAAACCTTGTTTTCTGTAGGGTCTTTTTTAGGTTCCATTTGGAGGCTGATTTTATTTCGGTCCTGTTTTGGTCCTACGGACCAAAAAAGACCAGACCTGTATAAGACCGATGAACGGAACCGGAAAGACCCATAACGCCGCAACCGGCATCGACGAAGCCGAGCCACTGGCTACAACATAGGAGCAGAACAGCATCTTCTGGCGCCGCGAGAGTCTGATGCCATCGAGAAAGATTTCCACGTAACTGGCCATGTTGGGGCTGACTGCAAACCCTAAAATGCCCATACGGATCCAGAAGCCGTAGTTTGTGCTAACCTGCTGCCGGGTCCTGGAGTGGAATGGATTCTTGACACAACGCGATGGCGATAACGGGGAGTGGAGATACAACGAGCACCAGCAGTAACGTTACACGGTAGATGGACGTGTTCCGCGTGTACTCCTCCAGCGCCAGCAACCGCTCGATCGAGTACTGGCCCCCGAAATGGGTGATTTGGAGCGAGAACCAGAACGCCAATGCTCTTGTCGCCCACGTTCTCATGCGATCACGAAGCAGCTCGCACAAGGTCGAGGGGGCCGTCGGTATTGAAGGCCCATGCTCCGTTGCATTAAACGGTGCTATCATTCCTACACTTGCTCGTAGTGCTCGTCTCGTTGCTCGAGCTTCCGAAAGTGCAACAGAGTTCTGCTCGGAGATGTAGGCAGTATAAAATTATGGCGCGACTATCCGGATGAGGATACTACCAGCCCTGGAATTCCGAGTCCCCCCTCGGGGAAAAAAATCAAAAGCTTAACCTGTCGAGTACTTCTTACTATCCTGGCTGTCCACATTAAGGAGTTGTCCACAAGCGTTCCAAAGTCAATTTCATGGCTACGGCCGTCTTGTCTATGGCCTCACTTGCGTAACCTTTGGTTCGGATGGCGGAGGCTCTGTATCAGCTCGGGGACTCGTTGACGTGGACGCCAACGTCGGCGCCCCGGGGGCAGTTGGTGCTGCTTGAGGACTGCGTGGAGGCCGGCGGGGGGTTTCTGGTGCACCACTTCACGTCGCTCTTCCTCAAGGCCGGCCACCGCGTGTGTCTCGTGGCGAGCGCCAACACCCCGGAACACTATGCGGCAGTCGGACGCAAACTGGTGCGTTCACCTGACTTTGACACGTGGAATGACACTACCACTGTAGTCTTACACTACTTTGCGGCAGGGTGTCAACTTTGGGACTTGTCAGAGCAAGCAGCAGCTCCAGGTGCTGGACTGGACCAAACTGGAGGCCGGAGGTGACCAGGAGAGGGGGTGGACCAAATTGTTCGACGAGTTGAGAGCTTTTGCCGACCAAGATGGAGACACTAAGGTGTCTTTTGTCCTGGACGACATCGGCGCACTCAAGTGGACGTTCGGAGACGCTGCGGTGCTCGACTTTGTGCGCTGCTGCAAGACGCTGACTCAGAAGAAGAACGTGGGTGAACTGATGCGTATTAAGTTATATTCAAGAAAGGGTTATTGATGTCTGAGCTGTCGGTTTGGTGTAGGGAGCTGTGAATGTGGTGCTTCTGAGTCATGCAGACACGGACCTACCGGGATCGAGGCCTCTGGTACGATGAGAATTGATAGAAGTTAGGGGTCGAGGCGAGCTGTTGACTTGGAGTTGTGGTGGTGCTACACAGAGTTCTGCACTCGCTGACATGGCGACAGTCGTCTTGACCACGAAGCCGCTAAGCACGGGCTACTCCAAGGACATCCACGGAACGGTAAGCTTTTCTGTGATCGTCACCAGCGTATCATACCCTTCTCACGGTATTTCCTCTGTAGCTGTCCGTGTGTCGTCACAGCCAAGGCTTGGGTGGGAGCTGGTTACACGAGGATTCGACGGCCATTCCCTACAAAATTCTTGAGAGCACGGTCAAGTGTTTCCACTCGGGCGGAGAAGCGCTGCGGTGGAATTGAAGTCTCCTGCTTCAAGCACAAATATAGCGGAGATATATAAGAACCGTGCTGGGTGATTGTCTGTTACGCGTCAACAAGCAGAGCTGCCAGTGCCATGGCAGCGGTAGAGCTTCCCGTGAAGTCGCTTGATGAATACAAACGGCTGGCGCACATCGGTCGCGGCACTTACGGAGATGTGAGCTCTCTTTCGTAGATCTGAGCAATATTCGACTCGAACATAGCTTACCCCTTGAACTTTTTCGGTGTATTATCTCGGCTAGGTGTTCCTGTGCGAACACGTTCAAACCGGGGAGCGTGTCTGTATGAAGGAGATCGATCTGACGTTCCGCTCTCCTGACGAGCGGTAAGATGGTTCCGACTGCAGGAAATCCACACCGTGCTGTAAAACTAACCGTAGTGTTTGTTTCTCGGTAGAACACGATGTCTGAACGAAGTGGCTCTGCTCCAGCAATTACCAGCACACCCGAACATTGTAAAACTCTACGAAGCCTTTTGGGCTCAGCCTACTGAAGGAGGCGAGCAAGCTCTTGTCCTGATCCTTGAGCATGCGGATGGAGGAGATCTTGAGCAAGTTCTCAGCGCGTCCATAGTAGAAAATGAAGCCCGTCGAATCTTTTCTCAGCTCGCTCAAGGAGTTCACCACCTGCACACGCATCGTGTCGTTCATCGCGATCTAAAGTGCGCAAATGTTTTTCTCTTCCAGTCCGGGCGCGTTGTGCTGGGAGATTTCGGCACTTCCAAGCGGCTAACACCGATTAGTAGGCAAGAACAAGAGATTGAAGCGCAAGATTTGAGTTCGACGGTAGTTGGGTCCCTGCTGTACATGAGCCCCGAGCTCCTGGAAGGCGAGCCTCACGGTTTTGCCACTGACATTTGGTCGCTTGGCTGCGTGTTGTATGAGCTGCTCTCGGGAGGGAAGGCAGCTTTCGCATCGCCGTCGTATCCTGCCGTCGTTTTCCGAATCACTCAGGACGAATACGATCCATTGGATACGGACGTGGTTTCTCCTCAAGCACGCGATCTGGTGAGCAGGATGCTACGAAAGATGCCTCAAGAGCGGCCGACCATCGCAGAAGTGCTTCAGTCGTCCTGGCTCAAGGTATGTGGCACCATAAAATATAAAACTGTGGAGTCTGTAAAGCATGCGGTGAAGAAGGGAGTAGGAGCATCGGAGGAGATCCCGACAGCAACAAGCCACCATACAACAGATCATCTTCTGCCTCCAGCCCCCGTTGATAACACTTCTCGAGACATGATCATGGAGGCCAAGGAAATATTTATCTCGCCACCTCCTGCCCCTCACATTCGACCTCGCTCTCATCAAGCAAATTCTCTTCATCGCCATAAAGAGATCCGCTTTCGTGTGCAAGATCAAGCTGCCTCGCCCCTGATACGGGTAAGTTGAAGCGCGAGCGAAAAAATGGTAGACGGATGTTGAGATGATGGTACTAACGTCTTGATGGAACCATCGTGTTTCAGTTTGATGAGCAGCCCCCACCACCGCCAATGCTTCCGTCGAGCATGAGCTCCATGATCCCTTTCAAGCATAATTACCAGCGGCAGCATCACAACTCGATACAAACCGAATCACTGGCGCTGGAAGTGCGAGGCGTCCAAATGGTAAAAAACACTCGAAGCCAGCGACCAGCACCGAAATCAACCCCCAAGCATCGACCGTAAGGCCCGCCAGTTGATCTAGTCTAGTCCTATTCACTTAGTGCGTCGAACACGCTTCAGTTGCGATCCTGTCCTCGTAGCCTTGTCCTTCTCGGTTGTCTTGAATGCAGAAGCCACTAACGCCGCGTACCGGACCGAATCCAAAGCCTTGCGCAGGTGTGTCACCGCCGACGAGACATTTGTGATTATGATAGTCGAGGACGGAGTGTCCGTCTCCAGGTAGCACTTGAGCACCATCGTGAGCTTGGAGTTGCGGTACGGAATGTGGCCCGTTCCCTGACGAGCCTGAACTCGAATGCACTCCTTCAGTGCGAGCAAACTCGAGTTGATCTCCCGCGCCTCCTTGTGCTCTTGCGAATTACGCGCTAACCCCTCGCCAGTGTACTCCGCTCCAGCGAGATCAACGAGCACGAACATCCCTCCAGCACACTTCGCCTTCTCTTCATCAACATCCGCCTTCAAAGCCGCGACTTCCGCCTGCGCAGCGTCAACTTGTCCACGTAGCACCTCAAGGCGGTCCTGGTCCTCTTGAGGAGGCTGGATACCCGACAGCTCGTATTTTCCATCTACAGCCACGTACATTTGCGACTGAATCGCGATGAACAGGTCGTCGCGAGCTTTGCCCAGAGGGACAACACGTGACTGCGCCAGAACCACTTGCTTCCGAGCCTCAGCCAGCGCGGAAGTCACGATCTCCAGCTCGAGCACCGCGTGAGAGCGACTGCTCTGGTGATGCAGCTCCGACGTCCCCTCTGCGCGAAGACTCCGTCCTTTGCTGATGATATCGACAACCGCAGCAGCGGAATCCCCATACTCGGCCTGTAGAGACTGCGTTAATACCTCCCCGTTGGGGCCCATAGTCGTGGCACTGCGCACGTGGATCGTTCCGTCGGCGTCTTGGCGGACAAACCCTGGCTGGCGGTCGTTGAGCAGGTCGAACACTTTGCCGTTGTACAGCTCGTAGAAGCGGACCTGCACCAGCAATTGACTGTCGCTGCTCTGAGCGAACAGGTCGTGCACCAGACGCTGGCACATGCCCAGCTCAGGTCCGTACCCGAAGATGGTGTGCGTCTTGCCGCTGTTCGTGTGGCCGTAGGCGAAGCAGCACGACGTGGAGCCGCCCAGCATTTCACTTACCATGGGACTGACGGCCTGAGCGTAAGCCTCGCTGTTCTCCGTCGACAGAACGCCAGCAAAGTCTTGAAACTTCTTGGCAGCGTTGACGACCACCACGTCCCCATTGTCCTCGACCTTGTACTCGATGAGCTCATCGCCTTGTTCAGAGGCCGCTAACGGACGGGGACGGAGGTAAACTTTGGTCATGGTCGAGCTGCTAAGAAGTGTTTCCAGTACGCGAGAAGAGAAATGTAAAGTGAGTTTGTGGTCGACTAAAAACAAGTTACGAATGCATGTGCATTACCTGGCGTGAATGTTGGTTGGTGGCCGTGGCAGATCCCATGAAACCCTGCGTCAGTTCACGAAACCATCCGAGCCACGATGATTGCGCTGATCAGGCCTTATCATTGCCACGTTGTATTGCATCACGCTTATCCAGCTGAGCTCAGCAGCTTCGTCTACAGCGTTGAGTCTATGGCTCCGGACATGATTTGTTGCTGCGTGTACTCCCACAGCATTAGGGCCCCGCTCACGTGCACGTTCAGCGATCTCACGAGCCCAAACTGCGGGATCTCAACGCAGACGTCCACCAGCTGCAAGACGTCCACGGGGATCCCCTTCTTCTCGCGACCCAATACCAGCACCATCTTGCGGGGCAGCGTGTAGTTGGCAAGGCTCACGCTGTTGGCCGTCTGCTCCACCGCCACGATGGTGTAGCCCTCGCTCTTCCAGCGCAGCAGCGCCCGACGAAGGTCGTCGCCCAGAGGTCGGACCTCCTCCAGCGGCATCCACTTGTGAGCTGTAGCGCTCACTGTAGCGAACGTCACGTCGTGTTGAGCCAGACGCACGTTGGGCACAATGAGCTTCTGCGCGTTGAAGATCTCGCACGTTCGCGCCAGTCCGGCCAGGTTCGGGATCTTGTCCACCAGGCTCGCGCACATGATGAGAGGCTGGCGAGGCCGTTGACGTGCGTTGAGCGTGTCCCCACGCCGAGTGGCATCGAAGTCAGCGCGCATGGCTGAGGGCAGCGCGCTGTCCTCCAGTAACAGCGCCGTTGTGTCGATCTTGCGCTGGACGGTAAGGGCCGCAGTAGCGGGTGGAGCCTCCGTAGGCTTGTCGGTCGAAGCCGGCGCTGGCGTGAAGTTCTCGAGCTGGTACTGCGCGTAGAGCTCGTTCATGGCCGTCTTGAGCTGCTCGCTGAAGCGCAGCGCCTCGTCGCGCGGCAGGAGCTCTCCGAACTCGCTGATGAAGCCCGAAGAGAGCATCCCGAGCAACGAGCTCTCGTAGTCCGGGCGGAACTCCTCCAGCTGACGCGCTTGACGGCGCAGCATGCGCTTGCACTCCTTGTTGTTGCTCAAATAGCGCGCAGTGCCCTCGAGGAAGCGCAGACCTGGTGTATCACTCGACTCCGTCTGGAGCTGGTGGATGTGGCGGGGGAGGACCTTGGCCAGCAGGAACTGCGCCAGCACTCGAGTGTATCCGTGAGACGTGTTCAACCACGGCAGCATCGTCTCCAGCAGCTCTCCACAGTCGACGTCCAGGCTGTCGTCGTCCAGCTTGTAGTTGGCCAGGTACGCAGCTACGAGCAGCAGAGAGGCGCCAACTTGCGGCATCAAGTTGGCATCACGCAGCATTGGCAGCAACAGACCCGAGCAGATCTCGCGAGGGAACTTGGTAGCCATCCGCATACCGAAGAGCTCCATGTAGTAGCGCACGCTTGGCAGCTGCGGGACTGCAAAGGCCGTTCGAAGCGTGGGTAGCAGCTCTGTGAGCTGAGGCTTGGTAGTGTGCGCGCTGATGATGCAGAGCGCCTGCCACGACCGCAACTTCTTGCCGAAGCCGTCGCTGTTGAGCATGTGCTGCTTCTGCCAGTCGGGCGTCACGTTGAGCGCAAGCAGCCGGGTGAGCAGTGCGTTCATAAGCTGCTGCGAGTCTGCAGTTGAATCCACCGCGACGTCATCCAGGAAGCTCAGCACCACCAGTCGGACGAACCTGTCCTTGGCGTCGGTCTTGATGGCTACAACCTGGTCGTCGTTGACAGGAGAGAAACCTTGAAAGCCCTGGAATGGAGCGCCAGCGGTAGCGTCCGTCGCCAGCTGCTCCTTCTCGTCGATCAGCGGCTCCTTGTAGAGCAGGAGTTCCACCAGTTCGTCAGCGAAGCGAAGAGCTGAAGCCGGGTGAGCTCGCCACGTCTGGCATAAGCGGCAAGCCAAGTGGAAGATCACGTTGGGGCGATGTCTGGAGCCGAAGCGGGTGAACTCTGTGATCCAGCGCTTCATCGTAGCGGTGAGTTCGGGACGGAGCAGGAACACTGGCTGGAACATGCACACGACCACAGCTCGCGTAAGTGCGTCGGGTTTCGCCTTGCTGTCGCTGTAAGCGCTCCAAATCTCCTCCAGCAAAGCGTCCAGAGGCTCAACACCCTCAGAGCTGGCAAGCGAGCTAGCCAGTTGTGATAGCGTAAGTGAGAGCACGTTCACCATTTGGATCAAAGCTGACGGGTCCATGCCTGCAGTAGGCAGCGCGTCTACACAGGCGTCGTACGTAGCTCTCAACAGCTTCGTGTCAATATACAGCATGGCGTCAACGACCTGCTGGATCAATACCCATTTGTCCGCAGCCAGGCTGATAGCACACTTGGCGTCGAGCTTCCCGCTATAGCGCCGCGCCGTATCAAGTGCGAGAAGAAGCGGGAGGATACGATCGCTCTCAAACGCCTGCAGAGAGTCGAGCGCAGCGCCGTTGGCTCCGGTAATGGACAAGCACTTTGCAGCCAAAGCCAAGTCGAAGACAGTCCGGTCCGCTGCTGCTGCTAGAACTCTCTTCAGCTCTTGACAAAGAGCACCAAGTGCCTCGATTTCGCCCACGTCGCCTGTGGAGTTCATCTTGTATGTGCTCATCTGAGTGAGCACAAACACAGCGGCCGTCACGGATTTCATGACATTCTCCTTCTCGTGATCGTCAGCTTCCACTCCACCACTAGAAGATTTCGCATCAAGCCACCTTCGGACTAGCATCATAGCGCAAGCAAACAGGAACGAAGAGTTCACTTGACCCTTGTAGAAGCTCGTACGTTGAAGCGAAAACTTGAAATCCGACTGGGACGAGCAATGGCTCACGAGTTCCTGGACCTGATCTTCAAACTTGGCAATCACGAGCACAAGACGCTCGCTATCCAAATCTTGCACTGGAGTGCTGGACAGCAAAGTGCTAATTGGAGCACACAACTGCACCTTCGACGGAGCCCGATGTTCGAGTGATTCCTCTAGGCGATAGGTGTCTGCATCGTCCGAAACTTCAGCTGTAAACAGCAGCAATCTCGATAGCTGAGCAGCACTCAGTTCGTGACCGCTACTTCCTTCCTTCAGATACGCTTGAAGTGCCGACGCTAGAGCTGAGGAGAAGTAGGGCGAGCGATCAGCATCAGTAGATGTCTTGATCCACGCTAGAATCTGCAACAGCGCCTCTCCATTGTCACTCACCAGACTGCTGGTAGGGAAGACACCGAGAACACGAGCCAAAGCCGACAGCGACAGTGTCGAGGCATTGACGTACCCTCCAGTGAGTGCATGAGTGAGCGCACGCAGCATCTTCGTCCGCATCGCGTGCGAGAAGGACTGCATGGCGTGCACATCCAGCAAGAACCGAAGGCGGTCGACCGCTGCCGCGCTCAGGAGCGTCTTGGTGGACGTGGAGGAAGCTGCGCGCTTGAGCTGCGAAGACTGGAACACTTGTAGCATGCTCAGCAGCGCCTCCGGGGAGTGGCTATCGGAGCCTTCACCAAAGATGGCTTCTTCAATCGCAGAGACAAAGTCATCGAGCACACAGGCCTCGTCGCCTTCTGTGATCTGGAGGGCGAGAAACGACGCGAGGAAGTTGGCCACCAGCGCCTGGAAGCGAGCGCGGTGGGCGTGCTTGTAGAGCACGGGGTCGTTGCACGCGCGCAGCAAATTGTGAAGCACAAACTGCTGGAACGCGGGTGCACAGGCGAACAAAGCTCCGTGGTCAACACCAATATCATAGCCAACGTTGTGCCTCGTTAGCCATGACTGCACGCAGACCTCCATGAAGTTGGAGATGAACAATCGCTTCACGACGGGATTGTCGTGGGCGAACAGCCGAACCAGCAGACTTTGCATCCAGTCGAACGTGAGCAGCACAGGCCACTGCTCAGACTCTTGCGGCAGCTTTGAGCTGGTACCGACGACCAGGTATTTCGTCAATAGATCCGCCACCTGGGGCCACACCTGCTCGATCAGGTGCTGCTCGTGGTGCATCTGGATCACCTCCGACGCCGTGAGGAAGTTCTGCCACGTATCCACCCAAGTCGCTGTCGGCTTCGCACTCTTAAGCTTCGCCTTCTTGATGTTTGTCGTCTCGGTCTCCTCTGAGCTCATGGCGCAATGCGAGAAGGCAACCTTGAGGATATGCAGCCCCTGCTTCCTCAGCAGAGCATCGTTGTGTCTCAACGCAACGCACACAAGCTTCTGCAGCCGCGTGTCCGCGATGAATTCACGCGGGGCTTTAGGCATCACGATGCACACGAGGTACAGCATTTCTTGAGGGAAACTCTTCGCGCTCGAGTCCACATCCACCACGTCACACGCGGTAACCACCATATCCAGCAGCTCCAGATACATTTCTGCAGCATTCTCCAAGCCGCTCTCAAGCAGAATAGGTACGATATGCAGCACTACTGCGCGCAGGAACTGCGGGTGCTGCCTCCATGTCGACGTAGCGAGTCTGCAAACCTGTGTAGCCATCTTGATCAAGTCTCCATCCTGACGCAGCAGCGCCTCCAGTAGCCCACACAGCGAGCCATAACTGACCCCTTCTTCATGGTTGTCAACCAACAGCGCCTGCACCTGTTCAAAAATAACCCTTACGGTCTCCTTGCCCTCTTCGCATTGCAACAATGTCTGCACTATTCCGAGCGCCGCGTGGTGTAGCCATGAGTAGCGCTGAGACTGCAGCACAGGCAGCAACACTTGAGTCATCAATGGTCCATTCAAAAGCTGCGCCGCATGCTGATCGTTCGACTGAAGATACTGACGCAGCAGTACTGCCGCTGCCACGATCGTGAAGTGGAACTGCAGGTCGTGCTCCTGAGTCGAAGGCAGAGGCGTCAGCATGGCTACAAACTTCTGTGCGTCATCTTGGAAGACGTTCTGGAGCTCTTCGGGGGGCAGGGAGAGACCTATGGCGACGAGTTCGAACTGTGCTTCGGCCTCCGCAACGTCCAGCTCTACGCGGCCCTTGTGCAGCTTGTGGAAGCGCTGCCAGCGCGCCCATGACGCCGAGATCGCCGCTGCAGCCATTTCGACGACGGCACCTATCGCAATGACCAGCTGTAGCCATCCTGTGATTGGCTGGTACGAATGTAGCCATTTGCAGTTCTCATTTCCGCTCCATCCGAATCGGCAGGAAGAGTCCGAACCATGCACTTCTGTCCGTCGTGTGGCAACATCCTGCTCGTGGAGCCCGACGTGCGTTGTCCTCTATTGTCCCTGTGTAGCCATCTTTGTAGCTGACGTGTTGTGCGTTGATTTCTACTGCAGTCCGACGGCATGCGCTTCTTCTGCCAGACGTGCCCGTACCTGTTCCAGATCAACGACAAGGTGGAGAAGAAGGTGCCGCTGCAGCGCAAGCAGGTGGACGACGTGCTGGGCGGCGACGAGGCCTGGGAGAACGTGGACCAGACCGAGACGCGCTGTCCGCACTGCGAGTTCAACAAAGCCTACTTCATGCAGATCCAGATCCGGTCGGCCGACGAGCCGTCCACCACTTTTTACAAGTGCGTGCAGTGCAAGAAGCAGTGGAACGACTAAGCACACCCCACCAGTCAACCGAACACACATACACATACATACATAGACCTCCATCCTTCCTGCTCGTTGCTCTGCTGGAGACCTACAAATGACATGGGATTAGTTACTTTAGCTAGAAAAAATAATGGGGTTGGCTGGCTGTATGACCGACATCAGCGGTTCATGCGCGCGGCACGCTGCGTGCGTCGGCAGTTGTCGCAGGTGCGGTTGCAGTCCGAGCGCTGAAACTTCTGGCCGAAGTACGAGATGAGCTGCTGCCGACGGCACGTCGTGTCGTCCTCGCAGTACTCGGCCATGGCGCGCAGCTTCTCCATGTGCACGGCGCGCGTCTGCTTGGTCATGCCCTTCTGAGGCATGAAGAGGATGCTGCGCATCTTGGAGATGTCCCGCGCGCTGTAGAAGATGATGCATTGCGACGGCTTGCCGTCTCGCCCCGCACGGCCCGCCTCCTGGTAGTAGCCTTCGATGGACTTGGCTACCGAGAAGTGGATCACGTAGCGCACGTCGGGCTTGTTGATGCCCATGCCGTAGGCGATCGTGGCGCACACGATGCTGAGCTGGCCATTCTGCCACGCTTCTTGCACCATGTGCCGGTCCGTTGCTGACTGTCCGGCGTGGTAGAAGTCGGCGCTTAGGCCGCGGTCGAACAGGTAGTTGGCCACGTCCTCGCTGTCCTGCTTGGTCATGCAGTAGACGATGCCCACGGCATCGCGCGGGTACGTCTTGGAGATGAGCTCGTAGAGCGCCTCCATGGCCTTGACGTCGCTGCCCAGCGGCTTGTCCCGCACCTCGAATGTCAGGTTCTGGCGGTTGAAGCTCATGGAGAAGACCGGTCCGTTCGAGATCTTGAGGGAGCGCTGCACGCCTTGAATGACTTTGGGCGGGGCCGTCGCTGTGAGCGCCATGAGCGGCACGTTCGGGAAGGTCTTCTTGAGCATGCCCAGCTGGCTGTACTCGGGTCGGAAGTCATGTCCCCACTGACTGACGCAGTGGGCCTCGTCGATGACGAACCTGGCCAGCATCTTGTTGCGGTACAGCGTCTGCAGCAGGTCGGCCATCTCCGCAGACTTGACGATCTTTTCGGGCGTCAGGTACAGCAGCTTGAGACTGGGTACTGGGCGCCGAAGCTCGGCCGTGATGGATCTCTTGAGTGTCAGCGCTGTCTGGCTGGTGAGGAAGGCGGCTGGGATGCCGCAACCAGGGTTCTGGATGAGCGCCGTGACCTGGTCCTGGATCAACGACAACAGCGGAGACACGACAATGGTCACGCCGGGGCTCAGCACGGCCGGCAGCTGGTAGCATAGACTCTTGCCACCGCCCGTGGGCATGAGCACGAAGCAGTCCTCGCCGCGCATCGTGGCCTCCATCACCTTGCGCTGGTTCTGGCGGAAGCCGTCGTTGCCGAAAATCTTCTTGTTGGCTCTGGCCAGCTGGTCGTGCGGCTCCCTGGCCGTCATGTCCACGAACAGACTCGCATTGCCGCTACTACTACTACTACTACTACTACTACTACTGTTATTGCTGTTGGTGGGGGCGTCCATGGCGCGCTTCTTGGCGCGCGGGGGCTCGCTAGACGCCGCTGGTCGCCGCCTGCTCTGCCGGATCAAGTCCAGCGCTGTGTTTGGTTCTCTGTTCTCCGCCTCGTCGTCCGAGTCCTCGTAGAAGGCGCGCGGGCGCTTGGGCGGCGTCTTCTGCTTGTGCTTGAGCTTCTGCCGGGAGAGGCTGCGCGCCAGCGGCTCCGTGTCCAGGTCCGCGTCCAGCGTGAGGTCGATGGCCTTGCTCTGCGCTGCGTCCTCGGTGGGCTTTTGCAGCGGGCGGAAGTGCGCGTCGATGGGCACGAACGCCGCCGCCATGCGCCTCGGCCGGGACATGACCGCCTTCATGGCAAGAGTTGCAGTCGAGCACATTGTAGCGCCAAATCCCCCTTAAGTACGCATTGACCTACACTCTACATTATGTGGTACACATCATTTGTCATTTTCGCCAATCAGTCGCACTCCACCATGAGCGGCGCCACGTACGACAGCTGGGGCAGCGCCGCCGAGCGCTTCGCGGACGGCTCCATCTGCCTGGGCATCGACCTGGGCACGACCAACTCATGTGCGTTGCATTTTCCTCTCTCTCCTCTTCATGTCCATGCCTAATTCGCTCTCTACTTCCTCCTGCAGGCGTGGGAATGTGGCACGTGGAGCGCAACCACGTCAAGATCCTCAAGAACCGCGCGGATCGGGGCCGCACGACGCCCTCCGTGGTGCGATTCGAGCCAACGACGCAGCGCGCGGACGTGGGCAACGCGGCGGTGCAGCTGGAGACGCAGGAGCCCGTGGGCAACACCGTGCGCTCGGTCAAGCGCCTAATGGGGCAGAAGTTCGAGAGCAAGGCGGCGGACGTGGCCAGGATCTACGCGACCTACAAGGTCGTGTCCACAGCGCAGGGCAACGCGGCGGTGCAGGTGGCTCGAGGCGGCCAGAAGAAAGTGCACGTGCAGCCAGAGGAGGTCTCGGCCTGCGTGCTCGCGGAGCTCAAGGCCTCGGCTGAAGCATACTTCGACGGGAGCGTCAAGCTTGACAACGTGGTGATCACGGTGCCGGCGTACTTCAGTGACTCGCAGAGGAAGGCGACCATCACTAGTGCCTCTATGGCGGGTTTCAAGGCTGTGAGGCTGCTTAATGAGCCCACGGCGGCCGCCATGGCGTACGGATTATTCCTGTCGGGCACAAAGCTGGTGACGGTGTTTGACTTCGGAGGAGGAACGCTGGATGTGTCGCTGCTGAGTATCCAGGATGGAAAGTTTGAGGTGCTGGGCATTGGAGGAGACACGAACTTGGGCGGAGAGGATATCAATAATATCCTGGTAGACCATTTGCTGGAAGTGCTGTACAAGCATCACGATGTGGCGAGAGCTCAGGTCGGGGAAGGGGACATGGTGAGGCTCAAGAGGGAGGTGGAGAAGGCCAAGATTGAACTGTCGGCGGAGGATTACGCGGAGATTGAGCTGCAGGGCATTGCTGGTGTGAAGACGTTCACGTACACGCTGATGCGACGCAAGTTCGAGCAGCTCTGCGACCCGATCTGGAAGAAGTACGTTGAGTTGCTCTTGAAGATGACGGCATTATTCATAGTCTCACTAACAATGTGGCTGATTGCAATCGGTGCAGGTGTCTTCGGATTGTGACGAGTGTTTTGAAGGAGGCTGAAGTGGAGGCCGTCGACATCGATGAAGTGATTCTTGTGGGCGGTTCTACTCGGATCCCGATTCTACGCACGAAGATCTCTGAGGCTTTCGGTGGCAAGGTATGCTAACACCCTCAAACTATTCGTACTGGTTGCACTATTGTAATTTTACCCATATCTCTCGGTTATTGGGCTGTTCAGGAGCTCTGCATGTCTGTCAATGCCGACGAGGTGGTGTGCGAGGGAGCTGCTATTCAGGCAGCCATCTTGAGCGGCATGGATCAACGCGTCTTCCGTGATGTGCTCATGATGGATGCCCTCCCGCTACCCATCGGCCTGGAGACCGCAGACGGGAGCATGGAGGTGATCTTGCCTAGAAATGCACGCATCCCGACGACAGTGACGAAGTACTTCCAGACGTTTGAGGACGATCAGCTTGGACTGACCGTCGAGGTCTACGAAGGCGAGAAGGAAATCGCCAAGGAGAACGACCACATCTGCTACTTCAACTTCGCTTTGCCCCGTGACAAGATCGGCAAAGCGGGCGAGTTCGCACACCCCGTCACTTTCACCATGAACGCCAGCGGAATTCTGCAGGTGCAGGCCGGAGTGCACCACGACTCAGAGGAATCGCCGATGCCGAAAACAGCCATTTTCCTCATGGCGAGTTACATCCTCGCGCTCTTCGGCTTCTACGTGTTTTTTCGCCTCTACTTCGCCGACGAACGGGACATCACCGCATGATAGAGATAGGCTCCGCACTTCAGATAGACTTGGTTTTAAGTTTCGCTTGTTGAATTTGCTGTTGTCATGATATTCGGAAGCGCTCAAGGTGAACTGAGTTGGATGCTGCCAAGTATGCGTCAATCAGCTCCCAGCGTTTGTTGCTGGACGCCGCCATCTCTCCATCGCATGAACCCGCCGCATCAAGTGATGGAGCTGCCGCGGGATGATACTCGTAGTAGAGCTCCACTGCGGTCAACGCCGTCTCCATTCGCTTATCCTCGAGTCTGCAATTCAAAGGAAAGCAACGCATTAGCCAATATGAAGACAAACCACACAAGTCGAACAACACTTACAGCTGGGCCAGCAGGTAGTCAATGTTGGCGATAGCAGCGAGGTATTCCACGAAGCCTTGCTCGAATGGGGTGCCCAGGATGGCCGAATAGTCCTCTCGTTTCGCTGCTTCGGAAAAGCTTTCCTGTACCAGGCGAAAGTTGTCTGCGAACTCTTCTTCCATGGCTTGGTCGCCTTCAAGGAAGCACGAAGTGTGTAGCAACTCCTGTAACACCGATCCATACGCACCAGCTCGGATAATCCTCACCAGAGCTTCAAAGCGAGCAACCGGCTTCGGAATGATCATGGCGCACTTCACCGCGATGCCAAACACATCCAGTTGCTTTATGATCTCAGCTCCGTTGGGCTCCTCCTCGCACAGTTCAGCCAGATCTCGCAGGTGGATCACAAACACAGGCACATCGATTTGGTCCAGGAAGGGGCATCTTTGCAGTAGGGCTACGACACGATCCAGCGCAGAGCGTATGCTAGGCACCGCGACGCCAGCAAAGCGCAAGGTACTCTCTTCTTGGGTATCGGAAGCCAGAAGCACATGATTATGGTGCCTCTGCTTCAGCAAAGTAATCGGAATGGTCAAAACGTTTTCCCATACTTGCCGCCCACATTCCAGAGATCTCACGAACGATTTTCGACTTAGCGGCCCCATGATGTTCGCCAACGATCGCACCATGCTCATTTGCAGCATCCGTGACAGAATCTCCTCCCATAGGTCGGAGGCTTCCACTTCAAAGTCGAGCATGAGCTGACTTGCACAGCGCAGCACCCAAGGCTCGTTGGGCGGGAATCGACGAAGGAAACTGCGCGCTAACACTTCCTTGTCACTCTTCAACACGAAAGGCATTTCGTATGGCACTCGATGCTCTTCAAACGTCATCATGTGCGTACAATGCTTGGTGAACTCAAGCAGCTCCTTGAAGAACGCGTCCGAGCTCGCGATGTCGTACTTGGTGATCACGTATCTTTTGACGACTTCGTGGTAGAGCTGACCAAGTTTCAGAATTACACGAAGTGCTCGCATCTTAGCTCGGAACGTGACACCAGCACGCGGTCGCACGTCCTTCGCAAACTCGACGAGGTAGCTCAAAAGCTGCTCGCCGAAGGAATCACCACGCTTAACACAAGCAGTCGCCAAGTACAGTATCCTTTTCCCGTAGTCTTCGTCTGCCAGATGCAATTTCTCCGAGTCCAGCAGCTCGAAGGGTTCCTCGTTGGTATCTTGGCTTGATACTTGTTTGACGATATGGACAGCATCCTTAACTAGCCATTCACGAATCAAATCAAGGCGGAGCTGCGCCTGAGGTAGATTAAGCAGCTCTGCAATGCTATCGGCAACCGTGTGGAGCATGCCATTGCTGTGCGTGTAGAACCACAACGCATATCGCCGGTACAACTCCAGGAAGAGCTTCTTAGGCTCCGACACCAGTGCCAGCAATTCATTTGTCTTCTCCCTGTCGTCTATGACATCAGCCAAACTTGATGACTGAGAGCCAGCGCTTCGCAGAAGAAGCTCAACCTTAACTCGCAGAATTTTGGTTTCCAGCCTCGTCAGTGCTTCATGTCCAGTAAATGAGGTATTGCAGGGGTCCTCTGATCCATTTCCACCGGAAAGTGCTGCCTTGAGAGCAAACTCCAGCGCCTTAAGCTTGTCATCTCCTAGTGGGAAATTTTCAGCCAACCACTCAGCTGCAGTAACCCGGCTTTCAGTATCACTCAAGCACCCAAGGATGCTCTCAAACGCACTGAACTGGACCAAGCTGGTGCCCCTGGTATTCTCCTCAGAGTTCGTGCGCCGAAGGTTTGAAGTAATCATGTTTTTCAGTAGCAGCATCTGCAACTCGTCGGGCTCCATTCGAAGAGGGTCGACCAGGCCAATCAACGCACTGAAGTTCTCTTTCGTCACAATCCTTGCCAGCACTTCGCTCGGGTCGGCAATCAGCTCATGGAATGAGATTCTCGTCTTGGTGGACTCTTCACCTTGCTTCGATATGGTAAATTCATGACATTCCTCGTTATCCACTGCCACCTGTTGGTCGCGGTTTTCAACGGGGTTTCCCTTTCCTTGGAACGCAGCAAAGGCTTTCAGGTTGCGTAGAACTTCCATGCGTCGCTCCACCTCTTCTCGCTCGCGGTACGATGTATGTTCAAGCAACAGCCGAAAAATAAATAATAGCCGGTCGTAGTCCTGACCTGACACCTTGCGAATAATCTTGAGCAGCAGCTTTATCAAATGTTGTTCATGGATGTCGTCTATCACGCCGACGATCTTGTCTTGGTACTCCAGATCAGTCGTCGCGGACTCTTCCAACAACAGGGTCTCCACGTAAACTAGCGAAGGAAAGCTGTCATCAATTTGGTAGTGGCGAGTAAATTCCAACACAGTATAGAAATCGTAGTTGCTCCGAGTAATCAGAGTTGGCACGAGGCGGCGGATATACGGCAAGTCACGATGTTCACCCCGGAACGCCTTGTGATCACACTCGATACCCAGCAAGTTGAGATAATGCCACCACCTCGCATTCCCTTCCAGCTCAACGCACTGGTGCAAAAATGCGATCTGCTGCCATGCCCGAGCAGCGTCCGCACCAACAAATGCCAGTTGTTGGAAACGGTAGAAGTCCTTGGCTATGTTCTCGCGAGAAATTTGCCGTCGAAACGCGTGGAAGGCATCTTCTTGCTTCATAGCGAGCATCAACCTGAGCACCGGGCATAACTGTTAAACTCATATACCGAGCAAATTCAATGAAGCAACGTACCCCAGGGCCAAGTAGTTGTCGATCTCCTGTGACTGGAAGACAGTAGACAGCAGTTTCCCCATTTGTGTGTTTACCACACTCGCCGCGTTTTCAGGTAGCTCTTGCATCGACAGCAGCGCCTGCAGACTAAGCAAGTCAGCCCTTTGCTCAACTAGAAACGACACATAGCGCTTCGATGCAATCGTGTCTCTGGTCGCAGCGTCACGCCGAAGGTTCTTGTGTTCGGCGATCGCGAAGCGCATCGCCAGCTTCATCGATTCGTAACTGGGCAAAACGCAGGCATCTCCTCGATACCAGCGAGGGTACAACGTCCAGCGCGCTTCATCAGCTCTTCCTTCCAAGACATTGTACTGGGTAAATTGGAGAACCTCGTTTACCAGCATCGTGTTTTTGAGAAGGATCAATATCTCGTCGAAGGATTCATCGTCACAAATGCACAGCGAGTACTTCAACAGTTCCAAAGTATAGATCGGTGCTTGGATACGCGCCACTTGAGCCGGAGGAAGCTGTTGGCTTCGAGTGAAGGGGGTATCGTAAATATCTTTCACGTGCGTTGAAGTATACAAAGAAAGAGATATCGCGATCTTCTTGAGTGTTTCAGCAGGGTGAAAAGTGTTTTGAAGTTCCAGCTGCAGCGACGCATTGGTCGAGCTCGAGTTACCGACACCACTGTTTCCTCTTCGAGAAAATAAATCCCTGGAGAATCGGACAGCTTGCAAAACACAGCCACTATTAGCCGCGCTGTGAGCAATAAGAGACTGGCACACCTTGGGCTCCAGCCCCACCGCTGACGCAAATCGGTTCAAGTCAAAAATCATTCGAGTCCTCTCATCATCTTGTTGGAGTTCGCGATTCGCCTCGTTCAACGGCTGACGAACAGCACCTTCGTTTGTACGCTGTCTTTTCGTGCCCACCGATGAGCTTTGTCCATTCGATGCGAGAGCACGCTTTTTACCTTTGCCTTTACCAACATATGCAACTGAGCCGTCCCCACGTGACTCACCATCATTATCGCCGTACTCAGCAAACAGCACCTCAGGCTTTATCAGCCGGTTTAACTTCATTTCACACTTTGCAGGGTCGCGCAACAAAGACAACGACAGCAGAACCCCGTGGTTCGCCTCGACACGGCAGATTCGCTGTAAGTCTTCCACAAGAGCATCGGACAGCAAGTAAGTTGGATTGTCAACGTATGCGGCCAGCGACTCACTTCGGGTCGAATCTGCCAACTCCATAATTGTTTTCAGCTCAAGTAGGTAGGCTGCAGCTAGTGCCACTAGAACTTGCAAAACGAACGACTGCAGTTCGCCTCCAGAACGAAGCTCCACATGATCCACATCCTCCCCATCTTCCAACTCTTCAGCTTCCATTTCCAGCAACATGACGCCAAACTCAATAACTTCTTCCATCAGCGACACAAACAACATTACGTGAGACTTGGGCTCTTTCCGCTTTTTCACCTCTGCGAGTGCATTCATTGCCATCTTCACCCTGACCTCAACCCCGTCCACATCGTCATCCGTCGCAAGCGTAGCGTCAGAATTTGACAATATATTTTCCGTGAACCGAACCGCTGCGCGATCACAGTGTAAATCGCTGTAGGCGTCAACCAGAAGCATTGCATCTGTAAGCGCTGAGGGTCTTGAAACTTGACTTAGGATGTGAGAAACGATTCGCGACGCGCTTTTTGCATCCGCAATGTCAAATTCCGTGATGCCATACCTTGTCAACATATCTTGGATCTCCATCAAGCGCCGGTGCTCCTCAATCTCTTCAAGGCGCTCTGTCTTCCATGATTTGGTGGAGTTAGCGTAGTTCTTCAGAGCTTGGGAGTACGGTGGGAGGGCGGACCGCAGCAATGCTAACGTCGCGTCTGCGCGAACATTGGCATCATCGATTTCATCCAGCAACACAAGCGCTCGAGCTTCTTCAGCTGACTGGGAAGTTTGAATGGACTCTGCCAGCTCCGTCACGTAGTCGTGGAGAACGGGGTCTAAGCTAACATCACAGTATCGAAGGTACCTCTTCACATGCTCTTCGACTTCGTTTTTCAAATCCTCGGGGGTGAAGACGCGATCAAGCATACTCATTGCGATAGTTGCGGGCGTCTCCCCTTCGAATACCGACAGCGAAACCACGAAATGGTGCTCCACGGCCAGATGTTTGACGTGCTGCAGCTTCTGCCTCAGCCCTTCAATGCGCTCAAATGCATCCACCTCCCCCGATGACTCTTTATTCTGCTCTCCAGGCTCTTGAGATGCTGAGACATTTGTTCTAGTCGAGCTCTGCAATTTGAACTCGTAAAACGAGATAGCCCCAACTCCAATTCCATTGTCACTGTCATCAGCTTTCAGCAAGTTGCAAATCCGAATGGCAGTGTCTAAGTCGCCTTTCGCCGCTGCAGCTTCAGATCTCTCCAGAATCCAGAACGCAAGCTCTACTAGCAACGGTTGAGTGTCGGACTCGGTGGCGGTATCAGCGCCGGACGGTCGCTCGGACGGTTGCTCAACATGGCGAATTAAGGTGGGTATGACTTCGTGCTGGATCCATTCTGCATATGCAGAGACTGGTAGCGACATTGGAAGACACCTCAACAATTTCCTGATGTTTCGCACTGCCTCGTCATCTAAGTGCCGGCTCCACAGGATCATGACCGCTCTCATGGATCCAAGCTTCAGGTATTTCTCCAGCATATCAAGGACAGATATTCTTCGAAAGAGGTCCCACTTTTCACGTAGCGATTTTTCATTCGCTCCTGCGTCACTTGATGATGAGCTACGCAGTAGCTGAAACGTTGCCCATTTGTACGAGAGCTCGCTGATCTCATTACACCATCGCAACAAATTAGGTAGATAAGATTGCGACCTTGGTGAAGAGCTCGAAAATTCGCGGATGCCCGCCGCTACGTGTAGCAGATGCTTCAAAACAGCGCGTGATTCGTCTTCGTCTTCCCCAATACTCTCAGTGCACAGATCAAGTTTCACTTGATACCTTTTTATCGCTCGCTTGCGCAGGAGAGATGATAATGGGACATTGGCCAAAGATTGGGCAATCGTGACAACATCATCATCGCCGCTCAATTCGCCACCTTCGCTATCAGAACTTTCGTCTTCACTGCTTCCAGCATCAGTGCGGCTTGCTAAGAGTTGAATTGAGACTCCTTCATCGGTTCGATATGCCGCGAGACACTTCGGTTCGTTTCGGCCGTTAGTACTTGCGGACAGTTCGACATTCATACACTTTGATGGAGGCTGGAAGTCGTCGGTTAAATCTACCCCATACAGCGCGCATGCACTGCTAGTATCTCCTGGTTGAGGGTGCACGATCCGAGCATGCTCCAGCGACGCTGTTGTATTCTCACCCTCCGGTGTACGTGACACAACAAGCAAGGAAGCAATTTCTTGATTCTTGTCCTCACGACGCGAAGTGCCAAAAACCGCGAAGCTTCCAATCGCAGCAATATCTGGCTCGAACAACTTGCCTGCACTCTGCCAATTCCACCTATCGTGCGCCCACAAGTCCGTTGATAGTCAGTCATCATGCGCAGCATATAGCGGAAAGAGAAGAAAAAAATTACCACGACAGCTTCCCCTCAGAGAGTACGATCAGGCTTTTATAATCGTTGTCAAACTTCATGGAGGCAATTGGGGCCAACGCTGAATCAGATGCGGACACTTTCTGTATGAAACACAAAGCATTAACGACTGTCATTCCAAGCAAACGGAGTCCACCAGCACTCTTACCTCGATTCCAGTACGACCTCCGTTGTCGATTGAAGATGTTTTCCAGACGTTTAGATGCGCCCCATGATTTCCCAAAAGTACATAAACTTCTTGTTCGAAGCGATGGACCTGCGACGACGCAAACCTCAGCACACCACAAAAAAGAAGGAAAGCTCAGCCCACGTACCAGCATGCAGGACTGCGTGCCCTCATTCAACCTGCCAACATTTGCTCTCTCAAAGCGAATGTTCCTCAAAATCACCTTCATAGCCTCCTTCGGTTTTTCCGCCAGCAGGTGCTCAAACTCTGCCAGTCTCAAATCCCCCAGTCTCAACAGCGTCCCCGAGGCAGTCACCAGCACCAAATCCTGCGAGTCACTGGACGTTAATCCTCCCTCCACCGTTGCAAACTCAATCGCAACGACCCTGCACCAACCATTCACCACCACAGTGAGCATTCCCTCCCTTCCCTCTTTCAAGAGCTCAAAATAACAGCATTTCTACCTGTCGGAGGCTCCCGGTCGAGCCACGCGATGGCCAAACAGCAGCTTCCCGTTGCTATTATACAGAGACAACGTCCCCGAGCCGTCTGCAATGGCGATGAACTCTCCGCAGGCGCTAAACGCCATGGCCGCCACCTGATTCTGCAACGAAATAGTGTTCCGCTCCACTTTTCCGCCGTCCTCGGCCTCCAGCACGTCCACAACCTCCACAAATCTTCGGTCGTTCACTATCACTGCAGTTTTGGAGCCGCTTACGGCGATCCACGGCGCGTTTGGGTCTGGAATCGAGGGTTTGGGGGCTCTATGGTCGGGATTTTGGGGAGGTTTTGGCGACAGTTTGCAGAGCAACGACACCGTAATTTTCAGCCTTTTCAGCGGGAGATCATGGTCGGGGCCTTCATCTTCATCCTGATGCATAGATTAATGGGGTTAGCATTGCGTATGGACAGCCAGCGCCGCGTGGAGAGTAGGGACTCGTACCGCCATGATGCCTACGTTTTGGCGCACTTTTCGGAAATTGAATAAATGGTGTAAACAACACAAAATACAGTTGACCTTCAAAGTAGAATAAGTCGTTAGATAGAATAATCAGCGCTTCAGCTTGGACAGTAGAAAACTGTCCTCGTCCTCCATCTTCAGCCTGTAAACTTGCGTAGCATTGTATTTTTACCCAAAATGGCTAACGTGAGCCCCATATCGCCGCTGCGATCACCCGCTGTCGAGTGCAATGGCTGCAACGCCGAGTAGCGGCGACGAGACGGAATTCCTGGTCCTTTCGCGTTGGGGGTTCGCCTTCTGGTGGGTTGTGATCCTACTGATCCACCTGATCACGTTCATATTCAACGCGTGCTATGCCAAGTTCTACTGGGTCTTCGGCTCTACCTTCCTGAGTACCTCGCTGGAGACGTACGACGTCGGCATGGCCCCGCAGTATTTCCACTCCATTTCTTACGTCCACATAGTGCTGGCTGCAGCTCACGGCGGTTGCTTGCTGCTGATGGCTGTTGGATCGATGTGTCGGTGCAGTTTGGTCTTCTCTCCGTGGTCGGAATCGATCGATAAGTCTGCCAAACGATCGAGAAAAAGTTCGAGTAAAGGGTCGAAGAGTAACGTGGTAGCGGTGAGTCCCCGCGCAAGATCATCACGGAGAATCAGGATATCTAGGACCGACCTGCTTCGGAGTGCGTCCTTGACTTATGCAAATATTGCTGACAGACGCGGGGTGCTCGGAGTCAACGGACGGTATTTCTACGCGATTCTGCTCTGTCGAGAGCTCGTTGAGACTTCGTTTCAAACTGTGCAAGCCTTTCGGATGAGTAAATACCTGTCGAACGCTCTTTTGAATCGATTCTACGTCGTTCTGCTCGTGATCAACTGCTGGTCGTCGGTACTCGTCCATACAAAGCTGTTTGGGAAGGATGAAGCTCGAAGGAGGTTTACTGCAATCGTATTCGACTGTGCGCTTGATTTGATATCGTCGATAGGATTATCAGTCATGATCGTCGCGCGTTATGTGGATCAATACGACACAGATCTGGATGGATTTGGCTTCGAGCTGCTAGACGACGACGACGACTGGATGGCCCAGATGGTAGATGAAGCTCGACTCGTCCTGGTTTCTTCGTGGTGGGATCTCTTTTCCCGCGTTGTCTTCTCCCTCGGGATCATTATCACCACTGCAAGTATGAAGGAACTACTGCGATGGCGTGGGAAACGAGTGCAACCGGCACAACCAGCAAACGGCCACATATCAAAAATCTCGGCTCGGTTGGGCCGCTGGTACCAGGCCGAGCCATCCGTTCCCCTACAGAGAAAGAAGAGGAAAGTCCTGGAGGTTACAGGTTGCTGATCCCGCGGCACTTTTGGTGCAATGATGTCCGTGTCGTTGACCGTCTGAGGCAGCTGCTCTTCACCTCTACACATTGTATATTTCTTGCGTGGGGTGTTGCAGTAGTAGCACTGCACGTGCACGCTTCGGTAAGAGCCCCTCTGGTTGAGTGTAACCCTAAGGTCTATCCTATGGCTGGAGCGCAGCCTGCCTGCTTTGCCGTGGAATTCAACTGCTATAAAGTGGGGATATCGGGAACAATAGACGAAGTGGTGGCAGAATGGAGCAGATTCGACCACACTACCGTCGTTAAAATGCACATTGTGCACTGTCCGGCCCTTGAAGTCCCCGAAATGTTTCAAGAGTTCACTCGTCTGCGCGAAATATGGGTCTATAACTCAACCGTGAGAGACTGGGGGCCTGAAGCGAGTTTCACGAATTCTTGCCACCCCCATTTGACGGTACTCTCGCTGGTGCGCACGAATATGACCGACATGTTGCTCCCACTTGACTTCCAGGACGAAGATTTTCCCGCCAATCTCTCTCTATCGTACTTCTGCGAGACGAATTTACGGACGCTTCCGGACGATCTGGACGAGAAATGGAATCTGAATTCCAACATTTACATTGAGAACAGTGAATTGACGACGGTGCCTCTGTCACTAGTACGACTTCAGCCGTACTATTTGTCTCTAGCAGGCAATCCGATACGAGAGCTCCCACCAGAGCTGTTTGAAACCCCCGAGATCCAGTACCTCATTGTTAGTTCTTTGAACGTGGAAGAGCTCCCCCGCAATGTGACGCAACCACCCCCACGCCCTGCGTTTTACGACTTCTCTCATACGAATATTGCCTTCTTTTGGTCTTGGATGGACTTGTTTGTTGAGAATGCGAGAGGGATAGCGCCGCGGATTGTCGCCAACGCCATTCCGTACTGCTCAGACCTGGACAAAATCTTTAGCGGCATTCTCGCGGATTTCAGTACTCCCTTCCAGAGCGAGTACTCTAAATTGCTGATGAACGCGTCCAAGACCAATTGGGACTTTCTTCGCCAGGCTGTAGATTGCACCCCGCGTGCGGCCTCAACGCAATTTCCACTTGAATTCTGGGACAATTTGTACGGGATGCTGTAGGAAATAATACCAAGTGATAGGGGTCTACGTCGTTGGTCTCTTGTAAAGATTTCACGGGCAAAACGCATCAATACGTACTTTGTTTTCTGGTTTGTTGCTGACAACCCGTTCGTCACCGGATTCTGCTGTATCAAAGTCACAGTAGCCCAAGCTCATCATGATGTTGCATTTCTTGTTCGTTTGACTGTATGGATACATCCTACAGAAAGCTATCTTGGTGCGTATGCGGACAGAAGTTTAGTCCGCAGTATTTATACTCGTGCTCTACGCTGCTGTACTCCGAGGAGACGGAGATTGAGCTTAGCCATGAGCAAGCCTGGTCTTCTTTCTGCTTCCCGACCGACTGGGTTGGTGACGCTGTCGTTTGGTGGCTTTGCCTTTTGGTGGTTTGTGATTCTCGTGGTGCACCTGATCGCCTGTTTGTTCAACGTTTGCTACGCCAAGTTTTACTGGGTCTTCGGCGATACCTTTTTGAGCTACTCATTGGAGGCGTACAAGATTGGAATGGGTCGGGACAATTTCCGATCAATACCTTTCACCCATGCAGCGCTAGCTGTTGTACACGGAGTGCCTGTCCTGTTCATGGTCTTGGGGTTCATAAGACAGCGCTCTTTGGTCTTCTATCCATGGTCCGATCCACTGAATAAACACGTCAAAGCGGTGCGAAAAGCGGTGAAGAACCACGTCGCTGAGATGAAGACGCAAACTCGATATCGCGAGTCATCGAGTGTGAGAAGATCAACAATGCTCATGCTCCGTAGAGCAACCAAAGCAATAGTCAACAAGCACAGTGTCGTAGGCGTCAAAGGGCGCTACTTTTACGTGGTTTTCGTATTCCGTGAGGCAATTGAGACGGCATTCCAGACCGTGCAAGCCATCCGGATGAGCCAATATTTATCGCGCGCGTACCTGAATCGCTTCTACACGTGCCTTCTCGTGATCAACTGCTGGTCGTCTGTGCTGGTCCACTCGCGCGCTTTTGGGCAAGATAGTGCCAGGCGTAGGTTCGTAGCGATCGTTTGTGACTGCGCGCTCGATCTGATGTCTGCAGTGGGGGTTTCTAGCATGATCGTCCTAAGTTACGCTGGTCAATACGACATCGAGTTGGGTAGCTTCGGCTTTGAGTTGCTTCAGGACGACGCCTGGATTGCACGGATGCTAAGCGAGGCTCGGCTTGTCGTGGTTACCTCCTGGTCCGACCTTATCGGTCGCGCTGTCTTCTCGCTGGGCGTGCTTGCCGCCACCTACAACATGAAGGAGTTGTTGGCTTGGACTCCTCGAAGGGGTCAACGCATCGTGTCGATGCACAATATTGGACCAGACACTGAGCCACTCCGTCTTGTCGGCTCGCTTAGGCTGCAGGTTATAGACAAAAGAAGTCATCCAGGAAAACTTCAGAAAAACAGTGTACTCAATTCTAGAGAAGACGCTGATTTGGTTCCTCAACACACGAAGGTCGTCTCCGGTCTTCCCTGCACGGAACGAGTTCTTCTACGAGCAATGCACATCGCATTGTTCGCGTTAGGCGTTAGTATGATAATATTGCACGTGCAGGCGTCGTTGAAAACGCCACTGGTAGAGTGTACTCCGAAGGTGAAGCCCATGGCTGGGGCCCACCCAGCGTGTTTTGCTGTGGAGTTCGATTGTCACAAACTCGGAATTTCTGGTACAAAAGCTGACGTCGAAGCAGAATGGAGCAAGTTTGACCATTCTACAGTCGTGAAGCTGCACATTATGCACTGCTCAGCTCTCGAAATGCCTGAACTGCTTCAGGAGTTCCGTCAGTTGCGAGAGTTTTGGATCTACAATTCGACTATTACCACTTGGAGTGCGTCCGCTGCCATAACCAATTCTCACTACCCCGACCTCGCAGTGTTCTCCCTAGTCCGCAGCAATGTCACGGACGGCCTCCTCCCACTGGGACTCCAGTCGTCAGATTTCCCTCTTCAACTGACGCAGATATATTTCTGCAAAACTAATCTACAAACACTGCCCGACGATCTTGACTTAAAGTGGAACGCTGGGTCAAACATCTACGTCGAAGCGAGTGAGCTAACAGCTGTGCCGCAATCGCTTGCACGTTTAAGGCCACTCTACTTGTCCTTAGCTGGCAATCCTATCATCGAACTTCCAGCTGAACTTTTTGAGAGCTCCTCGATCCAGTATCTCGTCCTAAGCTCCACCAACGTGCGTGAACTTCCCCGTGGCGTGATGCTGGAAGCGCCACTGGTACCGGCGTTCTTTGATTTTGCAGACACGCAGATCGCTTTCTTTTGGGCGTGGATCGATCCGTTTGTTGAAAGTATGCTGGGAACTTCACCTCGAATAGCTGCTGGTGGTACCCCCTACTGCTCGGACCTGGAAGGCATTTTTAGTGGAGCTGCTACTGATTTCAGTGCTCCATTCAAGCCTCAACAGTCTCGACTACTTATGAATTCGTCGACAGAAAATTGGGAGATATTACTCCAGGCTGTGGATTGCTCACAACGCGCTTCCTTGACGCAGTTTCCTCTTGAGTATTGGGACGCGCTGTATGGAATGTCTGTTTAAGCGCACTTTAGTTAACACCATCTTCACCCTAGAGAAATCCTATGGGGGGGGGCTGAAAGAGTATTAGGCTCTATGAGATGAATCCCCGGTCAACACGATTTATTCGTTTGTTATTCTGTACTGAGCATCCCAGTCATCGAGTGGAAATTGGGTTGAAGACAAAGGATTTGAACACATCACGTACTGTTGTAGCGCCGGCCAGTTCGCGTCCGATGCATTCATCAGTATTCGCGAGTATTCAGGCTGGAATGGAACGCTGAAATTCGTAGCAGCACCACTGAAAATCTTGTCCAGGTCCGTACAGTATGGGGACCCTCCTGCCGATATTTGAGGCAGGAATGTCAGTTCCACGAACGGATCGATCCACGACCAAAAGAACGCGATCTCGGTAAAGCTGAAGTCGTAAAATGCTTGGATCGTCGGAGGTTCCGTCACATTACGCGGCAGTTCACGCACGTTCGTATGACTTAAAATAAGGTACGGGATGCCCATACCCTCGAACAATTCAGGTTGCAGCTCTACTATGGGGTTGCCGGCGAACGACAAGAAGGCAGGTCGCGACCGCGCAAGTGCCAGAGGTACTTCTGTGAGCTTGCTATTCTCAATGTAGATACTTGAACCAAAGTGCAATTTCGTGTCAAGATCGTCCGGAACAAACTGCAGATTCGTCTCGCAGAAGTATAGCTGGGTGAGACCCAAAGGGAAGTCTGCAGATTGGAAGCCTTTAGGAAGATAGCCCTCTGTCATGTTGGTGCGAACAACCGTTATTGATACCAGCTCCGGGTGGTCAGAATTTGTTACCGCGGATGACGCTCCCCACTCTCGTATGGTCGAATTGTACACCCAGATTTCCAGTAGATGGCTGAATTCCTTGAGCATTTCGGGAACTTCGAGATCTATACAGTGTAGAAAGTGAAGTTTAACAGTGGTGCCGCGATCGAACCGGAGCCATTCTGCTCGCACTTGTTCTTTTGAACCAGCGATATCGAGTTTATAGCAGTCAAATTCCACCGCATAGCAAGCTGGCAGTGCTCCAGCCATCGGGTTCACCTTGGGATTGCAGCTAATTAGTGGGTCCTTCACTGAAGCCTGAAGGTGCAAAGCTAATACCACGGCACCCCAGACGACAAAAATGACGTGGATAGTAGGCAAAAGTCTGCCACGAATATGAATGAAAAGAATGCTGCAGCGTCTGAACCGGGAGTCCAATGGTTTCTGTTGGTTTGTCTCGCTGTTGGGCTCATCTTTAGATGATGCGGAGGACATGGGCCCGATGGAGCCCAGGTGTTGAATCTGATTGCTGCTGTGTGTTGGCTTGGCGTCTGCTACTCGATTTTCACGGGCACGAGGTGTCCACCGAAGGAGTTTTTTCATGTTGGCCGTGGTCATAATGAATCCCAGGGAGAAGATCACACGACCAACCAGATCTGACCACGAAGACACCACAACGAGTCGAGCTTCATTCAGCATCTGCGCCATCCAGTCGTCGATATTCTGTAACTCATATCCGAAGCCTTCCAGCGACGTGTCATATTGGTCGACATATTTCAAGACGACTATCACTGCCACCCCCATGGCAGACAGCAGGTCCAGCACGCAATCGCACACGATCACCGCAAGGCGGCGTCGAGCTTCATCACCGGCAAACAGTCGCGCGTGCACGAACGCGGACGACCAGCAGTTGAGTACGAGCAAGCTGACGTAAAGGTTGTTCAAAATTCGGCTCGACAGGTACTTGCTCATTCGAAACGCTTGAGCAGTCTGGAATGCCGTCTCAACGATCTCTCGGCAGATTAGAACGGCGTAGAAATACCGTCCATTAACTCCTACTACTCCGCGCGCGTAAGTCAGCTTGGCCTTCAGTAGTTTTCCAGATCGAAGCACCCCAGTTCCTAGCCTTCCGAGACTTGAATCATTCATACTGAGGTCGTAAGATTGGCAGTTTTCCTTGTTGGACACGTCCATTCCTAGTATTTCATCGTTCTTTGTCGCTGACCACGGGAAAAATACCAGTGTGCGCCTCCATAGTGATCCCACAACCATCAGAACCAAGCTAACACCGTGAGCAGCCGCTAGCACAATGTGGACGTAGGATATAGTGCGAAAATCCTCCCGTGGCATTCCGACATTGTTGCCTTCTAACGTGTAGCTTAATAAGGTGGCGCCAAAATCCCAGTAGAACTTCGCGAAGCCAGCAGCGTACACACACGAGATGAAATGAACGAAACCCACAACAACCCACCAAAGCGCAAAGGCTCCCCACGAGAGGGCTACAAACTCGGTCGCACGAGGAAGAGAAGTTATGGCAGGCACGATCGTCGTGGTCATGGTAAATGCCAAAGTGCTATCATGTGAGCACCTATTGTTGTGAGCTGGTGCTTCCACATATTTTTGGACGTGCACGATAACCCTGCTATCAAGCTGTAGCCATTTCTTTCGAATGCTACTATTACTATATGTACTACAACTGTAGTAGTAGTAGCGTGTGGTGAAGCCCTTCAGTTTTCAGTGTTAGATGTATTTGCTGGATAACTTGCCCTGCATAGCGAGGGTATTCCATCCGGTTAAGTGGTCTTTTTAGCAGCGGCCCTTGCAATGTCCGACAAGTGGTTGAGGTAGCCTTCACCGACAGTGTACCACTTGACACCAGTGTACTTGCCAGACTCGGCAATAGTCTTGAACACTATCTCCGGCTCGATGCCCATGTTGTGCCATCCCTTGTACACGTCGGTCCTGTAGGTGGCGTCTTTCGCCATCTTCGTGACAATCTCGGCATCATCCAAAAACTTGGACACAGCCTCCATCTGCTTGGCTTTCGTCGCTGCTTGAGCCGCCGCCAGAGCTGCCGCTTTCACTTCCATTTTCGCGATCGCCAGAGCCTCCTGAAGCTCTTTCAGACGCACACTCGTGCGGATCTTCTTCCACTTGGCCGCCGCACTGGAGAGACCGTTGCCGCCGCGTTCTTCAGTCAGATCTTCACTATCGTCGCTCTCATCCACGGCTTGCGCCTTGAGGCCACGCAACTCCTCCGGACTACTCGCAGATCTCAGGAGTCGGTGGGAAACGCCGTTTGCGGACTCGGCAGTGACACTAGAGAGCAGAGCGACCGTGGCTGCCACGAAGAACAGGAGTGATAGACGCATACTTGAGCTTGGTCTTGAGCGGGAAAAAAAGGAAAATGACTCAGTTTGTGGAGGGCGGGCGGGGAGAGGAATGGCTGCCATGCTTTCGTCTCGTTTCGAAGAGACGCAGCCATGTCCGAGGCCACTTTATCACGTTGCAGTTGCTTTGCAGCAGTCGCATTGCGTCGTCGCACAATGGCAGGGATGATATCAGCAAGTTTACATCGAAGGTGCTTTAATGGCTGCCGACAACAATACAATCAGAACTGTCGCAAAGGTAATGTACATGTACCAGTGGCGCGATCTTGGCTACATAATATGTATTTATTATATACAGTGTATGTGCGTAAGTGTACAGTACAGTAAGTAAACTGTAAGGAGAGAGAACCATTCATTCCGAACTCGACCAGCATAGTGTAAAAAGTTGCAGTAACTTACAGTAGACGAGTCGGCCAGCTGGTTACAAAATGAATCGAGTATTGTGAAGTACAGTAAAGATACATGTGGCTCATGTCAATTTCGGTTGAATTTTTCCAGCAGTACAAAGTGCGGGTGGGACAAGATATACGTCCGTTCCTGTACCCACACCGATAACGTGAGTCTGCTTGCCTAATATAAAGAAATTCTTTGAGTTCCGCACTCTCAGATGTCCAGCTCACCTTTCTTACATGTGAGCTCGTTAAACTACATGCATTATCCTGACACAAAAGTAAGAAACATATTTTTATTATATAGGAGTCACTACCGATACAGTACTGTATACATGCACACGCACTGCTGAATTTTGCTGCTTCGACGACACGTGTGCCACGATTTGTACGCGGATAGTCGCGCGCAACCAGTCGGACTGGAGGTTTGGTAAATTACCGTTGCGTGCATCAAAATCATATGCTCCTATCTTCAGCTTTGCCACGAATTGAACAGGGATTGTGCATCGAACATGAAAGAAATTGCCTGATCACTGTAGGGCCACTATAAATTTGAGTTTTTCAGCAAAACTGAGAAAAATAAAACCGAAGCGCTGAAAATGCTCAAAAATATCGAGGTTATCGAGCGTGACCCACGAGCCTACAATAGATGGATTCAAACGCGAATTAGGATGGTTGATGCGCCACTAAACACCCCCTAACGACTCGGTTACTTCGGTGATATCGCCATGGTTTCGCCCAGCTTCAAAAGAAGTGCTTGTTAAGTCGAAGAGTGCGATGAAGTATGTCATAGATATTAGTGCAAGCCCGCTCTTGCTAAGTGTAGCCCGATACATTGCATGGGCACGATGCTTTCCTACACTCTGCTGCTATTGAGGGCCTCGATTTGAGGATGCCGTTAGGCTTCTTAGGGGATAGCATAAAGCATTCTTAGTGCCTCCTTCATATGTACAATAGCCCAGATCAGGCCGAATGCAAAAATAAAAAAAATTGAGCTCGAAAACACTCAAAGCAAGCTACCGTATATTGTGCTTTTTTGCACCTTTTGCGTGCCAGCAATCAGGTTTTTGGATGACGCCACATAAATGAGTCAGACTAATACCGTAGGTGAGTGAGTAAAAATACTTGGGGCGTTCGTTTTCTGCTTATTTTAATATTAAAATAAGCATGTACCCTGGTCCCATTCCGAAGAAACGTGCATGAGCCATCCTGAACGAGGTCGATCACCCTAAATCGATGGCTTTTTGCGTTCATTCTCACATGTGCAACTCGAAGTCGATCTACGTAAATCCAAGCCGCTCGTGCTAATGTACCGCCTCTGTTTTGTGCAGATTTTTGGATCTGCATTTCTCAAATTGGCATAAAGTGGTAGCAGAAATTTAAAAGGGCTCTAAAAGTAGAGATTTCTTTTTTCTAGACTCAGATACCTTCCAGACTCAGGTGAATCAGACGAATTTGAAAGTTGTACAGTATTTTCGAACGATCCTGCCACGTCAGACGACTACAATGAGCTCTGCAGGCGGAGTGCTGTCCAGGGCCGTGCGTGGCGGCTCGTACCGCTTCCTGCAGCGTTTACTAACGTTCGCAGCCAACTCACTAGTGCTGCGCAAATTGCACCTGAGCGTGACGGGCGCCGTGACCGTGCGGCTGGAGCTGGCGCTGGCCTCCATCTTCCTGCTGCGCGATGGCTTCCGCCTGGCGTTTCTGCGCATGCCGTCGCTCGACTCCTCGAGCTCCAAGGGCGCGAGCAATGGGAAAACGCACTTGCAACAGTTGGTGAACGTCGCGTGGCTCTCCACCGCCATCAGTTGGGCGGTGGCGGCTCTGGTGCTGCTGTACTCGGCGGTCTCGGGCTCAACGGAGACTTTGAAGGACGACGAGGCGCTGGAGGGGTACTCGACGGTGCTGGTCATGTACTGCGGCGCTGCAATGATCGAGGCACTGGCCGAGCCAATGTTCGTGCTGGCGCATGCCAGTGTGCTCGTCAGTTGGCAGGTGGCGGCTCAAAGCGCCGCCTTCTTGGTCCGCGCGGCGGTGCAGTATGTGGGGGTTGTGGTGCTGGAGCTGAGCTTGACAGCGTACGGGATCGCGGAGCTCTCGTACGCGTTGACGCTGCTGCTGATGTTCGCGGTGTTCTTCAGGAGGAGGATCTATGGAGGTTCGTCGGAAGGAGGCAAGTTCGCCTTGACCAGTATGAAGCAGCTGCTGCCTGGCAAGCCCGAGGGGGACGCGGACTGGTGTCACGCAGAGCTCATGACGCTGCTGGTGCCGCTGAGCGTGCAGAGCGGAGTCAAGTACCTGCTGGCGGAGGGGGACAAGTGGGTGCTCACGGGCTTCGCGTCGCTGCAGCACATGGGCGTCTACGGACTGGTGTCGAATCTGGGCTCGCTCGTGCCGAGGATCGTGTTCCTGCCCATTGAGGAGGCGACGAAGACCATCTTCAGCAAACTCGCGCTGTCTCAGAAGCAGACGAGCGACGACAAGGACGATAAGGAGAGCAAGAGGAAGAGCTTGGCCGATGGACAGACGCTGCTGCTTGTGCTACTCAAACTCATGAACCTGGTGGGGCTGCTCTTCGTCTGCTTCGGTACCAGCTACGCGTACACGTTGGTGCTGCTGCTGTATGGAGTGGAGAAGGCGAGGCAAGGCGTGGGCGCGGCGTTGGCTGTCTACTGTGCGTACATCCCATTCCTGGGGGTGAACGGAGTGTGCGAGGCTGTGGTGCACGCCATCGGAGACGACCACGAGCTCATGCGGCTCAACAAGTTGCTCGGCCTTTTCTTCGCCATCTACGCGTTCAGTGCGCTCGTGTTCATGGAGGTGCTCGACTGGGGGACGCTTGGGCTCATCCTGGCCAATTGCGTGAACATGGCCTGCCGCATCCTCTACTGCTTTACGTTCCTGGCTTCGTACTTCCGTCGGGTAGCGCCAACAGCTCAGAGCAGCAACCGCTTTGTCAGTGGGCTCGCATTCTGGCGTCGATCGCTGCCGGACCGACTCGTTGTGGTCGCCTTCTTGGCGTCTTTGGCGGTGACTTCCATTTCTCAGCGAGTGTTGCTGGGTTCCGAGACGGATGGTCCGATTTCGCTGGTGCGGCACGCTGCTCATATTGCTGTTGGGGCGATTTGCTTTGGCGCATCGGCGCTTACGCTCTATGTGAAAGAGCGTCACCTTCTAGGAGCTCAGTTGGCAGCACTTCGGGGGCAGAGCAAGTCTCACAAAGATTAGAGGAATATCATTACTGTAGTACATTTCCTAGTTTGGAGCGGCCTTGAAGCGTCGTCGTGCATGTACTCAATCACTTTCCAAACTCGCTGAGCCATGAGCAGGCGACAAGTATTTGGAGGCGCCCTGCGTGCCAGGCAGGAGCAGAAAGAAGCGGAGCAACCGACGAGCGATGCTCAGTCGGAGCGACCTTCTATGGGCTTCTTGGCGACGCTATCCGCGGAGCAGGAGCGCCAGCAAGTTCGAGAAGAGCTGAAACAGGTGAGGAATGCATATTACTACTAGGTTTGGGAGTGGCGGCTAACTCGTACGCGTAGATGCCTCTGCTATCGCCGTGGACAAGCTACACCGCATACGAGCCTTCGTTTACTGATGAGCTCAATCGGTAGGGACATCAACCATCATCGTGAATACAGCACTATTCGGCCACGTTTTCCTGACGTTGGACTGTAGGGAGCTGGCCCAACGTGTTCGGGCCATTGTGCTGGATAAGCTAGCAGCTCTACAAGAACGGCTGCAAAAACTCCAAGCGAAACGCGAAAACTCGGGCGTCCTACCAATCTCCACGCTTGATACGTTGCTGCAAAGCCGTCTGATTGTTGAGGCCAAACGCAAAGTGGTCCCAGCACAAATCGCCGAAAACGTGAGAGCGGTCGTCCTCTTTGTCTTTGTCAGCTAACTGATCGACGTGTTCGTCATCTTTTACTGAGCAGACCATAGCAGCAATGCGAGCTGCTAGCTTGCACGTGACACTACAGAAGGAGACTCCTCTTTCGACTGCCTCGAGTGTAAGTAAACGCCGTGAGCATCGCTCGAACTCTGTGTTTGCCCCCAGCACAAGCAACAGCATCCCCCGCAACTCGCGGGTCAAGCCAAGCAGCGTTATCTCACCTCGAACCCGCGCTGTTGTCGACGAGATGGACTTATCCCGCAGACAACACCGTTCGAGCGCAGCAGATGACTATTTTCTTAACGGTGATGCTGACCAAGACGGCGATAACAGTTCATCTCAAACTCTGTTGTGCGTTCAATTCCCAAACTACAGCGAAGTTGCAGCGGCGATGGACAACAATGCGACCAACTTGGAGAACGACGAAGAGCAGCAGGTCACGCACTTTCGATCTCGCCCTGTGGCACCGTCAGCAGTGGAGGACGCAGCCATTGTTGCCACAAAGCGCGAGCCTCATGAGCCACGAGTACGTTATATCATGTCCACTCGGCTCGGAGCACTTCCACCCACGAAGGGCATCTTGGACGAGTACCCAATCCCGAAAGAAGTGCTGGATGCGCTGGAGCGCCATCGACACTTTCACGTCGATGAGTCTTCTCCTTTGACTGCGTTCGAGCCCATACGACTCCCCCCTCCGGCCCCAGCAGAGCTAAGCGACAAGACCCAGCCTCGTAACGCTGCAGTAAATGCCGAATGGGAGTGCTTCTACAGGCGTTCGGTTCCGCTTGAGCGCTCTCCAGTGTCCTTCGTGTTGGCATCATTGGCCGTGGCTCCCGAGAAGCCTCTCCCTGCTCCCAGCGACCTCTTCCACCAGCAGAAACTCGTCGCTGCAGCGTCTGACGAGACCATTCTGCTGAACGAAGTGCGTCAACTGTTTGACAGCACCCACGACGCGCACCAAGACTTCCGAGCAGAGCTCCATCGCCACCTCGATCTCCAGTATCTCGTGGACTTATCGTTCCGTAGCTCGCTCACGTCGGCGAGTTACTTCGTCGACGATGAAGACGACAGCGAGGAACCAGGAGGAGGCAATGTTCAACCGAGCGTGCAGATCCCGTCTCACTTGCGTCGCCAACGCATCATCAGTACTGCCGAGAGCGACGCAGCTGGAGCTTCGGCCAAGTGGAAGTTCCTGCTGAACGGGGTGCACCGAATGGCAAACCGGCGTGGAGCGATTTCTGTTGTAGCCAAGAGCGAAGCCGCGATGCGGGCTCAACGCAATGATCTCCTGGCTCAGCTGTGCACGCTCACGCCGCAAGACGTCGAGTTCCTCACCTTGTGGTACGGCTACAGTCCCGATGCCGAAGCCGAAGCGATCGCCACTGCCGACACTGACGATGGCGAAGGCGGAGTCGTGCGCTTGGACCCCGTGCCCATGAGTCCGTACTGGAGCACGCGCTTCGAGCTCGCGTGGAAGCAATTGGCGCTGTCCACAACCGAGCGCCTGGATCTGGCCATCAAGTACTCGTCGCTGGGCTATTCAACTCGACTGCCGGACGCTGTAACACTCTGGGAGACGGCAGGAGCGCTCGTCACGGAGCACGAAGACTTGCTGCGTCTGATGCGCTCGACCCTCACAGGACCGAGAAGACACGCCACCGCCAGCCTCTCAGAGGATACAGCAATGCTCCAGGCTCTGATCGCCAGTGCAGCTCACGTCCGAGAGATTCTTCTGCTCGCATACGTCGAAGTTGGAGATTTCATCACGTTCCAAGGCAACTTCTACTTGGCCAGGATGGAGCGCGACGCGACCGAGATCCGACGACTAATGGAGGAGAACGCTGAGCTCAAATCCAACCAGGTGCAACCTCCCACAGCGACAAAATGAGAATCTTTCTCCTCCTTCAAGCAGAATCCAGGATAAAAACCCACCACCAAGCTGTATCCAAACGTATAAATTCATTAATCCACAGCAGTCGGTTGACATCCGCTCTCGAATTATGTCGAGTCGCTGTCGTCTTTCTTCTCTTTCTTGTCTTTCTTGTTCTTCTTCTTCAGTTTCCTAGCCTCTTTCTTCTTTTTCTTCTTCATCTCGTCCTTTTCCTCTTCTTCATCCCCGTTCGAGTCACTTCCGGTGGTCACAGGCGTCTCGTCATCGCTTTCCTTCTCCTCCTTCCTCGCCTTCTTCAGCTGCAGCTCGTCCCGCTTCAACTTGCCCTTGCACGAGCCGTACGCCCGACGGCCGAACAGTTTACCGCCAGTCGCCGCAAAGAGCTCTTCGTCTGTAGGGATTCGGAACTTCTGATTGGTGGACTCATTTTCGTCCAATCGCTTCCGCTTTTTGGCCTCCTTCTTCTTTTTGTCTTTCTTCTTCTTTTTCTTCTTCTTCTCCTCCTTGTCTTCTTCTCCTCCTTCCTCGTCCGACGACGCGTCGATCACGATCTTGCTGGCCACGCGGTCGTAGGCGTTGTACCACCACTGATTGGCCTGCTCCGCGACCGCCTTCTTCTCGGCGCCCACGCCCTGCAGCTCCTCGCGCCGCTTCACCTTGACGTGCGACTTCATGCCCTGCTCGTTCTTGCCCAGGCCCTTGCCGGCCGACCAGCCCATCTTCTCCATCTGCCGCCGCGCAAAGTCCGACACCTCGGCGGCCGCGCTCTCGTTGGCCATGCCGCCCAGCTTGCTCATGAGCTTCTTGCCCACGAGGGGCACCGCCGCCGCCGTGGATCCCATCATCGCGTCGCCTGCCATGGTGTGGCAGCTCCAAGTGCCGGTCGAAAAGCAAGAGTGAGTTGATTGGCGGCGGAGAGAGCGGAACGGGGACTGGTGATTGACTGAAAACAGGGAGAAATGTGATTGGCTGAATATACTAACAAGCCTTTCACTACCTATATCCGGACATACTGCATGCAAATAAAACGCACTTTCAACCGAAAGCATACTATCAAAAGCTATGGTTTGTGACACTGAATATGAAGAGATAATGTAGCCATCGCGAAGGAATCGGAGCTTCAGCTTCAACGTTTTCAGTTGCAGTCCCGGACTTGGACCGGGCACAACTCGATCCGCCGAGGTCCGATCCCTGTCCATCCATGCCCCCGCCCTCGCTGCTGAAAGGCGGCGGCTTGTCCAGCCCGGCCCTGTTGGGTCTGTTGGTGGCGACTGCAGCCGCCATGCTGTTCGCCGCCAAGCCTTCGAGGGGGAAGCCGCTCCCCGCCAACGTGACGCCCGTGCCCTTCCTCCCATCCACCCCATTGCTCGGCAACACGCTGGAGTTGGCTGCCAACGCGGCGCGACTGCAGGACTGGGTCGCCGACCGCAGCCGGGAGTGCGACGGCCAGCCCTTCGTGGTGCAGCTGCTGGGCAAGCGCAACCTCGTCTACCTGTCCCGACCCGAGCACTTCGAGCAGGTGCTCAAGCTGCAGTCGAGCAACTTCAACAAGGGGCTCGCCATCCACGACATCTACTCCGACTTCATGGGGGAGAGCATCCTGCTGGTCAACGGGGACCGCTGGAAGTACCACCGCCGAGTGCTCGTGAACCTCTTCAGCGCTCGAGCCCTGCGAGACTTTATGACGCCAATCATCCAGAAGAACATCCTCGTGCTGATGGACATTCTAGCGCGAGCGAGGGAGCGCAACGAGGCCCTCGACATCCACAAGCTCATGAACAAGTTCACGTTCGAGACGTTCGCGAAGATCGGCTTCGGCCAGAAGCTCGGGAACCTCGTGTCTCCGGAAGACCACCCATTCGAGCGCGCGTTCGACGAAGCCCACCATATTACTGGGCACCGGATGACTACGCCCACGTGGCTGTGGAAGCTGAAGCGGTGGCTCAATGTCGGGAGCGAGCGGAAGCTGCGCGAGTGCGTGGAGGTGATGGACTCCCTCGTGATGGGGATCATCTCGGACGCGATCGCCAAACGCCAGCAACGCGGACAGGAAGAAGAAGCAGGAGAGCACGACCATGAGAAAGACATTGTGTCTATTATTCTCGAATGAATGCATGCTGACGGCCGACCCGTGGAGCCTAGCGAGGTCCGCAGCATTGCGCTGCTGTCGCTGATTGCTGGTCGGGACACGACCGCGAACGCTGTGAGCTGGATCCTTCACATGCTGCACGAACACCCGCGCGTCGAAGAGAAGCTGCGCGCCGAGCTATATGAGAAGCTGCCGAAGCTGGCAACATCTCGAGACTACATGCCGTCGCTGGAGGAGCTGCAGGACCTCCCATACCTGGAGGCTGTGATCAATGAGAACCTCCGCCTGCTCCCCATCTTCCCCTATACGAGCCGCCAATGTATTCGAGACACGGTGTTCCCTGACGGCACCTTCATCCAAGCTGGAGAGGTGCTAGGTTTGCCGCACTACGTGATGGCTCGACTGACGAGCGTTTGGGGCGAAAATGCTGCCGAGTTCGTCCCTGAACGATTCTTGGACGCCAAGAGCGGCGAGGTGCTCGATCTCCCGGTTGCTACTTCCAGTGCGTTTGGGGCTGGGCCACGAATCTGTGTCGGTCGCCGCCTGGCAAGCATGGAGATGAAGCTCCTCCTCGCGTGCATTGTCGGTCGTTATCATTTGGTGGAGTTGCCTGGACAAACTGTTCGCTATAAGCTGGCGCTGTCTCTGACTATGAAGGACCCATTGATGGTGAATGTGCAGCATGTCAACCAGGCGTTAGCCAAGTCTGCTTAGGAGAGTCGTTGTGCTTGTTTCTTTGTCTTCGGATTCACTGGTGAGTTTGAGAGAGTAGCAGCCGACATTTTACGAGAAAAAAAATGTTTGCATTGATGTAACATGCGTCGTCAACTCTTTCACTTGATCGAAATTGGTAAGAAAAAAAAAACTTAGTGGACCGATCTCTGTCGGCTAAGACACTTTCTCAAAAGTACTGCCGTGTACTCACTTGGCAGCGGCATTCTCGCGGTGTCGCTGCACCGCTTGCTCGATCTCCGGCCACAGAAACGAACGCGCAGTCATCAACACGATCCCAGCTTTTCCCTGCCAGTATAAGAGAAGACCAACGAAATAGCCTGAGCGCAAACACAAGCAGGTTCGCCACGCACGCCCTCGTTCGCTATGTAAAGCTGCGCGGGCCGATCAGCTCTTTCAAAGCCAGCCGAGTATGCGTAGGAGGGCTGGGAAGTCATCTGGACTGGGCTCTGGAGTCTCCACTGGGACTTGTGCTCACAGCCTCCCTTGTTCTTCTTCTTCTGGGACCATGGCGTAGCCAGTATCGGGTAGAGGCCGTAAGAAGGGCGTTCTGGTGGCTCTCTTCACCTTGAGCACCGATACATTTACGTGACACGACATGTCCTCCACGTGTTCGACTTCAAGCCGCCTGTCGAACGCATCAGTGGCCTCCTCAACGTGCGAGAACTGTGGGGTTAACTCTGTCACGAAGTACCCGTCGTTGGAGATGAAGAAGCCCACTCGCTCCCGGTTGATCCCAGGTACTTTGAATCTCACAAGCGTAGGCCATGCACGCTCACGAACTTCGTATATTTGGTCGTCGAGGGATTGGCGGGGAGGATTCTGCGTCTGCGTACTCTCGGAAATGATCTTGATCGGAAACCCCTTCAGCCAACCGCGCAGCTCAGTCGACCGCGGCTTCTTCTGGGCCACATCCTCCGCGCTCCCGGTTGCTACGTCTTCGGTTTGCACCAGTTTGTCTGCTTTTTGAACATTCTTCCGGTTCGCTTGCCCCATTGTAAACCGCGGCTGGGGAAAAGCAAAGTGATCTCGGTTGAGGGTGGTCGGGGACAACTTTTGCAGTTTTCCAAGAAATCTCAAAACCAAAGCCCTGGGAAGGAATTGTTCGTTTACCACGAATTCCACCCAGCGCGCGAGTAACCCACTAGGATCTTTCTTTTGCGATCGCCCCGAGGTAGTTGAGTCCTTCTGGAGCAAGTTCAGCGATAAAAAAATTCCGGTCTCAGGTCAGGAGGCGATGAAGGGTGGGCTGAAACATTGCGGTAGGCAACAACCACATCGTGGACGAGTAAACCAGACCGGAAAGTACGATTTATCACAATGAAGACGCAGATGAGATGGCAGAACTGTTGATTTCGTGGCTGAAAGACGACTCATCTTCACTTTTGGATTCCGTGCGGTCTTAATTAATCCACTTACATTTGCACTTACATTCATGCGGATATTGAAGTCCGAAAGCCCAAGACGGGCAAAGTGTAAATGATTTCACAAACATATTTTCCACGATAGCTCGCCTCTCGTGTATGCCATGTTGGCGTCTTGCGCATTTGCCGATAACTTATCCCTCGTTGTGTTCCATCAAGCGGTTCCTCTCCTCCAGAAACTGCACGAACGCACTCGCGGTTCTTGAATTTCGAAAACGTCAAGAATGATCTCAATAGCTCGAGTGATCTGGCTAGCAAAGCGTCCAACGTCCGCCGGCATCACTACTGTAAGGCGGTACATTCGTTGTTGAAGCCTGCACTTGTCCGACAGACCGTCCCCATCAACAATAAAAACGAGCCTTGCTGGGACTTTCAGCCTGGAACGACGTGAAGCAGCCTTTGTGGTCGAGGCCCTCGACCGAGAGAAGGTGGTCGAGCGCCGCCAAGCGCGGCACGACCATCAACAGCAGGGGCTTGCGTGCAGCATTTCATACGTGAGCAGGTGGGGCGGTCCCCCATCAAAATTGCGTTCCTGAAGCCGTCCTGCGCGTGCTGGGGGGTCCACGACGCCACCCAACTTGGAGAGAGCTCTACCCATTTCTTTGGCGCGCGCGCTCGGTCTCCCATCTGGCCGATCCATCCGCCCAGCTCTGCTCGTCGACACTTCTGCGCCAAAGCTCACATCGCAGCGGAACCGGCCGTCTCGTTCGCACGACGAGTGCAATGCAAGAGCCGTCTCCAGCGGCTCAAGCTCTCATTCCCAGTTTGAGTCTCTGCTACATACTCGAGTCATGCTGCAGTCCTTCTTCGAAGACAAGCTGAGCTACCTCCATCCGGTGGTGCCCGGTCTCGTGGCGGCTGCAGTCGCCGTTGCCATCTACTGCACCACCGACACCGCAGAACCGCCGACACTCGAGGGTGAAGACGGTAAAGCGGTGGCCAAACGCGTCCGCTACCTGCCGTCGAAGATCCCCGTGCTGGGCAACGCCATCGAACTGCTGAGCAACTCGGAGCGCATGCACGACTGGATCGCCGACCAGATCGTGCCCTTCGACGGCGAGCCGTTCACCTTGCGGCTGCCGGGCAAGTCCGACATGATGTTCATCGCCAAGCCCGAGCACATCGAGGAGGTGCTCAAGACGCAGTTTGAGAACTTCCCCAAGAGCCAACACATCCACGACGTCTTCTTCGACCTGCTGGGCGACGGCATCGTCACCACCAACGGCGAGACGTGGAAGCGCCAGCGCCGCGTGCTCGTGAACCTCTTCAGCGCTCGAGCGCTGCGCGAACACATGACCCCCATCTCGCAGAAGTACGTGGTGCAGCTGCGCAAGATCTTCGAGGACGCGGTGGCGTCCAAGGAGCCCATGGACGCCTTCGGACTTATGCACCGCTACACGCTCGACGTGTTCGCCGTGATCGGCTTCGGCACCGAGATGAAGCTGCTGGAGGGAAGGTACCAACCGTTCGCTGAGGCTATCGAGGAGTCCCAGTACATTGTGTCGGCGCGCTTCAAGCAGCCCGACGCGCAGTGGAAGCTCATGCGCTGGCTCAACATTGGCAGCGAGAAGAAGCTCCGCCACGCGATCCAAGTGATCGACGAGCATGTGATGGGGATCATCTCGGGCGCCATTCAGCGTCGACAAGAGCGCGACCAGGCCATTAAGGCGGGCGAGGCGGCCAAGCCTGCGGACAGGGACATCGTGTCGATCATCCTGGACTCCATGGAGTCCAACAACCAGGTCGTCGACCCCGTGGAGGTGCGCAACATCGCCACTGCCGCGCTGATCGCTGGCCGAGACACAACGGCCGACGCCCTGGGGTGGCTCTTCCACGTATTGAGCCAGAACCCGAGCGTCGAGGCCAAGCTGCGCTCAGAGCTGCTCACGCACATGCCCAGGCTCACGACGGACCCGGAGTACGTCCCCACCGCCGAGGAGCTCAACCAGGTGCCCTACCTCGAAGCCACCATCCGTGAACTGCTGCGTCTGCTGCCTGCTGGCCCCGTGATCGCCACGCACTGCGTCCGCGACACGGTGTTCCCGGACGGCACGTTCGTGCCCAAGAACACGGACATCGGGCTCGCGTTCTACACGACTGGCCGACTCACGAGCGTCTGGGGCGAGGACGCGCTGGAGTTCAAGCCCGAGCGCTTCCTGGATGCCGACACCGGCGAGGTCGTCAAGGTGTCGTCCTCCAAGTTCTGCGCCTTCAGCGCGGGCCCGCGCATCTGCGTGGGCCGCAACCTGGCCTTCCTCGAGATGAAGATCGTGATCGCCAACATCCTCAGCCGCTTCCACCTCGTGCCGGAGCCCGGCCAGCAGCCCACGTACACGCAGGGCATCACCTTGGGCATGCAGACCCCGCTCATGATGCGCGTTGAGGCCGTCACGGCCCATGCTGCAGCGTAGAGAACGAAAACAGCCAGAAGTATACCATGTAGAGCCAAGTTGAAGTGCTCCATCAATAAAGTCCCCAGCAGGCTTTGATCGTTGTACCCGACTTGGGTGTCAGTGGATAGTACGAATTCCTGCTGGGGCACTTCCCATGCGTACAGACTACTCCGTCATTCAACCTAATGACCAGCAGCCATTCCGGGCCATCATCACCAAGAATCCCCATGCCATTGCTATAGGAGACCCAAGTTATCACTGATGCTCGCCGGATATGGGAGACGGCCGTGTACCAGCTCGGGGTACCTGAGTGGATCACTCACTCCCTTCACGACGTCGCCTGCAATGGACCCACAGAGTGGCGGTACCCGCTCTTTGAATGGTTCACCCCTCCGACGGACACAGCGGCATACCCAGTATGGTGGAATCCCATACGCCACCAACTCGATCGACTAAAATTGACGGTCTATACAGCCCCCTCGGGCTGGAGGCGCTATCCGACTATGACGAACGGAAGTACCGTGTGGGCAGAAGCTGTATCATACACCACTAAAGGCGCTCGACTTCTCCACGCCCAGCTATTTGCTGGTACCTGGCGGACTCTTCACAGCTATTGGAAAACATCATGCAAGAGGTGTCCGCCAACGCAGGCGCAAGGCTCTGCGCAAGAAGGTCAACCATGGAATTGCTTCGCGGCGCCGGACATGGGCACAGAAGACGAAGGAACGAGTGACACGATCGATGTTGCAGCGGAATGCAAAACTTCAGTCTCTGAGCCAGCAGTGGCTCCGGCGGCGCAAAAATTACCTCGAAGCCCGACACCACGAGCAAGCAACATGAAACCAACGGACAAATACTTCAAGGTAGAGTTCGCGGAGATGACCATGCCTCCGAGACACGATCAACCGACCGCAACGTCACCCATGCTGCCGGTCATTACATTTTTCTTTTCATATTGAGGGCCCAGCGCCGATCTGCCGACCTCGGTTGGTGGCCTACGTAGGGCCGTGTATTTTGGTAGCTACCGCGGGGCCTACGCTTTGTCGTGGTCTCCGTAGGCGAGGATGCAGCGCAGCGCGCCTCGGGCGTAGTCGCCATAACCGCAACACATACAAATACAAATACAAAATCCATCAATAAAGTCCCTCCCCCCTCCCCACAAGTTCAGGAAACCGCTTTCGCGTAGCGTGGAGACACGTTGGTCACGGATAACGTGGCGATGCAAGTTGTCGGCTCTGCGTATGTAGCATCACTGCCATAGTGTAATGAATTATTGCCGGACTGGCAGCCAAGCCAAGCATTTCGGCCACGTGCCGCGCCCATGCTCAAGCTGCAGACGATTCCGCCGGTGCCGTTCGCGTCCACGTCGCGCAAATCGTTGGCGTAGGCGAGCGGGTCCTTACAACCCGACGGCGAGGAAACTTCCCGCGTGCAATTCGGCCGCGATGCATTGCGGAGACCGTCGTCGGTCCCGCCGTCATCTTTGCCACACGGCTCGCATTACCGGATCGACCTGCTCTAGTGCCATCGTTCTAAGATGCTGCAGTCCATGTTCAGCAAGTCCCCCGTGGTACCGGGCCTCGTCACAGCGGCGCTGCTCGTCACGCTGTACTGGACCAAGTCGGCCAAGGGCTCCGCTAAGCTCAAGGGTGACAAGGTCAAGAACGCCGTCATCCTGCCGGGCACCCTGCCCGTGGTCGGCAATGCCGTCGAACTGGCGGCCAATGCCGCGCGGATGCACGACTGGCTGGCCGACCAATTCGCGGCCACCAACGGCGAGGCGTTCATCGTGCGCCTGCCCGGCAAAGACGACATGATGTTCATCGCCAAGCCTGAGCACCTGGAGGCCGTGCTCAAGACGCAGTTCGACGTCTTCCCCAAGAGCGAGTACATCCACGACGTGTTCTACGATATGCTGGGCGACGGCATCGTCGTGACCAATGGCGAGACCTGGAAGCGCCAGCGTAATGTGGTGGTGGGGCTCTTCAGCGCGCGTGCTCTGCGTGAACACATGACGCCGCTCGTGCAAAAGTACACGGTGCAGCTCGGGGACATCCTGGCCGATGCTGCCGCGACGAACACGCCTGTGGACGTGTTCGACCTGCTGCACCGCTACACGTTCGACGTGTTCGGCGAGATCGGCTTCGGCGCCAAGATGGGGTCGATGGACGGCGCTTTCCAGCCCTTCGCAGAGGCGATGGACGAGGCGCAGTTCCTGGCCGGGAAGCGCTTCAAGCAGCCCATGTGGTACTGGAAGCTGCGCCGCTGGCTCAACGTGGGCGACGAGAAGAAGCTCAAGGAGAATGTGCGCGTGATCGACGAGCACCTGATGGGCATCATCGCCGACGCCATCGAGCGCCGTCGCCACCGCGTGGAGGAGATGAAGGCCGGCCGCCCCGCTGCGCTGGCCGACAAGGACATCGTGTCCATTGTTCTTGACTCGATGGAGGCCAGCGGCCAGCCCGTGAACCCCGTGGAGGTGCGCAACATCGCCGTCGCGTCGATCATCGCCGGCCGCGACACCACCGCCGACTGCATGGGCTGGCTGTTCCATCTGCTGAGTGAGAACCCGCGCGTCGAGGCCAAGCTGCGTGACGAGGTGCTGGCCAAAATCCCGCAGCTCGCGACCGACAAGAGCTACGTCCCGTCTGTGGAGGACATCAACAAGGTGCCGTACCTTGAGGCCTGCATCCGCGAGCTCCTGCGTCTGTACCCTCCGGGCCCGCTGATCACCACGCACTGCATCAAGGACACGGTCTTCCCGGATGGCACCTTCGTGCCGGCGAACACGGACATCGGCATCGCGCTCTTCTCCGCCGGACGCTTGACGAGTGTCTGGGGCGAGGACGCCCTCGAGTACAAGCCCGAGCGCTTCATCGACAGCGAGTCGGGCGAGATCATCCCCATGACCGCGACCAAGTTCTGTGCCTTCAGCGCCGGCCCGCGTATCTGCGTGGGGCAGAACCTGGCGTTCGTCGAGACCAAGATCGTGATCGCCAGCATCGTCGGACGCTTCCACATGATCCCCGAGCCTGGCCAGAACGTGGCCTACACGCAGGGCATCTCGCTCGGCATGATGGACCCGCTCATGATGCGTCTCGAGGCGGTGAACGCGTCCGCTTAAACTAAATTGACAGCATCAAGAGCAGCTAAACCTTAGGTTTCGTTGATGAAGAAAATACAGAATTGTTTGCCTTATCAAGTAGAAACTTACTTGATCGCGGTCAAAAGATCATCCTCTCATATGTGAAGAGGAACTTGCTACTGTAGTGCGTGCTCGAGAAATCTAACGCAATGCTTATTGGTGTTGCTTGGTAGTGCGGATGCCAGGTCAACTTTAGCTTGCACTCATGCAAGCCTTGCATGAGTGTGGCGCTTACGGGGTTCAGTATCCCGTTGATGTCTCGTAGTCGCCTGCACACTCGAAAACCCATTCAAATTAGGACAAACAAATTGCTACTTGGTATTATTCTTTAAACTTGCAAGCATGCAACTCAGGTGCTTACAGCCCCTTAGCGGTCTTGACGATCTCCTCGAACTCCTCCTCGAACTCCTCCTCGCTGTGCTCCTGGTGCTTCCGGAATTTTGCGTCTATGCATGTTTCCGACGCCCGGAATCGCTGCAGCTTCGGCGTCCCACCGATGAGACCCTTGATAACCGCGATGTCCTCAATGTCGACCAGTCCAGGGACCACCGTCGTGCGGAACTCGTGTTTGACACCCGACTTCTTGATAATATCAATGGATTTCTTCAACAGTTTGGGACGAAGCGGCTTGCCAGCGACTTCAGCGTAGCGCTCCGGGTCAGCCTTGACGTCCATGGCGACAAAGTCGACCAGCTTTTCGTCGAAAACCTTCTGCAGCACATTCGGGTTGCTGCCGTTCGAGTCGAGCTTGACTGTGATGCCGCGCTCCTTCGCTCGACGCAGGAACGGCATCAGACCAGACTGAATGGTTGGCTCACCGCCACAGATCACCAAGCTCTTGTGCTCCGTGGACGCCACGTAGTCCAGAATCGCGTGCGGGTCTAAGTCCTCGGGCTTCTCGTTCACCAGGTCGCTGTTGTGGCACCAACCGCACTTGAGATTGCAACCTTTGGTGAACAGGATCGAGGCCACAGGCTTGCCGGGGAAGTCCGTGTACGTTGTCTTGGTGAAGCCTCCGATCTGAAAGTCGATGGGCTCGTTCTCGATCGCCGTGTAGATCTTGCGCATGCTGAACTCGACCTTCTTGCCTGCGTTCCAGTCCGACACGGGCCGGAAGTAGCCGACGATGCGGGAGTAGACCAGCGCCTTCTCTCCGCATTGAGGACACTCGAGGTGTTCGCCGGCAAGGTAGCCATGAGTGCGGCAAATGGAAAAAGTCGGCGTCAAGGTCACGTACGGGATGCGGTACGTGGTGGTGATCGACCTCACAAGGTCGCGCGCTTGCGTCCAGCTCGACAGACGCTCGCCCAGGAACGCGTGGAACACGGTGCCGCCCGTGTACTCCGTCTGCAGCGATTCCTGGTGCGTCAATGCTTCAAACAGATCGTCGGTCGAGTCCACCGGCAGCATCGTCGAGTTCGTGTAGAACTCCGGGAGCTTGGCGCTCGGGAACAGCTCGTGGTCGATCTTGGCGAGCTTGTAGCACGTCGACTCGGCAGGAGTAGCCTCCAGGTTGAACAAGTGCTTGGTCTCGAGCTGGATCTCCTGCAGCTCGTCCTTGATGAACTGCAGCACGCTGCCAGCGAAGTCCTTGTTGTGGTAAATGCCACGCCCCAGGAGGATCGAACACGCCTCGTTCATGCCGATGACTCCGATGGTGGAGAAGTGGTTGGCCCAGTAGCTCTTGGCACGCTGGAAGACGCTCTTCAAGTAGAAGCGCGTGTACGGGTACAGCTCCATGTTGGCTTCGATCACCTTGCGCTTGGTCTCCAGCGACTCCTTCGCAACCGCGATCGTCTTCTTGACGATCTCGAAGAACTTGGGCACCGACTTGGAGCGCAGAGCCAAGTTGGGCAGGTTCAGCGTCACAACACCAAGCGAACCGGTCAACGGAGTGGCTCCGAAGATGCCGCCGGCCCGAGTGTGGAGCTTTCGCGTGTCCAGACGCAGACGACAGCACATCGAGCGGAAGTCCGCCGGGTTCAGGTCCGAGTTGATGAAGTTGGCGAAGTAGGGCACGCCGTACTTGGCCGTCATCTCCCACATGGGCTTGAAGCGCGGCGACTCCCAGTCGAACTCCTTGGACAGGTTGTAAGTCGGTATGGGGAAGCTGAAGATCGAGCCGTTGCCGTCGCCCTCGATCATGACCTCGGCGAACGCCTTGTTGAACATGTCGATCTCCTCCTGGAAGTCGCCGTAGACCCACGTGGGGTGCTGCTTGCCGCCGATGATCACGGGTTGCTCCGCCAAGATGCTCGAGCACACCAAGTCGAGCGAGATGTTCGTGAACGGGGCCTGGAACCCGCTACGGGTTGGTACGTTCAGCGAGTACACGAACGACTGGATGAACTTGAACACGTCCGTGTAGCTGAGCTCGTTCACGCGGATGAAGGGGGCGATGTACGTGTCGAGGTTGGAGAGCGCTTGGGCGCCGGCCATCTCTCCCTGCAGCGTGAAGAGGAAGTTGACGATCTGGTTGAGCGCTGTGTTGAAGTGCTTGGGCGGACGGCACTGCAGCTTGTTGGGCACGCCGCCGAAGCCGTGGATCAGGATGTCCTCGGTGCTCCAACCGGAGCAGTAGGCGCTCAGGTAGCCCAGGTCGTGGATGTGGAAGCGGTTCTCCTTGACGTACTCGCGCACCTTCTCCGAGTAGAGCCTGTGCAGCCAGTACTCCTCGACGATGCTGGTGGCGATGTGCTGGCTCAGACCCTGCAGGGAGAACGTCACGTTGGAGTTCTCCGCCGCCTTCCACGTGATCTTGTCCAGGTACTCGTCAATGACCGGCGACGCGGCGGTGGCGAGGGCCGTGGACTTGTTCAGAGTGGGCAGACCAGCAGCTTTGGCATCAGTGGCGGGGTTCACTTCAGTGTAGACGTCTTCAATGGCGGGACGGGAAGGGGCCATGGTGATCAATGGATGGGGAGAGTTGGGGACACTTGGCCGAATGGAAAGTGAGGTTGCCACGGAGACTCGATTGCTTCGGAGGTAGTGGAGACATGGAGAGAGGGGCCTGGTTGGTCACCAAGTCATGGGCATTGACTGCCTCGCGACTTCTTTACGTCGGGGTGTCGGACATGCAGGCGATTCCGGCGATTCCTACCGAAATTCTGGCGCGCTTTCGAGCGGAGGGCGCTCGTTTGGGCGCGAGTGCGCGCTTTGGCGGGCTTTTCGCGCGCGTTGGGGGCGACCAACGGTTTGACTTTGAAAACTCCCGCGAAAACCGAGTGCGAGGCTCGCGCACAAGATCGTGTCTCTGCTTCAACATGCGCGTGTTTAACCTCCAAGCAGCCATATGCGAGGGCTCACGCTCCTGTCTTGGCCGCAATTGGCCAGGTCGATGCGCGATGTCCGTGGCTTGTGAACCATCACCCTAGCAGTCGTAGACATGCAGCCTCTAGCCGCGAGTCTAGCGTTGCCTGGCAACCGCAGTCCAAATCTTTCTCGCTAAATATACATCCTCCAATTTGTATACGTCTGTAAACTTAGCGCGTCCCGCAAAGCGTGTTCACTGAATCTTCCGTGCGGTACCATGAAAGCGGTACCCAACCTCAGTCAACTCGTACCACGTCACACATTTCGGGATCCTCAACGAGCGTGCGTAGCTGCTCGCAGTCGCCATGCTGCCCGCGATGCACCGCCTCGACGGCGGCCGCAGCGCCGCCTCCAACACGCCGCTGGACCTCTCAGCGTCGCTCTCACGCAAGGAGAAGCGCAGTCAGAAGCGCGGCCAGTCGCGCGCCAAGAAGTCCCAGCCGTCGTCCTCCAAGTCGAGATCCCTAGCCACTGTCGTGGATTCCGACGCGTCCGAGGCCGATCCCAATGCGGTGAAAGCCCCAGTCATCATTGCAACGTCGCAGCAGAGCCGCTTCCACACTGTCACGTTCGACGAGTTCGGCAAGAACGTTCTACTCAACCAGTTCACTCTCGCCATTGGGTCGGCCCCTCCGAAAGGGTCCGGAGACCCCGTGGGGGTCGTGGAGCTGCTGCGAGACACGCAGCTGAAGCTCAACTACGGCTCTCGCTACGGCCTCGTGGGTCCCAATGGCATCGGCAAGTCCACGCTGCTCACGGCGCTGGCGGACGGACTGGTGGAGGGTCTCCCGGCGTCGCTCAAGATCCTGTACGTGAACCAGTTGGACACGTCGTCGCTGACGCCCGAGTCGGCGCAGCAGTCGGTGCTGCAGACGGTGTTGAGTGCGGATACCAGAGTGAGCGAGCTGCAGCATAAGATCGACGTGCTGCAGCGGGTCCTGGTGGGGTCAGAAGAAGAAGAGAAAGAGAAGAAGGAGGAGAAGAAGACGTTCACGTCCTACAAGGCGGAGCTGCTGCACGCTCTGCTGACGATCCAGGTGATGGAAGCGGAGCAGGCTCAAGAAGCGGCCAGTAAGATCGCCATTAAGAGAAGTGGCATGCTCGGCAAGGACGCACGACTGAGGCTGCTGGAAGTCGAGCACAAAGTGGCGGATCTACGCCAAAGACTGCAGTTTACTACCCTATCAGATGATGGCGAGCATGAGAGCGTGGTCGCCGCTAACGAGACAGAGGTTTTGCATGAGATCCATAAGAAGATGGAGGAGTTCCAGCAAGCGCTCAAGGTGCTGGACGAAGCGTCGATGGAGGCACGCGCACGCCGAATCCTGGCAAGTATGGGCGTGGATCCTAATAAGCAGGACGCGCCGCTGTCGTCGCTGAGTGGCGGCTGGCAAGTGCGAATTCTCCTAGCGCGCGTGCTCTTCATGGAGCCGGACTTCTTGCTCTTGGATGAGCCGACGAACCACTTGGACATGCCCTCGATCTTGTGGCTGAAGAACTACCTGCTGACTCTGGAACAGGTACTGGCAAGCCCAGTGACGCTGGTCGTCGTCTCTCACGATCGGTTCTTCTTGAACGCCGTGACGGACGAGACCATCTTCTTCCGCGGGTACGACAAGACGCTGGCTTACTACGACGGCAACTATGACGCATTCGAAGAGGCGATGGCGTCCAAGAGGCAGTTCAACGCTCGCTTGCAGACCAAACTGGACAAGAAGACGGAGCAGATGAGCGCAATGGTCTCCAAGATCGCCCAGCAAGCGGCGCGCTCAAAGGACGACAAGAAATTGCAGGTCGCGGCCTCGAAGAAGAAGAAAATGGACCGCATCGGCAACGAGCGCAGTGCGAAGGGGACGAGGTTCAAGCTCAACCGCGACCGTATTGGATACTTCCTAACGGACCGCGATCAGGCCGAGGACCAGGCCAAGTACGATGAGACTGAAGGAGGAGCGAGCGCGAGCTCCGCCTGGCGGATCCTGTCCAGCAGCCCTCCCCAGATTCGGAACCTTACCAAGCTGGACAATACGACAATGATCTCTCTTGAGAACGTGTCATTTCAGTACGACACGGCTGATACTGGGGCGACTACCGAGAAGCCGAAGACACCTCTTGTTGTCGAGAACCTCAACCTCACCATCAACTATGGAGACAAGGTCGTGCTTGTGGGTCGCAACGGAGCTGGCAAGACAACATTCATGAAGCTGCTGAGTCGCGGACTGGGGCCAAAGCGCGGAAAGGTCGAGTACTTCCACGGCGCGCGGGTGGCGTCGCTGATGCAGCACAACGTGGAGGATCTCAAGCGCCAGGAGTGGTCTCGAGGACTGGCCCCACTGGAACTGCTGCGATCGCGGCTCCAAGCTGACGAGGCTTCTTCCCAGACTGTTGCAGCTGAACTGGGAGGAAGCTCGAGTGCCTCAGACCATGCTAACGATGGCAAGATGCGTGGACACCTGAGCAGCTTTGGCATCACGGGCGGCGCAGCCGTGGCAGTCCCGCTGCATGCTTTATCAGGTGGGCAATTAGTGCGCGTGGGGCTGGCGTGGGCCACGTTCCCGTACCCACCGCACGTCCTGCTCCTGGATGAGCCGACGAACCACTTGGACATGAGCACGATCCAACTGCTAGGCGAGGCGCTGCGCAAGTATCAAGGAGCGGTCGTGCTCATTTCGCACGACCTGCACTTCCTCGACATCCTCACGAACGGGAGCCAGCGCGCAGAGGATTCCGAGGGAGACGATGATGACGAAGCGTGCGGGCGTGTGCGAGTCTTTGAGGTGAGCAAGAAGAAAGGAGTCGTGTCGCTCTTGCCACTGGAAAGAGTGGAGGCGTACCGGGAGAAGGAAGAGAGACGCAACGCCTCCCTTGGACGCATATAGCAATGCTGTCAATGAAGCTGAGAAGTGAGGATCTGTTCATCTTGAATGAAGTATCATCGATGGTCAGTTTAGTCGTAGAGCCATGATGGGGATTCTGGTTATTGATCCGGCGATAAGCTGGGGAGTTATTGTCCGTGGACTGCGGCATTTCGTGCTTGGTTGGATCAAGAATGGGGATTTTCTCGGCCGATACCGTCACGGATTTCGTTCGACGCGGTGACATCGCCGGCGTCCGGCGGCGCCTGGAGCTTGGCGACGACGTCAACGAGCGTAGAAGTTTCAAGTCCACACCGCTGATTGAAGCTGCTAGGCGTGGCAACATTGGCATGATGGAGCTGCTGCTAGAACACGGTGCAGATATGGACTTGATGGATTCTAGCCGCCTGACGGCCCTCCATTCAGCAATTAACGAGGAGAAGAGCGCCGCAGCGATCGTTTTGGCACAGCGAGGCGCATGTGCGAACAAAGTGGGCTTTCTGGGTCGAGCTCCGCTACAATGTGCGATCAAGAAAAACCTGCTTGAGGTCACGACGGAGCTGTTGGCAAATGGTGCAAACCCCATGGTGCGCAGCGATTCGAACAAGGTCGCTAGGGATTTCATTCGGTCCGGGCCTAGCCACCAAAAGTTTGTCGATGTGCTGGAAGCGTACACAAATGTCGAGCCCGCCACCAAAGCGAAGAATCGAGGCGCAATGTCGGCACGTTTCACGAGATCCATGAAATGCGACGAGATTCACGATTTACCCGGTGGTATTCAAGCTAAGCACACTGAGGCTTTGTCTACCATTTTTCGAGTAACCATCAGCGAAGGCAATCTTGACGAAATGCTGTCCAAGCGTCGACCCATTCAGTCCGAAATCGAGAGCACTAGCGATGAGGAGTGGCGCCTGTCACTTATTGAAATCCTCGATGAGTACGAGAGGGATATTATGATGAAAGTGGTGGAGTCCAATAACGCCTTGGAGCGACTGGAAGGGCTCCTTGAGACGATAGACAACCCCAACTGGATCAATAACGTCAAGCTGGATAACGGTTGGACGGCACTTCACCTCGCTGCGTCAGTGGGGGATCGTGCCATTGTCCAGTATTTGCTATTGCGGCTTAAACCCACTGGCTGTAAGCCACGATGATAAGTTGGCACTGGACATCGCTCTTGACGGAGAAGCCGACAATGAATTATTGAAGAGCATGCTTTCTCTGATCATACAGCAATGCTTCTCACCTCCAGGAAAGCGTCCGAGGAGACGCTACACCAGCTACCGGTAGTTGGGTATATGACGAGTGTGTATGATCTCAGACACATCCTGAGCCTGGGGTTCAGAGGCCTTAACCAAGCTGAGATGCACTCAGTGTTGCTTGAAGCCTTTGAGCAAGTCACTCGGGCGAAACTCGTGTTCGAGTATTTTTCAAGATGGGGTTGCAAGAGTACAGACGCCAAAGCTTCATCTCTGAGGCTGAATTTATTGAGTGGGACCTGAAAGCGACGAAGGTGAACGTTGAAAACTCCCGAGTGGGTTCGGCAGATAAAGCAATCTCTTCACGAAGTTGAGTGCAGAGTCGTCACAGCAGAGAAGAACATCGGTCTACTACACGCACTGTTCAGTGCTCTACGAGACGCGCTCATCCAGAGAAAAGAGCATGAGCTCAAGCGGCGAACAAGAGATCGCCTCATTTCTCTGGTGTCGTCAGCGCTCGTGGTGTGCGGAGGGTTGGTCATTAAGGACATCTTCGGGGCTGTGTTCGACCTCTGGGACCCCGCGAAGCTTCTGGGTGCTCTCACCGACATGAGCTCGGAAAAAATGGCTGACTTTCTAGCGGAAAAGACAAGCACAATCGTGTTCAAGGATGGCGTCGAAGCTGTGCTCATTGGCTCTGACATTGAGCCTGTGGAATTCGCGGAAGTGCTACGAGATGCTGTGAACCTCCAGAATCCTGATGTCGCTTCAACCGCCCCACAAACATGGTTACGGAGCCCTTCAGCTCCTTTCTTCCATCTAAACGCTCGATTCTTAGGTTTAAGGCCGTGGATCTTGCTGTTGTTTATCCAAAGGTCAACGCACAAGCTGGGGCGCCGATGAAGCTGCAGAGTGCAGTTGCAGTTGAGCCGTCACAGGGTGGAGGATCTAAGCACCTCCAAGAGGTCGTCGACTCTCTCTCTGAGGCAGACTTGGAGCCGTATCCGTATCACTACGCGGTGAGGTACAGTGATGGAGATCTCGATCAGTTTCGCGAGCTGGTGGGCTACATCAACGACTGCGAACATCAACAAAACATTGACACTTTGTGTGCGTTCAACGGAGGGAGAACCCTGGAAGGCATGCGATGAAAGCTCTAGTGTATGCGTCCTATCTGGGCTACGTTGACATCGTCAAGTGCTTTTTGGAGAAACCGGACGTGGTCACAAGTGAGAAAACGTTCGTGACGATCAAGCGCACTCGTAGTTGCACAACCAACCCGGTGTTAGTGGGCATAGCTCGGCATGAAATGAAGTTGTAACGTGGTAGGCAACGATATCTCATCGAAGACCTCTGGAGACTGCGGTGTTTGGATTCACGGAACAAGACATTCTTACCCCCATCTATCTTTGCTTGTTGCGCTCTCTCAGTACCAGACCATTTTTAGTGGACTTCCCATCTCAAGACCCGATAGCTTTTCCATTCCACAGACCAAACGACGGACGATAGCGGATGTTAACCAGCAGGAAAGAAGTCGTTCCACATGCAGACTTTGATGCACTATCAGAGCCCGAAACCAAAGAATCCCCTGTAACTTTGGTCCACAACTCCCATGAAGCTGCACCGTCAGCCAGAAAGCAGTCGACCAACAGTCCAAGACCTCCAAAGGCAAGACGTAGACGGAGTTCTTCTGCTCGATGTGGGAGGAGGTTCTTGCGGCGCTACCACGAATGGAAGAGTGAGCACATGTACTTGGGTCGCTATTCCATCGAGAAGATGATCGCATTTGAGGAATACCAGCGTCTTGCCAGTCCACTTCGAGTGTTCGCCGCCATCACACTAACCCCACTGCCAGCATTGGTCATCGTTCTACTATCAGCAGCTATCCCGCTCCAGAGTCCGCTCTTACCCGCCACCGAGAATCCAGCCTACTTCATCCAGTCGTGGCTCTCCTTCAGCGTGATAACCTTTGGCATGCTGCTCTACATGCGGTGTGCGCTCGCACTACCGCTAACTGTCTATTCCCACCAGCAAAGTATTCTGATCTCAGTGCTGACAGCGGGTGCGAATGAGCTGCTCATGTTTGTGGTATCGGTGGCGTGGCGCTTCCCGATTCCGCTGCGAGATTACCTTGGCGCTCCCTCATACACGGCATTTTTCATCTTTTTCCACATCCTGGTACTACGCGGCAAGCTGCGGCACTTTTACTACCGGATACGGGAATATCTCCCGCTATACTTCGCTCAGGTGTCGACATTTTTCGTGTTTGAAGGCGTTGCGATACTGTTCAGGAACTCCCCACTTTGGGTTAAGACGTTCATCACCATCTCGTATCCCCTGTTGCGAACTGTACTGAGACGTATAGTACGAAGCTTCTCCCACTCGCTCGAGGACATCAGTACGGAGACAACTGTCTGCGTGGTCGAAATCTTCGGCTCTTTCTTCCAGAACGTGTGTCTCCAAAGTGCCTGTTCGCTCCCAGTGAGCGGGTTTATCATCCTCGTTGACTTCAGTTTGGCGATGCTGGAAGTCTGGATGTACCTGGACCACAAGTTTATCGTCGACGGACGATCCACTACGCGCACTGCCCTCAAGATCATTGAGCACGCTTTCTTCCCCGGGGCGCTTCGGGCTCGCGCGACTAATCGGTCGGGCACGGAGGGGGACCGCACGATCGGCAACATTTCCAGTCGGGGTGTCTCCGTCGCGGTGTCTGCCACCGAAATTCCTCAAAACGTGAAAAAGATGACGGCGCATTCTTCGTTCAGATCGACAACAAGAACCTCAACGAGAACTCTTACAAGAATATCCACGAGGTCCACACGAAGACCGTCGATGCGGGCGTCAAAAGTTGCGTGTTCGCCTGAAAAATCGCTTGACGTTGGCGTGATCGACCTCGGCGTTCTGGAGAAACCAAAGATCGGTCGAGTGGCTACGCTCGGTCAGGGCTCGACAGCCTCGCTGGCGGCTCTGGCGATGGTGTCACCGAGGGCGAGGCAGTCGTCAATTGACGATACCGACATTGTTCATCGCCACCACGTCAAGCTTCTTTCCCAAACCCTTCAGCTTGTATTCGCCTCCGAGGTGCTGATCTTTGCCGAGTACTCGGAGGTCGCGTGCGCCTTTATCTATGGTCTGTATTCTCTCATCGTCTTCCACATGCCCAACTCGAAGTACATCGTCCCGTTCATTGGATTATCTGAGGATGAATTTTGGACTTCCATCACGAATTCAGCGATCTATACTGTCCTAGAAGGATGCACACTGTTGTTCCTGTTCATTTTGGTTCGCGCGAAGTTCGGCTTTTCGACCTTGTACCAACTCGCATTTATGTTGGATGAGCGTGCAGGGCAAGATTGTGGGCAGCTTTACGCTCATTTTCGTACTCAATATTGTGCACCAAGGTGAGCATTCTCTTTGACTTCTTTGTTGCTAATACCGCTTACTTGTGCGTTGCCTTACGTAGGTACTGATCTGTCGCTGAAATTCAACTGGGGGCAAATTTTAGAGGAATCTCCGTGCTCGTAGTAGCAAGACAAGCATTTTAGGTTTTAGCATTCCCATTATCTGTACCATTTAGAATATGGGAGACGTTGGCCCCCGTTCAGTGAGCGCTCAACTCAGTGTATCAACAACTCGGTGCATTGACTTCACCGACATGTTAAATAACTCGAGCTATAAATTGTTCCTCGTCTTCTGATTGCGATCAGCCATTAGTTGAGTCCATTTCTGGGGTATGAGATCGCCGCACGATCCCAGTTTAGAGTTGTGTCGTCGTGATAGTGACAATAACGAACCGTTCCTGTTTGTACATCCCTCTACCTACCATTCCCCGATGCTGCCGATGGCCGGAATGATTGAAGGCCCGCCAACACCATCAGAAGTTCCCGACGCAGACACGACGTTCGTGGACACTATTGACACCTTACCGTCAAGCGCGGCTCCAGAGACGATATACCAAGATGCCCGCCCCCATAGAAGAACCCGAGCCCGACGCCCTTCAATTCGAAAGAACGTAGCGCGCCGACAAGGACGACGATTGATTCGTCAATACCACGAGTGGAAGAGCGCGCACTTGTATTTGGCGCGATACTCGATCGAGAAGATGCTCGCATTCAAGACCTACCAGCAGACAGCAACCCTTAATCATGCTTTGGCCGTGATAACACTAACTCCAATTCCAACTTTGGTGGTAGTCTTGCTACTGGCCGCCATCCCCCTTCAAAGCCCATTGGCTGCAGCGATCTCGAACACGATGTACTTCTTTCAATCCTGGTTCTGCTTCAGCGTGATGACTTTCGGCATGCTAATGTACATGCGCTGCGGCTTGGGATTGACGGAAAAGATTTACGGTCATGGACAGTGTGCGCTGGTGTCAGTGCTGACGGCTGGCTTTAACGAGCTCGTCATGACGCTTTTGTCGGTGGTTTGGCGATTTCCGATTCCTCTTGGAGATATACTGCGAGTGCCTTCCTACGCGGGATTCTTCGTGCTATTCCACACTTTAATCTTCCGCAACCAGCTTCGCTATCATCAGTCAAGGCTGCAGGGATACATACCGTTGTACTTCGCTCAGCTGTTCACGTTTTCCGCGTTTTATGGCGTCGCTTTAGTGTTCGCGAATGCTCCGGTGTGGACGAAGACCCTCATTGCCATAGCGTTTCCGCTCTTACGACCACTACTCAAGGGTGTGCTCAAGCTGGTCGCGTGTTCTATCAAAGACATCACGACGGAATTATCCTTCTGCGCTGTCGACGTGTTCGGATCATTTTTCCAGAATGTCTGCCTTCAAAGCGCCCATTCAGCGACAGTTAGTTGGCTCATCGTTGGATCGAGCTTTGCTCAGTCGGTACTGGAAATCGTCATGTGCCTCGATCGCAAGTTTGTAGTCGACGGACGCCAAACTACAGCAACCGCCCTTAAAATTGTGGAGAGCGCTCTATTTCCTGGCGTATTGGTGAATGGTCTGGGGAAACGAGGTGAGCACGACGGTATTACCGCAACTATTACCCATGGCGGTGTCTCGGTTGGGCTTCCAGCTCCTGGTTATATCAGCAAACCCAGCACTATATCAAGACGCTCTTCAATCTCAAACACAAAGAAGGTGGCTTGTATCGATTCACAGTCCACGATGTCGCTAGACGTTTGTACGATCGAGCTCGGTGACATCGCCAACAACGACGCCGAAGTCCGTTCCCGAAGTGGAGGAATGCCTTCGAAAGGGGTCGTCACTATCGACGACATCGAGTTCACACATCGGTACCATGCCAAACTGCTGCTGCAGACTCTGGAGCTCATGAGCATTTCCGAGGTGTTGATTTCGTCCCAGTATTTCGACTTCTCTTGCTCAGCAATCTACGGGCTGTACGTGCTCGTAGTTTACCATTTGCCCAACGCCAAGTACATTTTCCCGTTTATCGGCCTCACTCGCGACGCATTCTGGACATGCATCACATTCTACGGCATCTTCGCTGCCGTGGCCGCGTTCGTCCAGCTCTGCTTCTTCACTCTGGTTCACAGGAGATTCGGCTTCTCCACGCTATACCAGCTCGCGTTCGTGCTGGAGAAGTACTGGATGAGCATGCAGGGCAAACTCATCGGCTGCATGACCTTCATCTTCATCCTCCACACCGTGCACCAAGGTACGTCGTCTCCTTCACGCAATCGCTTCGACTCGCTTGGCTCTAACAGTCAGCTCTAACCACAGGCATGGATCTGTCGCTCAAGTTCGACTGGGGGCAAATCTTGGCTGGCAAATCCGGCTGAACCTCCCAAGTTTCCTGTTGCAGGCTTCAACTAGGACGCACAAACGTGCTCCCAACGTCCCGACAGTGCCGAAGTCTCCTCATTTCAAGAAAGACTAACTTAACCGACGATGGTGCTGGACCTGATGGACCCCTCTACGTTGCTGTTGCCTCCTCCTGGTAAACGACACGATCGACGTCTACCGCAAACGCCTGGAGCCCGATTGCAACGTGTTTGTCGCTCTGTGGCGGACTCCACAGGCACAGGCTTCGTGTACGGGACCATGTTCGGCTCGGTGCTGGCAGCGATCGAAGGGATGCGAGCGGCCCCAACGCAGCAGAGACTTCTGGGGGCGTTGCATAATGCTAAGGTGTCCGTGCCAGAAACTGCGGGGCGCATCGCCATGGTCACGTGCTTCTTTCGCGTGGCGGCGCTCGGAATTGAGGAACTTCGCGACAAGCGCGATATGTGGAACACTCTATTGGCTGCACAAGTTGCGGGGGCCATGGTGAAGGCTCGACATGGACCCAAAACGGCGATGAGTAGTGCGTGCACCTTTGGGGTTTGCGGCTGTTGTGGTGGCCTTCAATTGGACGGAGAACAAGCTGATGCACGAGAAAAGTTCTCCCGAGGAAGTGCTGGAAGAAATCGCCTTTGCGGAGGAATTCAAGTGATAGCAACTTCAATATGTCGCAAAAGAATACGAGTACGTCAAAGATATAAAAATCGCTTCGGATCGCCGTGTACTCTATCGATGCAGCATCTCATGGCACGCACCCCACGCTTGGCAGTCATCTTGATAAATTTAGGCCTCGAGCGCATGTCATTTCCGTGTAAAACACGAAAGCGCTTGCCGTAAGCTTCGCTACCCGCTTGACCTGCTTTGCGCAGCCTCATTTCTTTCAAGTTGCTGGTTACCATGACAGCAACGCATCGAAGCAAAGGCGTTTGGCCCATGAATGAGTCGGGGTGCGTCGTTGTGTCCAGAAGTTCCGTATCAACTCGTGGCGATAACTGTGCTCCGTCACCAAGCTCTGCAGCTAAGAGCTCCTCCAGCCCCAGCTTGTCCACTAGCACTCCAGCTGTACAGGGGAATACACGACCTTCGATTCGCAAATATTCTTCTTCTGGCGCGCACAAGAGGGTTCTATTACGTCGATACCATGAATGGAAGAACGAGCACATGTACTTGGGGCGATACTCGATCGAGAAAATACTCGCGTTCGAGCAATACCAACGGCGGACCAGTCCCGCCAGAGTCTATACCATCATCGCTCTGACACCATTGCCAGCTTTGATTGTTGTGTTGATATTAGCTGCGATCCCACTCGAAAGTCCGCTGCTTCCAGCCACCTCAAACGCGGCATACTTTGCACAGTCTTGGCTTTCGTTCACGATGGTAACTTTTGGCATGCTTCTCTACATGAGATGCGCATTGGCGCTGCCGCAAAGTGTTTATTCGCACGGAGAATGTTTCCTGATCTCGATACTGACAGCGGGTGCCAACGAGTTGCTGATGTTCGTTTTGTCAGTCTCGTGGCGATTTCCGGTTCCACTTCGAGACATTCTGGGCGCTCCGTCTTACGCTATATTCTTTGTGGTGTTTCACGTGGCGATTCTGCGGACAAAGCTGCGCAATTACTACCATCGGGTCCGAGAGTATTTGCCTCTGTGGGTTGCTCAGCTCTCGTCATTCTTCATATTCGAAGCTGTGGCAATCTTGTTCATGAATTCGCCGGTGCGGACAAAAGTCGCGATCACGGTGGCATTTCCCGTGCTGTGAACTATACTGAAGCATGCGATCAGGAGGTTTTCGCATTCCCTGGAAGACATCAGCACTGAGATGTCGCTGTGTGTGGTCGAAGTGTTCGGGTCGTTATTCCAGAACGTTTGCCTGCAGAGCTCGCGGTCGCTGTTCGTTAGTGGGCTTATCATCCTTTTGGACTTCGTGCAAGCGATAGTGGAGGTGCGGATGCACATGGATCACAAATACGTCGTGGATGGTCGACACTGTGTACAGACTGCGGTGAAAATTATCAAGAGCGCTTTGTTTCCTGGGGAAATCAATAAGGAGAAGATACGATCGAACAGTGAAAAGGTCTCGTTCAAAGGCGTATCGCTTTCCTTGGTACCTACGGATATTAACTCCCAGTCCAAGAACCAGTCTAAAACCACGCCTAGAATGCAACGATCTTCCAAAGTAGCCTGCCTATCTCAAGGATCAGTTGGGGAGCTGGACATGGGCTTAATCCACCTGGGCGTCTTGGATCGAGAGCTACTGAGTGCAGACCCCTCAGTCGCCCAAGCCCCGGAAAACATGCTGGTTTCCAGTACATCGAGAACACGGCGCTCTTCTATCGACGACGTGGAAATCACGCATCGTTATCATGCCAGGCTTCTCACCCAGACACTTGAGCTATTGTACGGCTCGGGGGTGCTGGTGTTCGCGGAGTACTCGGAGTTCGTCAGTGCTTTCAGCTACGGATTCTACACGCTGTCCGCGTTCCACTTGCCCAACGCCAAGTACAGTTTGTGCTTCATCGGCCTGTCTGATGGGGAGTTCTGGAATTCTGTGGGAAATTGTGCCCTATACGCGTGCTTGGAGGGGTGCACGCTCTACTTCTTCTTTCAGTTGGTGCGCGCGAAATTCGGCATTTCGACCTTGTATCAGCTCGGTTTCGTACTGGAAAAATACTGGATGAGCATCCAAGGGAAGCTCATCAGCAGTTTAGTGCTCGTTTTCCTCCTCCACACAGTTCATCAAGGTACGAATTACTTGAATTCGAAGTCACAACTGGGAATTCGTCGCTAACTACAGCAACGTTTTGCCCAATATACAGGAACGGATTTGTCGCTCAAATTCGACTGGCACCACATTCTAAACCCCGCCGATTGCTAACGAAATCCTTAATTCGTCATATTCAGGGGAAGTAATCTCCAAATATACACTGGACAATATGTTTACGGTTAGATTAGAGAGGGGTTTGCAGCAGCAGAAGAACATATTTAGCTTTTTGCTGCGCGTCTTCGCCTTCTTAGGTGCACTATCTCATGTTTCCTAGTTTAGCGGCAACCTCTGTTCTTATCCTTCAGGGAGGACTGGAGCAGATAAGTCATTATCCAATCTAACCCAAACAACCCTAAGTCATCAATGTCGGGCGAAGACACCGAGTCGTGGGAATGCCCCTCCTGCACCCTCAAGAACGAGCTCATCGTCGAAGCATGCGCAGCCTGCGGAGCTACCAGTCCGCTGGTGCTGCAGAGCTACGCAATTGAAGAGCAGGCGTTGGCGGCAGGCGAAGCCGCTGCCATCCAAGGGAGAAGGTCGCAGCGTTCGAGTCTCGTCTCGCAAGGCTCAGACAACACCACCCCTCGCGGTGACGACAACGAGGTCGACCCGTGGACTCAAGCCGAGTGCGAATGGGCCCAAGTCGAGTCCCGCCAAGACTCGCGCTCGAGGAAGTAAGAGAACGTCGACGGTCTCAGACGGGTGCATCCCTACACTCAGCCACAAGTAATGAAACGTAACTCGCACTCAAGCTTCAACATGATGCCCATATCAATGTAGCCATCTCCATCTAGATGGCTACACTAACAACCTCTCCAATATCATAACCCTTCCTCTTGTCACATGGTACCCCCCTACCTCGTGCGTGTCAACGACGCTCATCAAAGGGGAACCTCATCATCCAGCGTATCTGATCCGTCATGGTCTTCTGCGGCGCCGACTTCCAAGTGTCCAAGGCCCCCGTGGCCCCCGTGGCGCTGCAGGTCGCGGCCAAGAAGACGGTGAACGACGCGGCCAAGAAGACGTCGAGCCTGCGCGAGTTCGCGGCCGAGCTGCAGCGCCGCCTGGAGCCGGCCATGGGCTCGGGCTGGCACGTGCTCGTCGGGGGGGACTTTGCCGTGGATCTACGCTACGTACGTAGTTACGCCTCTGTTACTTGATGGTATTATGTATGAGAGACCCCTCATGGTTGTCTGCAGCGCAAGGGTGCGTGCGTGCTGCTGTTCAGCAAGGCCAGCAAGATGAAGGTGCTGCTGTACCGCACGACGCCGGCCGTGGGCGCCAAGCCCAAGCAGGAGCACGAGGCTCTGGTCGAAGACAGCGAGGAGCTCAACGCCAAGAGGAAGATCGTGGTGTTCGAGAGTGACATGGAGGAGGAAATGAAGACGGCGGTGGTTGACAAGGCCAAGAAGCTCTACAACTACTACGAAGGCGTGCAAGACAGCGAGACCAAGATCGCCCAGGCGTTGAAGGTGGGTCGCAATATTAATTTTGAGGTGCTGAGCTGGATATCGGGTACTAACGTGAGTTCACTGCTGCAGCACTCGTTGACGTTCGCCTACGGCCCGACGTGGCAGGTTGTGGTGTCCTCTTCGCGGGAGTTGTGCTGCCTGCCGATCGCTGACGAGGGCACTCACGCCGACTTTACGGTCACGAAGCTGCGCGTGGTAGTGTATCGCCACGCTGGAACGAGTTTGGACCGGCACCTGGACTCGGTGCAGTTCGGCAAGCGCGTGGCTTTCGTACTGGCCACGATCTGCCTGCTTCTCTACGGGTTCTTGTCGCTCAACTCGTCCGAGGTGCTTCAGAAATGCAAGGGAAGCGCGGCGGTGGCTAGTGACAGTATCCCGATGGACGGCGTCGTGCTGCCTGAAGGCTGCTCGGCTGAGGACGTGAAGCGAGCGAACGACCACGCGTGGTGGAAAACGGCTGCGATTTTGGGCATGTCGGCCTTTACTATGCTGGCGTCGCTCATCCGCATGTACAGCAAGTCGCTGACCCCGAAGCTTAAACGCGCGTAGAGCGAGAGTTCTGGATTGTGCAGAGTAGAGCGGAGTCGAGTGCGTTCGATTCCAGTGATAGAGATGGATAGCAGCGCAATTCAGAGCAAAGTTTTGTTTTCACTACAGTACATGCACTGGTCGACGTGTACATTTCTCTCGCCGGACGGGACCGTCGTCGGTGAAGCCATCGAGCAAGGAGGTCTCTGGGTCGTTAACGCGACTACGATGGGCGCTCTCGGCTCTGACGCGCAGGCACTCTTCGTCAACGTGAAGAAGGACTCGCCGCAGCAGTACTCGGACACGTGAACTTCCGGGACTTGCTGCGAATGGTGAACAACAACCTGGCCAATGGCGTCGAGCTCGCAAACAAGAAGATCACCTTTTGCGTGGCCTGCGCGGAGGGCAAGCAGTCTCGGAGCGCGCAGCCCACTCAGGATACCTCTGACTCGGCTCCCACGGATGAACTCGGCGCGGTGATATGCATGGACTTGAAGGTGGACCTGAAGCCCGATCGCAACGGCCATCGTCATGTACTAACCGTCGTGGACCATGCGTCTAACTACAACCAAGCCTTCCTGCTGCACACAAAGGACGAGACATTCGACAAATTTTTACTCTTTGCAAATGAGTTCCAGCGGCAGTACGACCTCAAGATCAAGGTCCTTCGTACCGATGGCGGGGGAGAGTTGTTGAACTCGCTGTTTAAAGAATATGCCGCTCGGAATGGGATCCGGCTGCAGACCACGCACCCGGACACGTCCGCGTCCAATGGGAAAGCTGAGCGCTTCCACAGGACTTTGATGAACTCCGCACGTGCCATACTCTGGGCGTCGTCGCTGCCTCAACGCTACTGGGCAGATGCTGTGCTTTACGCCTCCTATATCCGCAATAGGGTCCCAACCAGAGCAAACGCCGACTACAAGTCTCCGGTCGATGTGCTGACCGGAAAACACCCTCGCGTCTCCCACATTCTCAAGTTTGGACACCCACACGGAGCGCATCTGCACTACCGCGTAAGACAAATGCCTTGGGATCGATACTTAAGACTCCAGCTTGGGAGAAGAAGTGGCTCTCCAATACATAGTACGTGAACGGGGAGTCAAGAAAATGTGCTACCACGTAGCATACTATGGGAACGGAGCTGCCGTACACAATGCACTGAGTCGGTACTAGCATGAACAGCCTCCGTGCTTTCCGCAGTCGTCGCCAGATGGACAATTTCTTGTGGGAGTTTAATAATGGTCCATGAACAAAGTAGCAACTGAGGATCAAACCAACTCCCCGGAGCCAGAAGTACGACTGTCCGAAGTCTCGCAGCACAGCTACGAGCCGATACCATTGAACCACGTCCGACATCAGCAGCCCTGTTTCGTAGCGATAGTCCTCTACAAACACCGCGTCACACTGCTTAGCTCCTGTGCTAATCTCAACACATTCTCGAGCGCGGATGATCGTGCTGACATCGGATCGTCGAAACCCAGTGAACGATAATCCACCTCGAGACACTTGCAGATCTTCTTGACTCTCTAGGAATGTCAGATCAACCGTCGCGTTGGGAAACCGAGCTTGAATTCCTCGAAGACGTTCCATCGTGTGCACATACAGCAGTCCGGCAGCTCTGGAGGTGGTGTCAGCCGGAGCACACGATCGATCCAGGTTGGTCCACAGCTCGTGGCAAAGGCGCGGCACTTTAACACGACCCCCATTGGCAGGGAAGCAAATACTACGAGCGTTTGACTTTGAGAGCAACTCCGGTGAGTAATAAAGCGCTTGGTTTGTCCTCCAATTGAAGTTTGTAAACCACTTCGGAAGTAGGAATTGGTGAAGCCGGTCAATATATTCATTCTCTGTCCGCAGAGTAAGCCCCACGGGTCCAAAATTATTCACCGATCGAGAGTTATTTAGCCCGGCGATAGCGTTCACGATACTGTCGATCATTCTAAACGCAACGTCACCATCAAAAGCCTCGCCGGCACACTGAGAATTGTACAATAAACAGTCGGGATATTCTGAAACTTCAAAGTGGTTGGCGAAAGCGCGCCAAACGATCGACGTAGAATCAAACTTGTACGTCCAGACTGCTGCATCTACCTTTCCACTGTACGCATCCTC